TTTTGCATTGACAAGGCAAAAGCAAAGGCAAAGCAAAGCCAACACGTCGACATGTTAACTTACCAAATTACATACTCAACAACCAAGTGAATGGACCCATTTGCGACTCATTACTCATTAGGTAATATTTGAAAAATATTATTTAGTATAAAATATGACGAAACTAAATGGAAAAAGAGAAGCTAGCGTTTAAGTGCAACACGAAACAAAGCAAAACAAAACAAAACAAAACAAAACAAAAAATGTGGCAAATTAATTTTAACGTAAAGAGTAATTAAATTGAGGAGCAGAATGTGGCAGGCAGAAGGAATGTTCGTCTGCAGTGCGAAAGTTGTTGAGGCAAAACATAAAATACAAGAGCAAAAAATAAAATTACATTTACAAATACAAATACAAATACAAGAATACGTGTTACAATAAGCAGAAATGGTTTAAAGAAGTTATTGGCATAAGAGCAACCACCACCACCACCAAGAACAGAACAGAACAAAACACTTTTAGCCCTAAACTAAGCCTCGGCGATGGAGATGGAGATGGAGATGGAGAGCCACCAGCTAGCAGATATGCAGAATCAAAAGAGTAAGCCCACAACTCATAGAGTGGTGCTCAAAACATAAACTAAACCCTCACTGATCCATTGGCCAGTGCCAGAACAAACTGTTACATTTAAGCCAGCAACCTTGGAGGGTGTGCAGGTGGAGGTGGACCCGCCAAGGGCATTTACATGTTTAAGTGACAAAGCAACAAAACAACATAGCCAATTTAGCATAAAGCAAAGCGAAACAAAGCGAAACAAATGACAAAGGGAAAACGCAAATGAAAATGCAAATTAAACTAAAATACCAGAAACCTAAAATAAAAGAGCAAGACCCAAGACTCAAACAAAACACACAGAGAAACGAACATAAAATAAAACATTTAAATGGAGAAAATGCAAAAAAAAAAAAACAAACAGAGTATTTATTTCAACGGAAAGTGGCCGAGGGAGGGGAAACAATGAGGATCGGGCTAAGATCTAAGAAAAGTTAGTCCAAGAGCCAGCAGAAACTCAACTCTTTGCCAGGCGAATCATAACTTTGCAGCTTGTGGGATACTTTTAGGCTGTCTTCATGTTTGGTCACCTTTTACAGACTTTTTGAGTCTCCGATAAGTGGCCACAACTGGCTTTGAGTATGGTTCAAATTTAATATATTGCTGGAAACTTGGCACACAGAATTCCAATAAAAGAAAATGTATAGAAAAAATCAAGCTAAAAGTCCCCTCAATGGAGGCTGACAGGTGCAAGTGCAACGTTGAGGGGCACCAGCATCAGAGTCCAACCAAAGGCCAACGAAAGGGAAAGGCCAGCAATGAGTGAGTGAAGCCTTGGGTGACCGCAGGCTCTGCTCGTTTTGGGTGAAGGAGATTCCGGTTTGTGTCTCTCGTACATTGGCCCAATCTCAGAGTTGCGTTGTCAACAACAGCAGCAGCAGCAGACTGTGGTTAATGTTTATTAGTTGGAAATCAAAAGTACAACGACACCGGAGGATCGGGACGGCCAGTATGGAGCTGGCTGCTACAGTTTTTGGCCTAAAGAGTCGCTCCGAATGGCGCGAAATTGGCAGCGGGCAACCTGTTTGCCGGCTGACAACATCACGGGCAACGCCAGTCCACAATCATCGATAACCAGGCCGGTTTCGCGGTTTGGCGCCTGGCGGGATCTGAAGGAGAGCGCGGGGGCGTACCGCACACACGACTGCACTGAGCGAAAATAGTGGCAGTGAATGCAGCGGCTACCTACACTCTGTTCGGGCAGTGTAAATTATCAATCAAAATTCCCGACCACTGATCGAGTGGATAAACTTGTAATATCCCTGGCGCTGGCGCTGCCGTCGCACGCGCCAAAGCGAAAGGTGCCCCGGCTAATGGATCTCGTGCCAGTCGCAGTCCAAAAACTGTGCAGATAGATATCCGCGATTGCCAATTGGCATTACTGTGCGCATTTCTTTTTAATTGTTGCCTCAACGGCAACCAAATCAGAAGAGCTGAAACCGGCTCCGCCAACTGCCAATCGGAGACTCCACTCCGAGCCGGGACCACATATTTCAATTCGCTTATGATAGGCGCCATCGCCATGGCCAGAGTTGAGGAATAAAATTGCAGACTTTATGCGGTCGCAAAGTGGGCGTGTCAGAGGATGCAGGGAGCTAATGCAGCAGAGCTGTAATTTGAGGGAATTACAGCGAAGAGAGCTGCTCCCTAGGGGCACATCACTGTGCCGCTGCATCATGTGTGAGTATTCTCTCTGCCCAATTAATACTCAAGTTATTCACTTAAAATAAAACACTTTAGGTGCCTTAATGAACACATCGTTTCGGTGGCAGATGGCCATAATCAATCAGTTAACGCTTTGCCGACACGTTGGCTTAATGTAAGTCTTGTCCACTTGCTGGTCGGGGAGTCGGTGGCTTGGTGGCTCGGTGGCTCGGTGGTAGAGGTATTCATGCGAAATTATCTTCGGCCACTTTAAGCGCACAGAAAATGCTGACAATTAAAACCATTTTCAGTGCACATCACTGGGCGCGGCAATAATTTCGCATCTACCGCTGCCCCCCTTCAATACGCTTTTATGAAATTTCACAGTTCAATTAATGCATTTTAATTTTAACTTTATTTTCCAATTTACTTCACAGTCGAGCCGAACGAGAGATCTGCTCTCCTGTGCCATCTACCCGCCAGCCTCTGCGGGCCGACACGCAGGCGAAAAGACCAATCGAATCCGTGGAGAGAAAAAAGCGAATCAGGAAAATTGTTAACGCAAAATTAAAAATTGTTTTTGATTGATTGTTGCATGAAATTGCCAGTCGGTCTGTGGGCACCGCCACACACCGATGCAGGGCCCAGGGTCCCATTGATTGTAATTACCTTTCCCACTCATATTTCATTTGCTCTGTGCACTTAATTAGCAGTGGGTCCCAGTTCTAGTTCCAGTCCCAATCCCAAACCCGACCTGCCTTTCTGGCTGAATGCTCTTTCGGGTAAGCGTACAATATACGCGAAATAAGCGAATATGCGAAATGCCAGCATCGAAATTAAGTGAATTGCTTTTCATAGATTTTTTCCGCCATTTCAGAGGTTTCTTTTTCCCAATTCCCCATCTCAGCAATTTCCTTTGGCAACTTTTCAACGATTTTGTATTAGCAGCGGAAGGAAGTCAATTTTTAGCCAATGTGACAAGGCGACCAGCTAAATGTCGCCTTTTGTTACACATTTGTGGCGAAAATTAGCCAATTTATGACTCGCATTTCCTGGGACTAAAACTGTGTGTCGCCTTGGGGTTTTTCATGTGGCTCGTCTTGGCTTGCCTTGCCTTGATTTGGTATTTGTCCAGACCCCTTCCCGTTCCACGTTCCCGCCCCGATGATGCAATATCTGGAGCTCTGCAGTCCACAGGTTTTTTTTCTTCGTAATTGTCTCTGCGGAAAGCGCCAGGGGAAATGGCATCCGAAAAAGATCAGACCACCAGCCCAGTGGAGAAAGCCAAGTGTGTGCGTGGGGCATGGGGCATGCCACAAGTCTGTAATGAGATGCGTGCAGATAAGGCAAGCAACGATTAAGAAACTCACGATCTGTGCAGCACCCATTTGCACGGGTTGATAGCTCTCAGCTTGGGTAGAACCACAGACAGCTTTCCCTCATTTTGTTGTATCTTTTTCTCCATTGTTAAATCACAATTTGGTGTGTTAAAGTTGATAATTAATAAATGGCAACGATTAAATCCTTTAAATTGAACAACAACATCGGATAATATTCGCAATAAAAGTGCAGAAAAAAGTGCGACACAATGTCATGAAATACGCAATAAATAAAATGAATTACCAAAGCATAAATAAAATGCAAAATAAAAAATTGCACTTTAATAAATCAGAAAGAAGCAAAAAGGCACTGCCACTTGCCACTTGCCACAAACCACATCCCCATGAATCAATCAGTAAACGTCAAACGCTCCAAACAAAACAAAAAAACAGCAACAAAAAAAAAGGCCATCGAGTGGGCCGCCTCATTAAAATTGAATGAAAATATCTGCGGCAGGCAAGAGAGAAAGAAAAGCTGCAACTGGCGAAGACAATGCGATCGAAGGTGATCGAACTGTCGCCAGCTGTTGACAGGTGTGAAATGAATGCCATAATCGAGGCATTATGAGGCAAGGAAATGGCTATGGAAATTTGTGTCAACCTGTGTGGGGAGCGCATGGCCAAAGGGCTTTCTCTTGCCTGAAGCGAGTTGTGCTGAGTGCTGTGACGTCCGCACCAAATGGTTATGCCCGATGCCCGATGCTCATTTCCACACAATTGGCCAGGCAAAAACCTGTTGGCAAGTTTTCCCGCGCATACTTTTTGGCAGGGTCAATGCTGCTGCTGCTGCTGCTGCTGCTGCTGTAGAAAGCCATAAAAACCAAATTGTCATTGCCTTTAAGGGGATAGCGAGAGAGAGAGAGAGAGAGAGAGAGAGAGCAAGAGAGAGAGGTAGATATAGCTGCGCTTGCGCAATCGCTGGCCGAACAAGTTTTATGCTACACTTTAAGGATCCCCAGCAGAGGCAACAGCAGAGGCAACTCTGCGACAAGCAGCAGGCACACAACATGCAACAACCCACGACGAGACATCGATGAAAAGAAAACGAAATGCCCAGACACCGACGGTTTCACTTTCATTCGCAAAGCGCACGCGCAGCTGTCAGGGTCGCGCAGCCATCATCGAGTTCGAGTTCGAGTTCGAGTTCGAGCGAAAAGCGAAAAAGCGATTCCGATTCCGATTCGATGCTCGGAGAACAGGAGAGCAAACCGAACGAATTCCATTTGCCACGCTAATTACAATAGCCGACTAATAATCAAATAGAAAAGTGATTAAAAGTGCATTTTAATTGGCCGGCAATCAATATAAATAATTGAGTGTTGTTTTCATTGTGCGGCATTCCCAGACCCCCCACCACCAAAACCCCACCCAAACCCCATCCATCGCGTTATACTTCATGGATGCAGGTAAATAAATAAAAAGTATATATTTTAAATGCAATTTAAATGGTGGAAAATTGAATTTGTGGCTGAAATGAAACGCGTGATGCGCATAATTGGACCGCGATTGGCAGCAATTGAACATTTTGTGTGTGGAATGGAAGGACTTTGCATATACTCCATAAAATATTCCATAATCTAGCTGCAATTAGAGTGGAAGTTCAGCAAGTCTTGCTGGACTCACTTTCTTGGACAGGCACGAGACCAGAGCCCCCCCACTTAACTGGGCCGCAGCAGCACCTTGGGGCACTTAGGCATGGAAAGCCATGAATATTGCAAGTGAAATATGTTTTGGCATGCATATTTAATGGCCATCAAAATACGAGTACGGCAGAGACGGGGCCAGAGGCAGGCATGTGAAAACTATGTGAAAAGCCGTACGAACCATTTTAAACGCCATCAATTTCAATTTTGCAAATTAAATGCGTGGCAGAGCGCGCAGGCCCGCAGGCCCGCCCGGAGGGGTTGATTAATAATTCATTACGTTGCCAGTGGCAATGACATAAGCCCAAAGCAAATGCCGACAAGTTCAACAACTTGGCAAACCAGCGACAGGCGACAGGCAGCAGGCGACGTTTAGGGAAAATCTCACAGCGAAAGAGAAAGAAAAGCCACTTAGGAAAAATCATCATAAGACTCGGCTCGGCTCGGCTTGGCTATCGGTTAAAATCAAACAGCCCGGGACAAGTGAGTGCTGGCCACCACCGGCGAGTGGCGTGGCGTGTCGTGGAGCGGAGTGCCTTTTGGAGTGGGCCCAAAACAGGCCTTACCACTTTGGCATCCTCGTGTGGCCATCAAATGTTTCGTTTGGCTTTTTATTTGTTGTTTGGAATTTGTCATGCGGGGTTATTCACACTGCCATAGACATAGCCAAGCCACTCAACTCTTTCCACTTCCACTTCCATTTCCATTTCCGCAATTTCCATCCAGCAGCAGCGCCATGTGGCAGAAGCAACAACAGAAACCGCTGCTAGCAGCGACGCTCTTTGGCATTTGCTCGATGCTGGCCAGCATACAGCCAACTCTCTCTAGTTCCACCAGCAACCTGCCACTGCCACTGCCACTGCCACCGCCACCGCCGACGCAGAATGTAACAATGCCGATGGAGGAGGAAGTGCGGCTGCTGCGACTGGAGAACGATGACGAGGCACTGAGTGACAGAGCCAAGGAGGTGAGTCCGTCCGAGCTTAGTGAAAGATTTTGACAGGCAATGAGCGTCGCTTTTGACAGCTTAATAAGCAGGCAGCCGGAGATGCGGGACAGCAGGAGGTCATTGAGGATCTGAATTACGGCAGCGAGGTGCAGGTGGAGCTGGAGAAGGACTCTGCCGCAGACTCCACCACCACGGCAATCACTGAAAGGCCTTCGGAGTTCGTGGGGTAAGTCAGGGGTGAGGGCAGGTTTCATGTGGGGAATGGGCATAATTTCGTTTTGGTTGCAGAGTGCCGGGATTTCTGCCCACCGTTCTGCCACCGTCCACGCCGACTAATGGACACGGCTACATCCAGTTCGAGATGAACGAGGAGATGCCAGTGGAGGCTGTGCGCCGCCGGAGACCCATCGAGCAGACTGTGACCCAATCCCGAACGGAGACGGTCAACGAGGTGCTGTCCAATCTGTTCCCGAACGGCTTCTCGGACATCTTCCGCTTCAGCGGCAGGGTCCCAGGCACAGGCACAGACACAGACACAGAGCCAGCGACCACCACTGCCCCCACAGCCAACACTGCCACCGACAAAGCAGTGGTGCGGCCCACAGTTGATGCCACAGCCATAACCACAGAGGCCACAGTCACAGAGCCCGCCAGGGCAGAGGAGAAGCCGCGGCACGAAACGTACTTCAGCTACCAGACGACAGTCACCAAGGAGTACCGCCGGGAGCTGCGTCCAGGCCACACCGAGATCGTGGTGGAGAAGATCACCAGAAGTGAGCCGTCGTCGGGGGACGGGCACCCTTTCCGCGATGGCAGCAACCACATCTCGCGGGACGAGCTGCTGCGCATCAACCGGGCAGCGGTGGAGGCCCCCGTGCTGCCCAGCCTCCTGCTCCGCCCAGAGAGCGATGACAACGAGACGCTGGTGGCGGCCGAGAGTGCACCCATCGTCATTCTCGGAGAGCACGAGACGGAGCTGGAGGAGGGCCAGGAGTTTGAGGACAACCAAATAGCAGAGAGCCGCCACGCGGGCAGAAGTTATTACCAGCAGCGGCTGCCACCGCCAGCACCGAACAGCATCGAGAGCTACGCGAATCGAAAGGGGCCCGGGCAGGAGCAGGAGATCAATGTGCACATCGTGCACGACGATACCCTGGCCAAGGCACAAGAGGGAGCGGAAAAGCTGCAGCAGCAGTCCCTCGATCATTACCAGGTACGCGGCGAGCAGAGCGCACAGGAGGCGCCGTCGCGACAGTTCCTCAAGAGCTTCAAGCCAATCGTATCGGGCAGCGGCGATGGCCCCATAGCCAAGGGAACCTTCCACTACGAGGCCAGCCAGCCTCCCCAGTTGCCGTTGTCGCGGCCACGCCAGGAGGCCGACTTTGCCAATATTTTTGTGCGGCCTGCTGCCCCGTTGTCCTACCAACAGGAGCTCAGTCATGGCATCCCACAGTCCTCCCAGCAGCACCAGCAGCACCAGCAGGAGCTGCACACCCAGGCCATACCCTCGCCAGCTCAGTCCCCACCAGAGGTGCAGCAGCATTACTCGGACTACGCCGGACCCACGCCCAACAGTCTGGTTTTTGTGACACTCAACACTCCTCCTCCTCCTCCTCCGCCTCCGCAGATCGCAGCCTCGCCAGCGCCTGCTCATGCGTCGGCGCAGGAGGCTGCAGTTCAGATCACGGTCCATCATCCAGCGCCACACGAGTACGAGGCGGCGGCTGAGCCCTCCCAGCAGCACATCCAGCACGCCCCGCACCCCGCGAGCCAGCCGAATGGCTACACCTTCGTGGAGGTGCAAAAGTCCGTCAACATCCACAACAAGCTGATCACGGAGAAGGACGGAAGACTCGTCGAGCAGCACGAGACCATCTACCACCAGCCATCGCCTGCTGCGGCGACAGGGAAGAGCTATCCGTCGCTGACCACGAACCCCATCCACGTGGAGCAGGCGGAGCGCGAGAGCTCGCCGCCAGAGGTGGCCTTCGCACACGCTGCCATCAACCTGGAAACGCGCCAGCAGGAGACACCAAGAGACATCCATGCGGAGCAGCACTTCGAGACGATTCACCCAGAGCCCCCCCACTATCATCAGCATTATCATCAGCAGCAGACTGTGCCGCAGGTGGCTGTTGTGGAGAAGGTTGTGCCGCAGCCGTATGTGGTGGAGAAGCATGTCGATCGGCCCGTCAAGCAGTTCGTGGAGAAGCACATTCCCGTGCCGTATGCCGTGCACCAGCCGGTGCCAGTGCCCGTGCATGTGGAGCACTACGTGGATCGGCCCTATCCGGTGACGACCTACGTGGAGCGCCCGGTGCCCTATCCCGTGGAGACTGTGGTGGAGAAGATCGTGGAGAAGCACGTGCCCGTGGAGGTGGAGCGCATCGTGGAGCGTCCCGTCGAGGTGGAGAAGATCGTGGAGAAGTTCGTCGATCGCCCAATGGCCATACCCATCCACGTGCCCGTCGCCATCCACATGCCCATGCCGCCGACCCACTCCGGGCACTCTTTCGGCCACCATCCCAATGCCCTGCAGCCCCCCTGGGCGCACACAGTGGCCGCCCACATTCCGCCCAAAGTTCTCCAGAACTACTACACGCGAATGCTGAAGAAGCTTCTGCCGCAGATTACCCAATCCCAGTCCCAGTCCCAGTCCAAGCCAGCCAAGACTCCTGGCAAGTCTCCGGTGAAGCCTCCGGTGAAGCCAGTGCGAGGCGAGGCCCCGCCAGTGGCGACCTTCAGCCTGGCGGACATGCGCTTCGATCTGCGTCCCCCGCCACCGCCACCGCCTCAGGGCTCGGCCTGGCTGCAGGGCGCCCGCTACATCTACAACACTCTGCCGGCAGATCTGGCCACTGCCGGCGCCTCGGCACCCGCCCAGATGGTCAAGTCGTACATTGGACCCGTTCCGGGATCGGCAAACTCCGCATCCGATGGATCGACGGGCAGCGAGTTCGACGAGTTCCAGCGCTGGCGGAATGGCCACTCGCTCAAGCGGAGTCCCGACTTTGGGCGCAATCTGCAACTGGAGTACGGCTTCAAGCCGCCCCTGGTGCCGTCCATGGAGATAGACGACAAGGGGAATCCGCTCAAGCAGCAGGAGCCAGAGACGCGGTGAGCAGGCAGGCAGCCAGGCAGCCAGCCAGTCAGGCGGAGGAAATGTGAGAAAACGTGTGCCAAAATATGTAGAGCTCTAGCAATTATTATTATTACACATATTTAAAGTATTTTGCATTTAATAAAAGCCCATAAACATTTCAAACTTCCTGCAGCGAGGGAAACCTGCAGTCCCTAAGGCAAATTTAAGGAGCACCCCTGAAGGACACATGTGGTAACGTGGGTGCAGTATTAATTAAACAAATGACAGGCACTCAGTGGAAAGGCCTTAAGTAGTTGGCCTCATGGAGGAGGAGAGGGGTGAGGGAGCGTAATGCCGATTCCTCTTTATCTGTACGCAAACAGAGGCCTTTGCCACGCCCATTGGCAAATGGTGAAGTGACGCACACGTCCAAACATGTCCCGAAAGAGAGGCGGCCGAGTGCAAAGATTTATATGACAGCTAATAAATTTTCAACACATGTAGCAAAGCAGCAGCAGCAGCGAGCAGATATTAGAAGATATTTTTGGGTGTCAAGCCTCAGCCTCAGTATTGTATTGTATTGAGAGGCAAGGAGGCTCTTGGAGGGAAGAAACTAAGAAAGCCAGGCCGGAGGCCAGGGGGCTTGGCAAATGTTTGCGCAGCGACTCGAAAGGCACGTCACGGCAGCAGCGGATGCTGCAGTTGACATTTGACATGTGAACAGGAATAGAAAGGGGCAGACAAACCGTTTAGAGCACGTGTTGAGCGGCGGAAACGGAAACGGGAACTTTGGCGCACAGAAATGGCGGCATGTGAGGCGCCAGCAGAGTGGATGGATGTGCCCTCCAGCTTCAATCCGTTCTGGGATTATTCATTGCGACTATTTATGGGGCATAGTTGTGTATAAATAATTGCATAGCTTGTACTTTCTTTTGACACTGTTGAGTTGAGTCTATAAATCACTGGGCAACACTCTTTAAGTTCAATTGCAGCTCAGCTCAGCTCAGCTCGGCGCGCACGCCATGTCAGCAGATTTTATTCGGCTTTTGCCAAATGCCAGCACACACATAAATCATAGATTGTGCAATGCCACGCCACGCCCACAGATCAGCCCAGAAATCAATTGAAATTGCAATTGCAATTGCAAGTGCAGCTGCAAATGCATTCAGCATTTTGATAGACTCCCCAAAGGGGAGTGGGTCAGAGGCAGCCAACGGGAAAGATAACCAAAGGAACAATTGAATAATTTATATGCAAATAAATAAGAGGACTTTCGGCAGTCGGCAGACGGCACAAAGAGCCGAAAAAGTTCTGGCCAAGTATGTGTTCATTGTGCATGAAAAGCGTGTGAAATAAATTCTCTGATCTGGCCACAAAAGGCGTAACACACACTGCCACGGGTCCAACGGCTACAGCTACAGCTACAAGAACAAGGACAACGACAACAAACGATTGCTGGGAGCTATTGGCTATGTCGACGATTGCGAGTTTGCTTTTTTCCCCTGTTGGCGGAGGCCTACCTCCCTCTCTGGAGGGCTGTCGGCCCTTTCTGGTTTGGCTGCTGCTCGCTGCATGTCATTGTCAGGGGCTGCCAACTCTGCATTTGATATACGATGTGTTGGCAGGCAGCCCAAGTTGGCGGACGGGCGACAGGGCGACAGGGCGGCACGGTCGATTCACGGCACGGGGGCGTGGCACTGCGAGACAAATGCAGCTGAACCGAAAATTGCATTTCCGCTTTGGAAATTGCGCAAACTTCCGCCCCAAGTGTGAGAGCGAGAGCGAGAGAGGAAAAAAGGCTAACCACGAGTACGTCGGAGCGTCGCCAGACAATTGGCAAAAATGTTCTATAAAAGTGTGAAATAGGCCGTCACCCCGTCACCCCGTCACCCTTTTGGCCACAGTGGAAGAACGTGGTGGAGTGGAGAATGGGGCAGACATGCCGCAAAGTGGCCCCAGTGAACCACAGAAAACTTGTCACACAAAAATGAACGCAAAAATGTCAAAAGCATACAACGGATAGTGCACAGAGAGCGAGAGAGAGAGAGAGTACAAAAAAAGATTACTCTGGCACAAAAAGTGTAAGAGACTGAATGGAAGGCAACAGCCAATAAGGAATATTCCTCCACGGTTTCCACTGTTGCCAGCCAAAAAACCCAATAAATAGCTCAAGTAATGATAGCAGCAAAGAGAATCAAGCTTATGTGGATTTAAGCTGGCTCTTTATAGAGGGAACCTTAAGCCTCAATGCTGCAGTTTTTTCCCACTGGCCGGGCACATGCAAACCTGCTTAGCTTCTACCTATAAGAACCACTTAGAGTAAAGCATGTGCACACTCTCGTATTTATCATCAGGTTGAAACCTTTGATTGCTTCAGTCACGTCACTAATTGGCGACAATTTGTGCGGCAGGCAAATTGCTTTGACTCTTACTCGAGTGGAGCAGAGCCACCTCCAAAATTGATGGCTATAGAAACGAATGCGTGGAAGAGCTCGGCCACTTCCACTTGTCTGGGCCGGACATTCTGCGCCTCGTATTCCGGACATGTCACAGGCGGCGGCGATGACGACGACGACATCTGCAAACAAGCAGGGAAGCCCTAGAATTCCTTTCAATCAATTCGAAAACATCGAGCACTGGCAGGCAGCAGGCAGCAGGCAGAAGACAGCCGCAACAAAGGGATGGCTGTATAGAAAAGAAGTCTGCCACGTGCCAACAGGGCAAACAATCATAACTTTGCTGCATTGGAAAAACGCAGACCCAGAGGAGGACTACAGCTTTGTAGAGGAAAAGGAGAGCAGCCCCGACAATGGCAAACATTTTTTGAAAGCCACAAAACCAATGTGTGAGAAAGAAAGAGAACACAAAAGAGTTTGAACAGTTCAAGATGAACGAATGGGAAACGCAGATACTCGTAGGTAGTTCCCATTGCCACCCAACAGATTTTCCAGTACGCCCGATTAGATGGAGCTTTTAAAGCTGCTTTCTTATGCCCGAAAGTGTGCAGCAGAAGTGGGAAATGTTGCAGAGGTAAGCTTGAAGTAAAGTGCATGTAAAACTGGATTGGGGCAGAGCCAGGCCAGGCCCTCCCCTTCCAAGACTCTTCTTGCGCTGTGCAACAGTCGAGAGACCCCCCAATCCAGCGAGAGAGTAAAAACTAATCAAAATCCTCAATTGCAATGCTGGAATAAATGCACAAGGCAGAAATGTATTATTGGCCAGTCCCAATGAGAAGGGGAATTCGAATTCAAAAGCAGAAGCAGAAGCAGAAGCAGAAGCAACAACCAATTTTATGAAATGCCCAACTACAATAATTATGGACAGGAAGAATAAGCAGGAGGATACTGCTGGCATCTGACAATGTGCGGGCGAAAGGAAGGGAAGGACACGCACAGATGCATTCCATGATAACAACAGCAATAATAACGATGATCATGATGATGATGATGATGATGATGAAAACTAGCCAAATCCAAAGTTTGAGCCTGAATCTGAGCTGAGTTGATGCTGAAAATTGCGAGACCCCGTGAAGATGGCTGTCCAAGGAATTTCAATCACTGGCGAAGGCAGGCAACTTTGTGATTGCATAACTGCCCCGTGCCTGTCGGTATAAAATGCTCCCAGCGGGGCTCAGGTAACTTCCCCTGCAGCATTCCGTTCCGAGGGATGAGTGCCGGCTACGCTTCAACCGCTGCAGCAAGCTGCCCTGCACAAAATATTCTGTCAAAAACAACAGCACACCGAGCGAACAACAAACTTTTCACATCCACATCCACACCAATCCCCACTCAATGCCCGGACTTTAGCTGGCTCTGGCCACACTTTTAGCATGCGTGCGGTTGTCGGGCAGCGGCAGCAGCTGCGGCAGCGCGGTCAGCAGGTCGACAATGGATCGACCTGGCGCGGATGGGGAGTGGGGGGCATTGGTTTGTCGAGGGAAGCGGCAACTGGCAACTGGCAACTGGCAACTGGAACTGCTGTCAGAATATTGGCAAAGTTTTCATGTTCGACTTTCAAGTGTGCGGCAGGAAGAGCGAGAGAGCGAGTCAAGGAAAAGTGGTAACCAAGTGTTTATTTTGTGTGTTTGTCTTTGTGTGTTATGCCACAAGAGGCAAGTGCTTGTTGTTGTTGTTGTTGTTGTTGTTGTTCTTGCCAGTGGTAAATTATTTAGATTGCGAAGACACAACGGGTGGGGCTTCTCGGTGAGCTTCTGCAGCAGCAGTTACATTGAATATCTCGGCTCTTTGTTTTTGGGCAACTAATTCACTTTATTGGTCCATCCGCCCAGATACCAATCCAATCTTCGTTCCACGCATTATCCACAGTCTGGCGTCTCGTTAGCAGCGTAATCCTATTTCTGCACCAAAGCAAAACAGTAAGGGGACCGACGCAATAGTTAAGCACTTAACGACCCTCCTCAAAGTGGGGCGTGTCAAGTGCACTGCTCCCCAAATCCCCAAATCCGCAGCCCGACAATCCCATGTACTTATGGATGCCAGATTCTACAGAAATTACTTTAAACTGTTTACACTTTGTGTCACTGCCGGCTGTGCCACCGTCTCGCATCTCCATCTCCCGCATGTTGCGGCAAAGGAAAACTTTGCTTTACATTTGCCAAGTAATTTCCACGAAAAATCATTTTCATTTCCGTCGAAATCTCTGGGCGAGAGGCTCCCTACATGCTCCGGTGAATGTGCGAGTGTGTGCGCCATTTTGACACTTAATTATTTCAATTGAGGCTGTCGTCCCACGAGGGAGGGCCAGAGCACTCCTTCTTCATCCAGAGAATTGCCAGAGTTCTCGTTGAGGCAGAGGCAAAGGGAAAGGGAATGGGAAAGGGAAGGCGGCCTGCTTTTTATGGCAGTACATTTTACCTTTTTTTTGTTCCCCATCTCCTCGTGTGCATCTCGTTAACAGCTTTTTACAACACACCCACACAGACACACTCGCACTTGTGTTCTGTGGAGAGATATGGGAAATGGCTGCGAGGGCTTTGTCTCATTGCCGCTTTTGTCTGATGATTTTGTCGCAGTCTCATTTACAATATTTGCCTCCCTGCTAACGGGGCGAACAACAAATAAAATCAGCATTAGCTGCATTGGGCGTTTATTTGGGTTCAGCCCGAAAAGCCAGACCCGGACCCGGAGCCGGACCCAAAGCCAGATCCACAGCCAGACGACAGGCGGTCACAGCGTACAATGGCCCCAGGACCGCAAATGATAAAGCAAATCACTGCAAAACATTACGTGTACCATTTGCAATGCAAACGCTGTAGTCGCAACGCTAATACTCTCATCTAACACCAATACTCAGGCGTGGCCATCCACAATCCTCTATAGAGTATCCACTAAGGCACCCTCATTTGGTTTCACTTTCAAATCGAAAGAGCGAACGATGTTTTTTTTTTGCAATTTCAAATAAAATTGAATGCGATTGCGAGGCGAATTACATTTTGCGGCCGAGCCTTGCCTTTGTTTCTGCATCGAAATAAACCCAAAGCCGAATAGGTAAAGGCCGCTGCTCCAGACAATGGCGAGGACGCAGGACTAAAGTGACATTTCCTCTCTTTCCACAGCAGATTGTCGGGGCAAATTTACAAGAACCCTCGCCAAATCGAGGGCGCGCCCACAGACAAAAGACAATTGAAGTTAATGTGCGCCCCCAAACATTTGCCACACACACACACAGTCGGCTGGCCACACAACCCACTTCCAATGACAGTGGGACAGTGGCTTGAGGGGGCAGCTGGCCATTCCGGTTTTGGTATTTTACTTTGGGATTATTTTGTGATTTATGCGGTCTTCGAGTTGACATGCAGATTTAGATTAGGAGCCAGGCTCCCTCTGCTCGAAGGACATCTCTGCTTTCCGCTCTCAGCTCTCCCTGGGAGATGGAATGCAGCAGCACGCGCATAAATCTGCTTGCTTTCGGGGCTTGCCACTGTGGCGTATGAGTGATATTTTAGTTTTCTCGTTTTGCGGCTGCCGTTTTGTGTGTGGCATTAAAAGATTTGCCTGGACTCCGCCACAAAAGGAGCATATAAAACAGGGATTTACCATTAAAGCAAATTAAATGTCTCAGCTCTGTATATAGAAGCAGCAGGAGGAGAGGGGAGACAGCAGAGGGGAGGACTCTCCTGTGGCGATAAAAGTTTAATTAATTATATGGACACTGAGTGATTTTGGTTTATTGTATCCGCATTTGATTAGCCCGCATACTTATCATTCGGCCATTGGCTAATTAATTTGCCCAGGACTGGGCCTGGCAGGGCGTTAGACCTGCGAGTTATTTGGCAACTTGTTAACTCTCCTCCAGCAGAAATGAAGTATAAATATTTGTAATAGTTTTTCCACTTCCACTCTCCGGAGCGCACTCTGGAGCGGGTCAATGAAAAGCAATCATTCGCACAATTAGAAATCGTACTTAGTATCAAATTGCTTGCAATTACGAAGCATTTTAGTGGCACAACAGAGGAGCCCGGACAATATAATGGCACGACACATGAGACTCTCTCGCACACATGCAGGCAGCCCCTGCCCCGTCCACAGCAATAACAACGATAACAGAATGCGGCACACACGAGCAGACACCAGAGACAGGCCAAGAGAGACAGTCCGTAGTCGGAGTCGACTGAATTTGACTTAAAAATGGGCAAAAAATTGCGGCAATTAAAGTGGCAAATTGTCTCGAAGAAGAGGCGGCAGGCGTTCGATGTTCTCTGCCATTGTCCTGCCATTGCTGATATTTCGCATTGTGAAATGGAGCCTTAAATGAGTTTTCAGTTGACTTCGCATGGGGTTTTCTGTGGTCTCTGCTCTCCACTCTCCACTCTCCACTCTCCAATCTCCATTTCAATTTTGATTGAAAACCCTTTTAAATGCCAGGCCTTGGACCATTAATGGGAAAACAGAGAAATAAAATTAAATGCGTCTCCATCTCCATCTCTGGCCACAAAACGAATCCTTTCGATGCGCCAATTTACGCTCTCAGGTCTGGCCAAGTCGAAGCACTCTCATAGATTTCACTTCACAGTTTGCATTCAAGGAGCAAGCTGCTCCCCTATCTGGCTTCATTTTTATGTGCATCCCTCGGTCCGAGATTAGCCCCTGAAATATGGCCACGAACCTCTTGGACGCCTGGCATTTCAGTCCCTTGGCATTGCTGCCAAGACGCAGCTGCCAAGCTGCAGCTGCCGATTCTATCAGCACCCGAATCTCAATTAACATAATTCACCTAGTCCTAGAGTGGGTGCAGGAAGCAGAGATTCCCCCAGTCATAAACTAACAGTTTCTGTAGCAATCGCAGGGCAGGACAGAGGGCAACTTCCCTCCGAAAACAGAAGCCGAATCAAGACAGACCCGGACATGAGCTCAGGTCGGTCGATGGGGGGGGGAGTTCGCTCATTGTCAAAGTGGAAATTGTGTTCATAAATCAGAAACTGTCGCACATGTGTGACACCCTCCTAGAACTCCTCCCCAGAGCCACCAGCCACCAGCCACCAGCCTCTCCTTCCGCCCACTGTTTATTGTGTTGTCAATTTGCTGCGCTCGTTGGCTTTCTGGCTGCGATGGCGTAATTAGATTTCGGCCTGGTCCGGTCTGTGCGGAATGGACCGGGAGATGGTTTGGTCTGGTCTGGTCTGGTCCGGTCTGGGATGAGATGGGAAACAAACCACGCAACGGGAAGTGTCGGACTATTAAGGCAACGCTCGACCAGGAGGGAGATCCTGCTCTGGACCACCACATGAAGGAAGCATCGAAATGAGTCCATTAAAATGTGCCCCAATCGATGGCCTGGGCCAATTTCCTCAACAACCAAATGACCAACTGTCCAAGTTTTAAAGCTGACCGCAAAGTAAAACCAATTCAATGGCAATTAAGTGGCGAAGAGGCTTGGCCATTGTCAAAACTGGAATCTGGAGCATTCAGCATTCAGCAGCCGGCAGCCGGCAGTGTGTGAGGTTGACTCACACATTTGGCCAAGCAATTGTTGTTGACTTGGCAGGTCCGTTGCAGGCCCACACCGCCCGTTGAAGTCACTTAGTTAGTTGGTTAAACTTCCGCACGAATGCGAATGTTTGCCACCACAAAGCAACAGCAACAGCAAGAGCAGCAGCAGCAACAGGAACAAGAGGGACTGGAGATGCAGTTGGACTTGCAGTTGGAGCTGGAGTTGTGGTGACTGCATCCGCAATGCAACTTTCGGTGTGAGATTTCCGCCTATTGCCACTGGTGCGGCAACTCCCTAACCCCTGGCTGGGGCAGGGGCAGGGGCAAGCCAGCTTCTGGCGCATCTTCCTCTGCCTGTGTCTGTGTGTGGCTCAATTTATTACGAGATTGTGAATCTCCGCCACGATTACAGCAATTATGTGGCTTTTGGGGAGGTCTCTGGCCGCTGGCACAGTGCCCGAAGGCGTTGCTTTAGTCTCGCTCCCCGTCTAATAACTCAATTTCCACATCAAACCCAGCAGCCTGCCTCCTGCAGCCGCAAAAGCAAATGTGAAAGTGCCAAAGTCGCGACTGACACTCGCCAAAAATGCATCGGATTGAGACTCGGATGCGGCGCGGATCCAGCCTCAGCCTCAGGTGCAGTTCCATGTCTAATGCTCTCGAATAGATGGCTCCTACCTACAGCCCCAAAGCGCAAACCCAGCATCAACCATGGCAGCTCGCTGTCTCGGATTGGTGGCAATACAAATAATTTGTCAGCCACTTCATCAGCCGCGGCTGCTCCCGTCTGTTGCGAAACATCTTCAGTTGAACTCTCAATCCAATCCAACGGAGGATTGTCTAGCAGTTGGCCAAATTCTTCCTATAAACCACATAATCCCAGACAACAGACACAGGCTCATAGGAAATGCGTGGAAATGCATTGCGTTCGTTTTGGCATTAATAAATTAATTATACAACGGCTCGGCTCGGCCCCAGTCTCAGCCTCAACCTCAGCTGCACGCACAAGATAGTCAACTTCAATGAACACAAAAACACCAACAAAACAAACAGCGAAAACTTAACATAGTAAAAAACTTGAGCATTTTTGTCAGGAGCCACAACAGCCATAACAAATAACAAATATGCTGCAAAAGTTGATGGTCAAAAGTAGTTGAAGTGGCCAAAGCCATGGCCAAAAAAGCTGCTCGAAAAACAGAAACGTTCAAAGACAAACAAGGAGAGCAGCGGAGGCTTCTCAAGATGGTCGACTATGGAATGCTCTCTTGCAGCTGATCATCGATCATCAAAGTTATCAATGGACCTACACTGGAGCGTTACAAATCGAATCGCAGGCTCATCGGGCCAGTTGTAGAGGGAAGTATGCATGAGAAATGCCAGAGCCAGCCCCACAGCATGTCTGCAACTGCAACTGGCGAAAAGCTGACGTTTGGCTGGGAAATGCCGTGAGGGGGGAAATGGCAGGGGGGGGGCGGGGCGGAAAGCAAACTGGCTGGATGTCGCTGCACACACAAAACTCAAGTGGCGCGAAAATGTGAGGCACAGTTGCAGCAGCAGCGCGCAAGCGTGCGGTTTTCCCTCCACAGTTTTCCGCAGCCGAAAATAAAAGCATACCGTAAAAGCAGGAAAAACCAACGAAAACTCAACTCAAATTAAAAGTCGCATTAAATAAATGAAAAACCAACGAGGACGAGGACGAGTAGCAAGTTTAAAGAAAGCTCAAAGCAAAAGTTAAATTGAATAGACAAAAGTTGTCCGTAAAAATATAATTCGCAGCGTAGAGCCTGGCCAATCAATTATTTAGCAAGTGCTTCCCGAATGGAATATTCAATGAGAATAAATTGATTCAAGGCCATAAAACTGTGCAGCCAAAGACATTCTTTAGGGAGCCACTAACCGAAAGAGATTCCACACGCTCGATGAGTGTGGAAAAAAGACAATAATAATTAGCATAGAGAAAAAAACATCAGCCTGAGGAGAGAAGCAGAGAAAGACAGAGATTGAACAACAATTGCAAATTAAGCTGCCACATTTCGTGCAACGTGCAACGTGCAACGTGCAACGCTCATTTGAACTTCCGGCGAAATGGCCATCGCTGATGCTGCTGCTGGCCCCACCTTAATGGTAAGTCCCAAGCCGTGGAGGTCATTCCTGAATCATTCAGATGCCGAAATTTTAATATACATAAATAACAGACAACTGAAAATGCAACTGAGGCGTGAAAACAACAAGTGCCACGGCGGAAACCTTTTCAGCCAAAAAGAGTGAAAAGTAAAGCGGCAAAAATTGTCTGCCATTGCCATTAAAGTGAGAGTCTGCCATGGCCTGGCCAGGAAATGGACGATCCCAATCCCAATGCCAGCCATTCCATTCCGTGCATAATGCTTTCCATACTCATGTCTCTTCGTGAATAATTCATGTTTATTTTCGTTTTTGTTTGCCCTTTTCCCTTTGCCAACGCGTGTGCTCCCTGGCACTTGAACTTCAATTAGCAGCCGCCCGCCTGTCCCCCACGCCACACTTTAAATTTCTCGTTTAATTACTTGCCATCCGCCCCACGTTCGTGCATAATAATCGCCACTCGAATGCGAATATTTCAAATACTTTCCATTTGATTTTTAAAGCGTCTCTCCTTGGCCTTCAAAATATAGGCATGGATTGTGCGGAAACAAATGAACAAAAGTCTCTCGCCATTGAATCCATGTGGATTTTATAATTTAATGACCTCGGCTGCATGGAGCGGGCTTCCATTTAACGATTATCTAAGAGTCCGTCAGATGGGAGTCGGGGAATCGGAATGTCAGACAGAAAGGAAACACACACATTTGCCATCGAAACGGGAAATTTGCAATTTAAGTGGATGGAAAAAAGTTTTCAGGCATTTCATTTGAGTGCAGTGGTTTTCCCTGTGGCCAGGGAAGTTCCACTCTGGCGCCACTCCGCTCCCCGCACTCCTCGCAGTCTTTTATTGCATGTGCATTGAACTTGACTCTGGCTTGGGGTTGGGGCTTGTGCTGTAGATGAAAAACCAAACTGGTTCTTGCCACTGCCACACCCAGTGACTCCCAGCCACCCTCGCATGCCGGGCAACAATTAGCTCAAGCTGTTTGCTCAAGCTTTTTGCCAGCTCCATTTTCCCTGGCCTTGTGTCTTGACTTGGACTTGGACTTGCACTTGCACTTGCTGTTGGTCTCGGTCTCGGTCTCGGTCTCGGCCAAGACTCTCCCCTACCAGAAGTGTGCAACGTTTTTCCGCTTTGCTGCATGCAACAGCAGCAGCAGCAAGTGCATATTGTGCGTGCAGCAATTAAACAAACTTGTGGCCAAACAGCAATTACAGCCAGTCAATGAAGCCACCTGCGTTCGGATCGCAAGAAGAGTCCCAGAGGAAGGATCCCATGCCGGACTTCTATTTACTTTGATCTTTTTCTTTGGCGAACAATGGGCTTTGGGCTCATGAATAGATTGTACAAATGTTACTTAAATGCCACAATAAATGGCAAATAAATCGTTAAACTTTAGTTGGGGCTGCCTGCAGCTGAGCCTCGAAAAGTGTTTTTTGGCAACTATTGAATTTCCATTTGGGATAGACACTAAGGAGAGTAGAAGAGTACTTCGCGGAGTAGAACTTTTCCTTGGTGTATCATAAAGAAATTGTTAACTAGTTTGCCAAGCACTTTTAGAGCCATAAAATCCGCCAGTTCCCCAGAGAGATGGAGAGCGCAGCACCAGGGAAAATAGCAACAATCTTTTATTGGAGTTTTCTATTGAATTTTAAAACGATTCTTGCGCGTGTGGCGGTCCAAAATGAAAAGACATTTTCCACAGCGGAATAAAACGAACACCTCTCCCTGCAGTATCCACACCCCCTCAGCCTCACCCTCAGCCTCATCGCCAAAGTGTTAAATAGAAAACACATAAAATTTTATGCACGACACAGTGGCATGGGGCTTGGCAGGGGTTAGAAGTGGAGCAGGGGAAACTGCAGTTCTCATCCAACAAGTGGGGCGTGTGCCTCTCTCTCTCGCGTAGGCTCACCCGAAGGCAGGTGGCAAGGGCCTGCCTGGTTGGCCTGGTTGGCCTGGTTGGCTGCCTGTTCGGTACAGTTCATAAAAATTCACTCGGGCGCAGCTTTAACGGCCGTTAAATGTTTACGCGGTTGCATTCTTAACGACCGTTGACAGTTCATTTGGATTCAGTTTTAGCCTCAACTTTAGAGGGCTTTTGGCATGGCTGCTAAATGGCTGCTGCTGCTGCGGCACGAGATAAGCCAGGGCTGGCCCCCTGCCACCATGGATCACAAATGAAGCCGTTGCAGGGCCAACTTTTAGCTATTGATTCCCGGCCACATGGCATATGTTGTAGGCTGGTAAAGGGGAAGGACAGCGACTGACTGATGGCTTTTGTGTGATATCTTCCGCAAAGGTAATTGCAAAAGAGTTTCTGGCATTCCAATGCAATCTTCGATTATCCCCGAAACCATCGCGAAATGTAAGCCAGTTGCATCACAAGACAGATATAATCCCAGTGCCATAATTGGTCTTACGTAAACTCTGGAGAGGTGCAAGAGAAATGCAATTGAATTCGGACTCAGCGGCGGAGACCGAGTTTAATGGCCACAAAAGCCAAGCCGCGGCACAAGTTCAACCTGTTGACGTGAAAGTGGTTGCATGAATGGACAAAGAGGCAGCTGGGAGACACCCAGCTGAAGAAGTGGCTGTGCCAGAGCGCGTGCGCAACTCGTTTTGTGGCTCCGAACTGAGAATCGGCCAGCGTCCAGCGTCCAACTGCGGCTGTGGCGCGACTCCAAGTATTGTTTTTGGTCAGATGGAAAGTGAAAGTGTTGGGCGGACATATTGGGATTATTTATGGATCCTCCACAGATGCTTAATTTATGGGGCTTTGTGTTTGCAGCTACTGCTACTTGGCCTGAGCACGGCCAGGGCCATGGACACCTGGCACCGCCTACCCTCCCTGGAAACCTTCGCCAGCTATGAGGTAACTACCACTCTTTGCCCCTCACAGGAGCACCCATTGATCTTGTCTCTCTGGATGCTTTGTAGGACATGCAACGCTACTTTGAGCAGCGGAATCTACGCAGCATGCGGCACATCGACAATCCCACAGACGACAGCTACCTGGCGGCCTTCAATCAGTACAACGAGCAGTCCGAGGATCGGTCGCAGGGCCATCACTCGCGCACCAAGCGGGAGGAGCGCAGGCTGCCCAGCGCACCGCGAATGCTGCGCTTCGAGCTCTCAGACGCCGTCGAACCGAGTGACGAACTGAAGCTGCTTCTGCGGCAGCATCAGGCCAGGGCTCTCAAGGATGCACCCACCACAGAGAGTGCGCCGGCCAGCACCACCAAAGCCGCAAAGAGCCAGCGCCCGAAGCGGAAGCCACGGCGCCAGCGACGCTCCATCATTGGCCAGCAGCAGCCGGTGGACTTTAAGGCAATGATGATTCCATTCCAAGAGACCGATGCCCGAGAGCCCGATCCCTACACAGCGCAGTTGATACGCGAGGCCAGGATCCTGGATCTGCAGAGTCAGGCCACCAGAACGGAGCCAAAGTTGGGCCCGAAGCACGGCTTCCAGGTGCGCATACGCAAGACGAAGCGATCGAAGCGATCGGCCCCTGGCGCCTCCCCGCAGATGTTCAAATTCGAGCTGACCGACGCGAAGGCAGCTCTGCCCCAGTCCCTTCTGCCACAACGCGCTGGGAAGCAGCTGCAGCCCACGCCCACGCTCCTCACAATGGAAACCCAACCGGAGAGGAGCAACACAACTCAGGGCCAGGCCCCCACGAAGGCCACTCCCCGGGCGGAGGACAATGCGATACACAACAGCGAGTCGACAGCGGAGACCAAGCGAATGTACGTGTACAAGGAGGCGCCACAGAGCAGCGGCCAGGGCAAGGGCAAGAAGTCGCTGGGCGGACTGCCGCACGAGGTGCAGAAGGCGATCAGCCAGCTCATGAAGGAGGGACACGGCGGCAAGGCGTACATCAAGTACCTGCCCGCCCAGAAGTCCGAGTACGAGCACTACAAGATCAAGCCACTGTCCCCGCTCTCCGGCTACGGCCTCAAGCCCAGCTCCTACATGAAGTACATGCCGGGCGCAGGGCAGACGAAGCTGGTGGAAGCATCGCCGGTTGCTGCGGCAGCCCAGGTTCCCGTCCAGGTGCACATCCAGCCCGTGCCGGTGGTCGAGCAGCTGCGGTACATCCACTACAAGCCAAACTACGCCCAGGTCTACGCTGCCCAACCGCCCAACAACATGGCCCAGCATCCGATTGTGGTGCAGGAGGCAGCCGTGCCGCACACGTACACAGCGGAACTGGCAGCTGCAGCTACACCTGCTCCTGTGCCGCCGACCCAGTCGATAGACGTGATTGTGCCACAGTTTCGGCCCTCGAAGCCGGACCCACTGCAGGAGGAGTACCGTGCCCAGGAGCCCATCTATGGCAGGGCCCTGGAGCCGTACCAGTACGCGATCCAGCACGAGCCAAGTCCCGCGGCCTCGCCGCTGATCAAGATCGAGTACCATGCGCCGGCGGACAGCGTCAAGGAGCACTACAAGCAGCTGCCCGAGTTCCAGCAGCTGTCGACGCTCATTGGCAAGTCGCCCGACGACCAGATCCACGGACTCACCTACCTCCTGGCCAAGGAGATGCAGGCCAAGCTGCAGCGCCAGGGCAAGCAGCTGGTGATGGATCGCCCCCAGGACAGCACGGCGCCCATTCTCTTCCATCCCGGCCAGGTGCAGGCCCCGGCTCCTGTGCCCACCCTCAAGACGCTGGCGGATCTGGGTGGCTCCCTGGGCGTGCATCAGGGCCGACTGATTGGCATGGCCAAGACGAAGCAGTACGTGCCGATCATCGAGTCGGCGGGCAACAACGATGTCAAGGAGCAGCTGCCCGCCGTGCCCAGCAGCATGGCTGCTGCCCCCCCCAAGCTGCCGACTCCCAGCTCCTTCATTGACTACACCCCGGGCCATGGACTGTCGCACGGGTACGAGGGCGTCAGGGACGAGGAGCGGCAGCAGCCCGTGACCACAGTGGAGCATGTGGTGCATCATCCAACCATCACGAACTATCATCAGCAGCAGCAGCAGCAGCAGCAGCATCCGGAGCAGCATCATTACCAGGGTGCACATCTGGCTGCCACCTCGCTTCCGGCTGAGCTGGATGCAGAAAAGGGTGCGAACGGGTTGCACTTTGTGAGCAGTCAGGAGGATAAGTCGGTGAGTCCTGCCCATTTCCGATTCGGTTTAGGCTTGCAGCTGAATACTTAATATAGGAAAGTGGATGCGATGCGGCGCTCCTTCCGGTGCTGACTCTTCCGTTGCATTAAATTAAAGTACACCTTGGGGCGTGCCACACAAGGATGTGCCTCGATAGCTCCATTGATTGGCATAGGCAAGAACACAATCAACATAAATAAGAGGGAGCTTGCCACATCCACATCCACAGACACACACGACAATGCGACGGCAGTCCCAACAATGAGAATATCCGAATATCCCCTGCAGCAGGATACACAGGGGAATGTGTTTGTGGCACATCGTCTCGCCGGTAATGCACTTAATCGAATAATTTTCAAGTTCGACAAGCATTTTCAATGTCGTTAGCCAGGCACGAGAGAGCGAGCCACATCCTCCGCCATCTCCTGGCCAATTCAGCCACAGATTGGCATCCGTCTGGCCCCCCCCTGTCATCCTTCATTACTCTACGACAGACGGCAGTCGGCAGTCTGTAGTGCCCTTTCCCTTTGGATTGAATTCGGCTGCTGTCTGAACCAATTGATATAGATATATAGCATCCAGATACGCTATTCATGGGGCCAAAACCTCAAGCACCTGGGGAGTTTCCTCAGAGCCAGATACATGCGTCGGAATTAACATTTTTCTTTCACTGCAGAACTGAAGTTGCCTTTCCTTACTTTCGTCTGGGTCCACATTTCAATGGCAAGGCAGGGCAGGGAAAAGGTATCCCAAAGATAGATACAAACAGGGGCAGGGACATGGGAACTTAAAGACGAGTCCAAGGTCTGGTCCAAAAAGTGCAATTTACTTCGAAAACTTAGCGCAAAAACATCAGACATTCCTCCACGAAGATCGAACGTCTCACTTGAGCTCGGGGCACGCCATTTGGTACAAAAACTGGACCATGGTGCGTGTGGGACGTCCCGTCATGCGCTTGGCCGTGAGGTACGGGATGAGTCCGTACTGGCTGAGCAGGCCCGTGCCCCGTGTGTCCAGGTGCACCCAGTCGGCGCAGGGCACCAGCTCGTGGAGCACGGCTGCCGCGAGGCAGGAGCTGGCAATGCCGCGCCCATTGTTGCTCAGATCGTAGCCCAGCTCGTCGGTCACCTGGCGACGGTAGTACTGCCACAGGGGCAGGCGCCACACGCGGTCGCCGGTGAGGGAGCCAGCGCGCTGGAACTGCTTCCAGATGTAGTGGGAGTTGGAGAAGACGCCGGTGGCGCCGCCGCCAAAGGCCTTCTTCACGCCCATCTCGAGGGTGGCCACGTCCGCCACGAGCCGGGGATTGTAGGTGTTCTGGCCGTAGAGCAGGGCGTCGGACATCACCACAACGCCGGCCTTGTCCAGGTCGCGGATGGCCATCGACTTGCCGTTGAGCAGGCGGACCACATCGCCGGGCTTGCAGGACATGCCCGAGGGCATGTTCTCGCACAGCGGGATCACGCAGGTGACATTGATGGGCAGGGAGAGGGCCGCGCAGGCGCGCATCATGCCCACGCAGGCGGCTGCCCCCGACATGCTGCCGCGGTACTCGTCCATGCCCCTGCACGGCCGCATATTGAGGGCGCCCGAGTTGAAGGTGATGCCCTTGCCCACGAACAGGATGGGCTTCTCCTCGGGAGCAGCGCCGCAGTAGCTGATCTCCAGCATCACGGGCGGCTCGCAGCTGCCTTTGGCGATCATAAGGAAGGCGTTCAGCCGCTGCGCCTCGATCCAGTCCATGGTCCGCACCTCGACTGTGATGCCGCAGGGGCACAGGGCATCCACGGTGGCCTGGGCGAACAGGGTGGGCGTCATGCAGTTGGCTGGCGCATCGCTGAGGCGGCGCGCCAGGTTCTGGGCGTCGGCCTTGAAGATGCCGCGTGTCCAGCCGTCGGCGTCGGCGGAGTCGTACAGAGTGAGCGTGGGTATCAGCGGCATGTTCCTGGGGGCCAGGTTTTCGGGGAAGCGCCAGACGGCGAGGGCAGCCCCCTCTGCCGCCTGCTCCGGATAGTCCATGCCGTCCACCGAGATGGCACCCACGCCCTCGTCCTGCAGGGAGCGCGCCCCAATGCCCGCCGCAATGCGCACATTCTCCATGCCCTCGTCCAGCATCTCCAGCTCGTTGAAGGCGATGCCCTCCACGCCCAGGCCCACCACAGCCACCGAACTGAACTCGGCATCGACGCTGTTGAAGATCCTGCCCCGACCCAACCGCCCGTCCAGCTTCGTCTCGCAGATCAGCTCCGCCAGCTTGCCGTTCACGCGCCCGTCCACCTTCTGGCCGGTGGGCGTCAGCTTCGGCTCCTTGGCGCCATCCTCCTTCAGGTACAGCCCCACCACGACGCCCTTCGTGTTGGCCTTGACATCCCCGCAGCTGTGGCGCACCCCCACCCCATAAAGGCTGCACATGCCCCGCAGCGGCAATTGTTTCACCTTCCTCATTACGGACATTGCGAATTAATTTCAATTTCAATTTCAATTTCAATTTAAACGATTTCCCACGAAAGAAACTTCCAAAATATTTAACGAACGAATTTTTTTGTTGAGCGAAAAATATTTCCAAATTTTTTTTGTTTTATAGAAAACGAAAATTTGTTCTGTTTCTTCTGAACTGTAGAATACGACTGGGGGAAAAGGGGAGATAAGCCGGCTGGCTAACTGACGTGAGACATGTCAAGGCCTTCATGGTTGACTTTTTCAGAGTTCCATTACAAAACAAGGGAGAGACAGAAGTAAGCCATCAAAATAATATCTGTGCGGACTTCAATTTGCTCTACTGCTGAGTACTCCTGACTCTCATTCGTTTAGTCCTGCAGAATGCAATGTCCCCGGTCCCCGGTCCCCGGTCCCTGTCGCTGTCCCTTGCCCCACTGCATTTGGTGTAGGGACAACACCGTGGCCCTGCCTGGACAGAGCTGTCGGCAATAAGTACGAGCATGCCATAAGCAGGCCCAAGTTCGAGTACTACTTGGTGGAATTTAAATTATATTTCCCCAGCCAGCAGCAGTCCAGGACCAGCACCATGGAGCTGTCTCCTTTGTGAGGCGCAGAATCGACTTAAAATTGTTTTCGAGCAAAGTTTGCTTTGACGTTTTCCTGCTTTATGTCGTAGCACTTTTATTCGATTTGGGTGGGAGAAGCTTATTACATTTTATTCATTGGCATTTGTTGTCCTGCCAGAAATGTGCATTTGCTGGGGGAGGGCCAGCCTCCTCCCAGCCACCCTCCTCTGCGGAACCCAGCAAACAACAGCCGCAAAAGCAATGCAATCCCCAATGTAATGGTCCTGTTCCTGTTCCTGTTCCTGCTGCTGATGAGGCACACACACACACATTGTTTTAGTGGCGTTTAGCATGATTTTTAATAGGCTTTTGCCTTGTCCCTGTCGTACTTGTCGTCATCCCCGGCTGAGCCTCGTCGGCTCGGTTGTGTTGTGAAACCCCAGAAACGACGCCTGATGACCATGATGGGAGATGGGAGTTGAGTCGAGGACATGGCTGGGAAAGGCAGCCGCCTGCCCATTGTCCTGTCTGTCTGTCTGTCCGGACTGTCCATCCCTGACAGGCAAACGACACTTGTTAGGCTCAAGTTTAGGCGGAGGTTAGAGCCGGTTGTGGGGTGTCCGTTGCAATGCTCGTCATGGGACTTGTTTGACAGCAGCTGCTGCTGCTCTTGGGCTCCCTGCCACAGGCAGTGCCACTGCTGGTAACGTGTGCGAGCGAACATGGCTGGATTTTTGGGGAATTTGTCATTTTATTGTGGCCGAAATGGTTGGTAATGGTCGTCACTCACTCTCCAAAGTGGAGCTACAAGGATGAAGGATAAAGGATGCCTGTGTTGCTGTGTGGCTGTGTTGCTGTGGGTGTTTCCTCCTCGGCTGGGCTTCAACATCTGCAGGTGCAATATTTTTCGGCTTCCCCACACTCACACACACACACACTCACACACACTTGTGCATTATTTTAATTTCATTTTTATTTCAACCCTTTTGCTGTTCGTTTTGTGTTTGCCTAGCCCTTCCCCTTGCCTACTATTTTTAATGTGGGAGCACAACATATTTTTGCAAGTGTTGAAAAGAGATTTGGTCGGGGAGTGGGGCAGGGTCGCTGGCCAAGCACAGATTTAAGTTTTATTTAATGGAGCGGCAGCATATGGGTCGGGTCTTGATTATTAGTTCGGTTCTGGCATCGAAAATCACTCGACAAAAAAGGTTTAGCAGGGGCACAGCTTAAGCCTGTGGAGCCTTGATCCCTCCTGGGTCCCGGGACATGTGTGGCTAATGTTCTCGAGTTCTTAAGGCCTTTGTTCGTGCAATTGATGGCCTGCCCGGCCGACACTCCAAAAACTGTGCAAACAATTTCATCAGATCAGTTTTAAGAGCTATGTCTGCTGATGTCCGCTGTTCTTGGGATATTTCTGCACACTCGGAACGTGTTCTGCTGAGTGTATTTGATTTTATTCAAATACTGGATATAATACCCGGAATCAGCCTCGGAATCCTCGGTGTCGCTGGCTCAGCACATGCTCGCATCTGACCTGGGGTTGACTTTAAATTAGCTCCACTTCATCCGCCGTTGGACGTAATAAACCGCAGCCAGTCCGGCACCAGCAACCCAACTACAACTACAACTACAACTACAACTACTCGTTCTACCCGCTAATATTGCGCTCTTGGGGCGTGGCTGGAGGAAAACTAAAACTGTATGCTGTGGCAAGGCATTTGCCCGTTCTCCCATTTCGATTCCTATTCCTAGTCCCATTTCCAATGCTGTTCGCAACGTGCTATTGACAGTCACATTCGCATAAAAATCACGTAGTTTGACATTTTTCCTGCTGCTCTGCTCTGCTCTGCCATTTCGTTGGATGGATTTTTTTTTTGCTGTTGTTCTTGGCTCTCATCCTCATCCTCGTTCTGCTTTTACTCGGATGGGTTTGGGCAGCAGCCGCAGCAGCAGCTGTCACGCAATCAGCCCGAGCGCATTGCCAGGGCAAAGCCAACAAACTGATAACTCAATTTTGGTTAGAGATGCTCCCTGCCCAACTTGGATACGAAAATTGCTAACAAGCGAGCCATAAAAACTGTGGGTGGACTGCATTTAAAATTTGCCCCCCTCCCCACCCCTCCAACCCACACTGTAAATTATACAACAATTTCGTAGTCTAATCATCAACGTTTGAGCAGCAGCAGCAGCAGCCTCCCCCCTGCCTTTGCCTCTGCCTCTGCCCACCCCTCATAATTGTGTGGCCAAAAGTTGCACAGCGACAATTGGGCGAATGGCTGCTGCCGTGTGGCATAAACGAGCCCAGGACATTCATTTGACTGACGAGCGCTGTTGAACACGTTCGTTCCACTCTTGGCCAGAGTCCGACCATGGAGGTGGAAGGGCTAACGGGCAGGCGGCACACAGACGGCACTCATATCCAAGTGCAGCTCTGGACGCATTACATTGTAAAATTGGTTTTTGTAAATTGTTTGGACACAACATTTATTTCCATTTAAATGCGATTTGCCTCGACTCGGTTGCCGTTGCCGTTGCCCCCCCACACACCCACACAGCCTCAAATCCTGTCGGGGCTCAGACCAACTCAGTGCCACACTTGTTCAATTTTAAATGAGCAGCATGCAGCACTGTGGCACTGTGGCACTGCTGCACTTGCCACACACCACCAGCCAGCCAGCCAGCCAGCCAGCCAGCCTGCCTGCCTGCCTGCCCGCTGTGTCCCTTGAGGTTTTCGGTTGTGTGGCACGAGGTGTTTGCAACGCTTAAACGAATTGTGTGAATAATAAACGCACCACACTCCCCCGCTCAGTGGCTCACTGGGGAGGGAGCATCCTCAGTTACCCAACAAGGATTAGTGTCATGCCATGCCCACCCTTCCACCTGAGTGCAAATCATCAGCTAATTGAAGAGGCTGCCCAAGTGCGGGGCATCCTGCATTAACAGTGCTCTCAAAGGGCTAAACCCCGTCAAAAAGGCTCTGAATTCTAAGTAGCAGAAGAAGCCGCGAGGCCAGCAAAATCCAAATCAAAAATAAATCAAAAGAAAGCAAGAAATCAGCAGTGATGAGGTCAGGGGAGATTGCGAGGCCCCGCAGGCCCAAGCTCGAGAGTTGCGAAACATTTTAATGACCAAAAGATGACACAAAGCCGAGGCGCCGGTAATAACTTTGATTATATGCAAATGAAAGGACGCCAAAGGACACACCCAACGTCAAAGTTCCGCCCAATGGGCAGCCATGAAAGCAACTCACTCCGAACTCCGAACTCCAAACTAAACGAACTCACGTAGCTTTTGGCTTAAATTGCATTTTGCACTCGACACTGCACAAATCCTCGTCGCACAATTCGACAAAAAGCCAACGAAAGGAAACGTGTTAAATGCAAAAACCTCCAGCTCGACCCTCCAGCTGGACCGCTCTTAGCTCCAGCTCTGTCCACTCCCGTTTGACATTGACTTTCCCATTTGGACATCCACAAACATACATATGATATGGCTTAATAAACAAGGAATAAACAGGGAAGATCTGAGATGAGACTCGCATCTTGTGGCTGCTTCCAGATCAGAGATCCATCTGCGTTTCAGTCTGGTTTTGGCACCTGAGAACATCAGTCATGCCCAGCATTTGGGCAGTTTGAGTGTTTGTTCCCCACCCAAGCCTTGCCGACTAATGGACCCTCGTGGACACACAAAGCACCAAGATTGGGCAGCGTCATTGGGTTTACGGCAAATGCATTTTTCGATTCAGCCAATGGCACGTGACTCTGATTTTGGCTTCGCTTTTGGTCCTCATACAGCTTCCACTTCGATGGCTTTCATATTTTAGTTTCGATGTGAAAAAAAAGTGACCCATCGCTTGCTTGGACATGTTCCATCTGCATTGTAATTATGTTCACTTTAATCAAATCAATTTGTAATGTAATGAAATTCCACCACCCACTGCAGAACCCCCTGCAATTTGCATATTCCGCAGATATTCGCGTCCTTTTTGCATGCAGCGGAGGAAGCGTGAAGGCGGCAGCGGCCGCTGCTGCTTTGCACGTTAAAATCTATTAACATTTTTGCATTGCCTTAATGAAGCTGCTGCTGCTGCTGCCTCCACTGCTGCAACAATGCGGAATAGAGGAAAAAATGCATATTTTGTTTTTGGATTCCATTAGAGGAGAGGAGAATGATGAAAGGCAAAATCGCTGGACCAGAGAATTTATTAATTATGTTTAAGAGAAGCAAAAATGTTGAATGTACGCGGAATTCTGCTGAAATGTGTTTCCTTTTTAATCCATGGAGAACAACAAATGCCAATCACAGCAGCTCCAACTCCGGTTGCAAGTCCCTTGCAATCAGGTCCATAAATCTTGCACAAAGCCCGAGAAAAACTTTTGTTCTCTGCGGCAGAATGGAAACGGAAGCTGAGCAAAAATCTAGTCAACAATGTAACTTAATTAAACTTAATTTACAACTCATTAACATATCAAAAAGTTTGCCACGCCCCCACATATACGCAGGGACACACGCACACACACACACACACACAAGCACGAATCTTGGGTAGGCCATAAATACCACAGAAACAGCCCGAAACATGTAGCAAAAGTTACCAACAGTTGTCGCCAGCACAGAGGTACAGAGAGAGAGAGAGAGAGAGAGGGAGAGTTCTGGCATTTGAATGAGCGGAAACGGAAACGCACACGCACACCAATACACACACACACACACACACACATTTTGTTGCCATCTTGCTGCGGGAATACTTACAATAAAAAGGCAAAACCCAAACAAAAAGTGAGGGGAGCCGGGCGGTTGGAGGGGGCAAATCAACGCTGCATGGCCAAGTGTCAAAGGGGGGAGGGAGAGGGGGAGGGAGTGCTAGATTTGTACAATATATTGTTGCAAATTTCATTACGCCCGCGCCTCCTGCCTGCCGCGATACTCGTACACAATTTACAATCACATGCAGAGCAAACAGTGGCATGTGGCATGTGAGTGACATTCCTCCCCCATGCGCATTCCAATCATCATCAGGCACCGAATGCCGCTCCGAATTCTGCGCCCCAATTCCCACGCAGTTGGTGCATGAAGCAGGAACAGTGCCGACCGATCTACAGTAGAGCAACTCCCAGTGCCCTCCTGCTGGTAATCATCTGACGGCTTTGGCTCGCTGTTCGTTGTTCGATGTTCTCCCAGGCGAATGCATGGCATCTGGCAGTTGTTGCTGCTCGCTGTCTTCACTGTACACAGTGTGTGCAGTGTGCTTAATACATTCTTAGTACATTCTGCACTGCATATTTTTCAGCATGCGCACGAAATGCTGCATGCAACTTATCGGTTTACTGAGCAATCCACACACAGACATACCGACTATTGCCATATGACTAACTGGCTTTGTGCCGTCTCTTCCCTCTCTCTGTGCTGTCTTTAGATGCAGCAGTACGCCTCGAAGTATGCATTCGGCTATCGCATACGTGACTTCCACACCGGCAACGATTTTGGCCACAAGCAGAACCGGGATTTCCATGGCGTGACACGCGGCCAATACCATATTCTTCTGCCCGACGGACGCATCCAGAATGTGATTTACCATGCCGACGATACGGGATTCCATGCGGACGTCAGCTTCGAGGGCGGGACCAAGCACTGAGTCAGGATTTGCAGTGGAGAGCGGAAAGCGGAGAGCGGCCTAATGTGCAATCTATGTTCTAAGCTAACTCTAAGTTCTTTCCAGCCAAGTGAAGGCTCTCCCATGGGAGAATGAGCCTTTGCCATTGACTCCAGCATGATTCGAGCTTCCTTTATCCACTTGACTACTGAGTTTCGCCAATTAGCGAAATGGTTGCTTAGTCAGGAGTAAGCTGAAACTATTCACAGAGCCACAAACAATATACTTGAGGCCAAGCCCATCCATTCAAGCATTCATATGCAGAAGTACCCATTGAATTTCTCAGCCTCGCCGGCACAATCTTTCTCGTTACCAAATAATTATATTCGCCGTGTCTTGGGTGTGTTGCTGCAATGTGAATTGCAACTCATTTTCTGGTGTGGTTTCTCGAGCAGTTCTCAAATAATTTAAGCCCATGAAAAATGTAATTTAGGTTAAGGAAATCAATTAAATAATGAATGCAAGCCGAGCCAGACCCTGGCTGGGAAAACAAATGTGCTCAATCGATGTGCAATAAAATTAAATCAATAAATTAAATGAAAATCACTTTTCAGAATACGCAACTGCCTGGCTGTCCGGCTGTCCGGCTGTCCGGCTGTCCGACTGTCCGTTGCCTGCTCTCTGACAAATTGAACAACTTTTCCACAAGGCAATGCATGTCGGATGCGAATCGATATGACGGCAGGGGGAAAACACCTTCGGATTGGCAGATGCGCTACACTCCGTTTTGCACTACGAGTTCGCGTATGTACAGTAGTTAGCCGCGGGGCATCGGGTTCCGTTTCCATCCATAATTGAGTTTTAAGTGCTTCGTTATTGTGCGTACACACAGCATACCCCGCAGCCTTCTCCCCGTACAATTATTCAAGGCAAGACCTGCCTTGCCAGTGACCTTTCGCTTCCGCTTGGCCTTTTTCGGTGATCGTTTTGATGCGCTCTCAGGGTGCGCGGGGGGGGGGGGGGGGGGGGGGGATCCGTCTCTCCGATCTGCATGTGTTTCGACTTTAATTAAAATTGTAGCAAAAATTTCTTCTAGCGATCTGCGGCCAGGCAGCGAGCAAACCATTCATTTATCTTCATTCATCTGCGAAGGTCAAGGTGTTGTTCGCCAACAACATTTTTGCCTGGGATTGTACTTTAATTAATTTACGTGCTTGGAAAATCGATCGCTTTTATGCGCCATCATCCTCAGTGGCAGCAACAGTGGATCTGGCCTGCGGCTTGAGGGAGAAGCAACGTGACGTACTTGGCCCGAGATCGAGTTCGATGCCATCGCAGATACACGCAAGAAATGCAACCGCAATCACATGTGGCTCTGGCTCTGACTCGGGCTCTGCTACCATTTAAAGTTCAATGTTGCCAGCAATTGTAGAAATAACAAATTTTTAAGATGGATCCAGCATCTCCACTCTTGCCAATTTGTTTGCCACTTTCCGACTCCGCACCTTAACTTTTGCCTTTGCCTGTGTATTTGTATTTGTCTTTGTCTTTGCATTTGCATTGCATTGCATTTTGGTGTGCCTGTCATGACGAGCCGAACTCATGCAGAGCTCATTAACTAATTTTTAGTGGCAAACACAGTGAGCGGTGCCAGTCTACGGCCAGCAGTAAACAGTTTATGGTTCGTAAAAAACAAAACAAAATGGAAACTATTTATTGGCTGAGCGTAAAAAAGTCTTCGAGGTGTTTAATTCAGCGAAACTATTGACTAATTTACAAGTACCCCTCAAAATGTATGATTAAATATGCCAGCAAGGAGTGCCAACATTTACTTATGCGTACGTATGCATGCACTCTCGGTGCGCACTGTGGCCAAACAATTTAGAACATGATCTTTGGGGCTTCTAATTTTTGGATGCTTTAATTGTTTTGACATTCAGCAGGCAGGAAAATGATTGGTAAGAGGCTGCCAGCAAACGAACTCCTTCTATAGGGGCCTGCCTGTCTTGCCAATTTGGCGACTCTCTCAGCGTGATTGACGTTAATTGCCAACGCGACCAGGCCAAGAGATGCACACGTCGCTCGCAGCACTCAATGCACCTCACTGCTGCGATTCTTGTTGTCGAGTTAATTAAAAACAGAAGCCACACGCACACGATTCATGAAGGCCTGGCCCCAAAAACCCTATGAATTCTGTGAGCCCAGCCATGGGAACCGCGTGCATTATAATTATGGTATTATTTTAAATATAAATCAGCGCATTAGTCGTGGCAAAAAAAAGGCAAATAAGAGAAGAATAATCATAGGAGCCCACCAAAAACCCACAGACCAAGCCAATTCTCGGGTCTGCATGTGAAGCCCCGCAGAGAGATCGAGTCGGCGATGGACGCAGATGGTGGTGCGGGGAGCATCCCGAATACGAGTAAGTAGAAGTTTTTGGCGACGATAATAAAATCCCATTTAAGTTTGACGATAAGTTTTGACCATTAGTCGGCTGCCAGAGGGGGCTCAGAGCAGAGGCCCGCCTTGGATTTTGCTCCTTTTTTGCTTACTTTTTGGGCTAACCATTTTTTGCACTTTTATTTCTTGTGCTTTGTTGAAGGCACAGCAAGTTATGGGCCAACTTTGGTGGCTCACATTCCAATTGATAAGCAATGGGCGAGGCCTGGTGGCGGGGGCGTGGGCGTGGCTAATGTCTTGCCAAAACTTGTCCAAAGGTTCGCGCCGACTGTTTTTGATAAATGTGCATGGGTGGGGGAATGGCTCTCGAAGCGATCAAAAAGTGGGCAATTATAGAGCATAATAATGGGCATAGAATCCCGTGCTTAGATTTGCTTAACTCTTTAACAGCCCGCTGCCTGAGCACTGTGTTCGGTTATCCTTTGCCCTCACTCAACGTGTTTGGCGTCTGCTTCTGCTGGCAGTTCTTTGGAGCTGTCAGTGCCTGGGACAATGCATCTGTGTGCCACAGCGTGAGTGGCGCGCACTGGTAAACACGTAAACAACGTCAGCGCAGGTTACGACTCAATCGCTCAGGGTGCTGGGTGCTGGGTGCTGGCTGAGATTCATCCGTGGCACGGCTAAATAAAAATTAACAAGGATAAATGATGTGAAGAGGCAACCGATGGCAGACAATGCCAGACAGTGGGGGGTCGGTAATTGTCTAGCGGCAACCGGAGATGCCGTCCTCCTCCGCCGCTTTGCACTCTCTTCTGGCTAAATTGATTAAATGGGAAATTGGAATATGCAAATGCAGCGAATGCAGCCCTGGAACACACACCCACACACACACACACACACACACGACTCTCTGATGCAACTCGTCCCCGGGCTGGGCGTGGTCCGGGGGCGTGTGCTGAAAATGTGATTTATGTTGGGTGCAAACTTTTTCCCCTACTTTTCTCTGGCTGCTGTCCCCTTTTTTTGCAATTTGGGTGCAATGAACGGAAGTGCAGCGACTCAAGACGCCAAGGATATCATCGCTTGGCTCTGACAATGGGTGGAAAGGACCAAACAAAGTTCTGGAAAGGTGCGAAACGGAGAAAAAATTCGCTTAATTTGTCTAGAGAAAAGCCAGGCGCATGGAAATTTCCATTGAGAAAAATGGTGGCAAGTGTGGCAAGTGACGGCGAAAGCTCAAGTTTAGTTGGGAAACAAAAAACTTATCACCGCTCCGCACGGAACACCCAAAGAAATGAGAGCAATCAGCAGAGAGCTAAAGAATGCCAACAAATAAAAAGATATCAAATCAAATCAAATCAGAGGCGGGATAATGAGAGCAATCAGTTGGCGGAGAGTATTTGCTGGCAGCAGAGATATGACAAGATCTATGCGAAATACCAAGCGAATCGAACGACATTTGGTTCCCCTTCACCGAAGATCTGTCCGAGACATTTGGTCTATAAATAGCAAATGCTAAAAATGCCCAAAACTCCGCACCTCGCCGAACAAAAATGCAAATCATTCGACGCGTCTGGCGTCCAGACAGCGCCAGCCACCGACCACTTCCCACCGGATTGAGACCAAAGAGCCAGAGGGAGGCAGCAACAACAGCAACAACAGCAACAACAGCAACGACATTTGCTGGTGGCAATAAAACGCGGCAATTACATAGTTCGACTATTCTATCTAATTCACTCATTTTTAGCTCGGAAAGAGGTGCGGCGGCAGCAACAACAGAAGCAACAACAACAGCAACATTCAACAGGTGATTCGTCTGAAATGTGGCACGAAATGCGCTTAACAAATTCAAAGGAAAATCGATGGTAAACAGCAACAAAAAAAAATCATTTTAAATGCTTCTGAGTCTGTTCTTTTAAATGTTAATGTTTTTTTCCATCTTTGTTTCTTTGTGGCTGCAACAATTCAATAAGCACAGCAACAACAAAAGCAGCAACAGCAGCTTTAAAATGTCAAGAGCTGTGGGGGAAAAATGTTGCTGGCAAGCAAATGAATTCTGAATAGATTCTGCTTCCGTTTTGGCTAGAGGCTCTCTCGAGTGGCCATTTGATGAATTGGGCGGCAAATCTTGCCAAAGTTTATGACTCCAGACTTTTTGACGAATGACTAAAAATCAGAGGCAGAGCAACTGCAACAGCAGCAAGTGGCAGCAGCAGCGGCAATGACAAAAGTTTGGCCATCACAAATGTTGGCCAATTGGTGTCAAGTTATTGTTGGAAGCGGATCAAAGGAAAGCCATTACTGGCACCTGGCATTATATAAAATTGCGCCCCATCATATTGCTCTAATTATTTACATTTTTACAAGTTGAAATCTTTTCGTAATCGCAGCTACCACAAAATGCACTCGAAGTTGCTCCCACTCGAGTGCGCTCATAGAAATTATTATAAATTTTTTACTTTTAATGTGGAGTATGGAGTGTAGAGTGCGGCCCCCATTGTTGCCGGGTATTATGTTGTAAAGACAGCTTTGGCAGTGGGTTCCCTTCATGCGGAGATGTTCGCATGTGTCTCGCTCGTCGCTCGTCGCTCGGCGATCGTCGATGGTCGGTGGCGGGGCTCAAGTGTCACGGAAATCAAGCAGTTTTAAGTACCAAAAAGTTGTTCAATTACTTGGATTTACCCTCCAACCGGTAGAGAGTCCATGGGGGGGTTCAGCTAGCTGGCTGTTGGCTGACCAGTGAGGGTATCCGCGAATCGGTTGGCTCTAAAATGCGCAGACAGCTCCTCACAAGTGGTCGATACAAATGTGAAGAAACCCGCGCTGAAATCAGTCATCAAAAATAGATTGCTTTTAATTGTTATTTAATCTGAAATGTTTCCACCACAACCACAAATATGATATTTTATGCTCAAGGTTGATGATGCCTGACGGAAGGAAGGAGCCCCCAGAGCCACGTCCGACACGTCGCCAGCCTTGTGCAACACACATACAGAGGGGGGGGGGGGGCAACATCAACAGCCAATGGATAAGCTTATGTTTTGTAGGTTTTTGGCATGAGCCTCACGTCATAGATTGCATTTTCGACCAGCAGGGGGGATGGGCGGACATGGCAAATGGGAAATGGAGAAACAGGGACGGGACGCCGCCACATGAACACGTCTGCAGCTTGTGCAATTTTCACTCGCAGCCGCATCACGTTCTTCTCGCCCTCTCTCTATCCACACAAAGTTCTGCTTCTCAGCTGCTGCTGCGTTCTGCTGAGTGCTCAAAATACAAAAACAAAAACAAAAACAAAAACTAAAAAATAAAAGGGCTCTCAGAGCAAAAGTCTGACATTCCCAGTGACATTTTGTCCCCCGTCTCGGTTTCAGCTGCATTGCCCAAGGGGAGGGCAGCCAGCCGCTCATAAAAGCTTAAATATCAAATTTTGGTTTCTATTTTGTTCGTTGATTGGCCAAAAGATTTAATGAAGTCATTTTGGGGCGTTGCAGGCTCTTTGCTTAGACTTGTTATACATCCGCTTCAATTGAAATAGACGAACGAACGAACGAACGAACATCATCATCATCGTTCGTTCGTAATGATCATAACTGTACACATCGTGTTCGATTGTTTGTTGTTGCGCGAAGAGCGTAGTTGTTGTTGTTGTTGAATGATCTGCAATATTTTGTACCTTTTCAACACTCAGATCTCCGTCTTGGCTGGCTCTCAATTGTTGACTCATTCTGAGAGAGAGCTTTATACATACATACAGAGAGAGAGAGCGAGAGCGAGAGCGGGAGTGAGGGAGAGCGAGGGAGAGCGAGAGAGGAAGATGATCTAGAAGTTAGACGGCGAGACCTGCCTCAATTGTTCAAACCACTTTTTCGTTACTTTTTAGGTGCAGTTGGCTGCTGGCTTCTCTGCCACTGCCAGCGCCTCAGCCAGCGCAGCGTCTCGAGCGTTTATTATAAAAAGGCAGCACATCTCCATTGTCTAACCTAATTCAAAACGTTCGTGTACTTTGTGCGGTTGTCTTGCATCGAATAGTTAAACACCCAAAATAAGCCAACACTAAAAATAGATTAAAGGAGGAGCAACCAACCCCCTCCACCCGCACACACACACACACACACACACGCCGCCTGCCCCGTCCAAGTGGAAAGTGGAAAGTCCGTAAATAATAAAAATAATTCAAATGGGAATTTCCGTGCGATAAATAAAAGGCGCTTAAGCAAACACTGCAAATAATTGAAGAATAATTACTTTAAACAAAAACCGAAATCTAATCCATACAAAATTCAATTATTTAGCACGCGGATTTGTGGATACAACAACCAAAAAACTGCACTCGATATGATGTCCTTCAAGTCGTTTATGCTGCTCGTAAGTAAATGTTACGTTTAATCAAATTTCCATACACTCGTAAGCCCACATAAGTCCAGTTAAACAAATCATGTGAGCAGTGCCCTGGGACATCCTTCTGCCACGCAAGTTAAGCTTGTTACATGCCAGAAGCAAAGGCAAAAGGACACATCATGGTCATGCGTGGTCCTGCAGGGTCATTTTTCCCGTTTTTTTTTTTGTCTTTCTTGGTGAACTTTAAATGGGATTTGCTAAGGAAACTCTTCTTCGAGTGGCACACAGCAAACTGTTTGCTTTCTGTTGGGTTTGGGGCAACACTTGCTGTCAATGGCAACATAAACTATTGCATAACTTGCCACACGTCTGCCACCGAAACCCCCTCTCATCATCATCATCAGCATCAGCATCATCATAATCCTCCTGGTTGAAGTGGCCAAGGCACAGGCAGAGTGCGTGCGAGTGCCTCGCCCCAAAAATCGAACAAATTGCAAATAATCAAAGACACTCAAGTGCCTCTTCCGCCCCTTAATACAACTTTACTCATATGTATGTTCGGTCCTTAGCTGGCAATCCAATATTTCGAGTGGAGGCAGCATCTGTGCCACGCAAAATGTGCCCCAAATCTAGGCAGAGGCAATATTATTTGATTGTTGCCCAACTTAACGTTTCTGTAGTGGCCTGACAGGTGCGGCAGGACACATGTTTGTGATAGCCTTCTCTCTAGCCTACATTTAGCAGCCATTTTCACATAGAAAATGTAGAATAATACTCTGCCAAAAGGTGTCGCGAAACAATAATTTTATTTTTGCAGATGCTTCAAAAACTTTCACTGTTTTTCTTTGCGTCTGGAACGCCCCCACCAGGGGAGGGATATCCCTCCATCCACTTGTCTTTCCATCGCCCTAAAGCAGGCAACAGATCCGCTGCAGCTGCAGACAGACACACAAGCAGCTCCTCACGGGATGTCTGGAAACGCCGCCACTTTCCCAGCCTTTGTGTGTCTGCGGCCTGCCAAGCAGTTAACTGCCAAAAGGTGGCACAGACACAGACGAAGGTGAAGATGAAGGGGCAGGACACCCAGCCAGACGCTTGTAATTTGCCGCTTGTAACTTTTTGACTTTTTCGCCAGCGATTCTCTGCTATAACTACTTCCCTTTTTGTTTTTTTCTTTTTGTATGTTGGCCCGTTTTTCTGCTGGCCAGACACGCCCAAAGAGCAGGTTGTGTCCCATGGGACGAAACCTATGCGAAGGGGCAGAGCCAGAGCCAGAGCCAGAGCCAGACACTCGGTAGACAAATGGCTGCTGGCCGCCGAGTCCGCTGAACGGCAGCGGAACGAGCATGTTTTACATGTTAATTTTCGCATATCCATATCCACCTTCACATTAAACCACTGCGATGCCCATGCCCTGCGCCGCAGCTGCTCATTTTCGCACGCAAAATGAAAAAGAGAATCGAAGACCCGAAATGTAAAAACGATTCAATGCGACGAGGCAGCTCGATGGATGAGTGCAGCTCGGGCACGCTTTTGAATTTCAAATGACAAACATAAAATATTCACGGTTTGCTATTTGACTTTGATGAAGCCTCTGAAATGCAACCTAATGCCGCCGATGCAGAGCCAGAGCCAGCAGCAAGAGCCAGCAACGAAGGCAATGATAGAGGTTTCGGTTCCATCTGCATTCTGTCGATGCTGGGCTGAATTGTGGTAATTTTGGCAAATTCGAATTGTGAATTTGTGGATGCAGCGAGGCGCAACTCTGCATTGTGCCGGCCTCTGATTAGAGACGACTGATTATGGCCAATATATCGTAGGCCGGGGCCAGAGCCCTATCCATCTGTTGACTGCTGACGATTCAAGTGTGAATGATTGCCCAATTGTGCGGCCACAGCGTGCTTGCACCCATAGCTGTTCAGATGTACACCCAGATGTAGAGGGTACATCCGTTTCATCGTTCAGGCTAAAATTCTCTTGGTCTTCTCCAGTTGTCTTTCTGCCACGGGAGCGCATTGGCAGTTCGTTCATTTCCCCTGTTGGATTTCACTGCTGCATTACAAATGCAATTTTAATTGAAATAATTTGGCAAACTCGCCAGATATGCCAGATTTCATTCGCTGATCAAAGCCTTCGGCAATTGAGCCGTGGCTCGTTGGCTCAGAGCTTTGTATTCTGCTTCTCGTGGCATCCTACATCGTACGCTTGGATGTATGCAATTTTTGTGGTTTTACGATATTTGTGGCATCTTTGTGCGGTTTTTATTGTCTTTGGCAATGGCTTGAAGCTCTCAACAAGCAAAAAAAAATGCAAGAGAAACAAATAGCAAAAAATTAATGACGCTTGAGCAAGCGGCAAGAGGCAAGTGCAGCAGCAGCAGCAGCAGCAGCAGCATCAGAGGAAGGCAATGTCGGTGGTAACCAGCCAACCATCTGGGTCTAAGTGTGTGTGTGTGTTTGGTAATCTAATTAAATCGAAATTTCCAACGATTACAAAAGCAGAGCCTCCGCCTCCGCCTCCGCCTGTGCCTGTGACTCCCCTTCACAGCCTCCGCTAATTGCCCAACCAGCGTCCAATGCGGCGTATGCGCAATGTCTGCGCCTCCCATCTCGCTCTCTCTCTCTCTCTCTCTCTCTCTCTCTTTTTAATTGCATAGTTCTGGCCCAATGTCTTTTGGGAGCCGGATAGCAGCCGACCACAGCTGGGAATTTAGAAAATTAGTTCATTGGGATTTCTGAGCAATTTTCAATTGGAAATGAAACAACTTCCCGACTTAAATGTGGAATAAATGTATGGATATTTTAACCTTTTTTCGTGGCAGACAATTTGCAACTACTTGAGAGAGATTCGCGACCGCAACGCCAACGCCAAAGCCGACAGCTTGTTGGCTAACATATAATTTGGGAGTTATTTGAAAGGTTAATATCTTCATGCGGTTGCTGGCGGCGCTTATGGGCCAATAAATAGGGGTTAAGTAGGGTTAATGTGGGATCTATGGGATCTACGGCTTTGCAGACAGGTGAGAGAAATGGGAGGGCCGTAATTGAGTCGAGTCAAGAGCCCCCCCCCCCCCCCCCCCCCCCCCCCCCCNAAGGAGATCACTTCAGCCTCAAGGAGGCCCACAGTTGGTCTTTGGCCTTGGTCCTTGGACTCTATGAAAATGTACTCGTATTTGCACGTACCTCTCGATTGATTGAACTCCAGACAAGAGGCAACAAAAGAGTCAAACAACGAACTGCGATCGGGGGCAATAAAAGTCAGTTGCCACTGCGTTGCCCCCCCCAAAAACTGTGGGGAGTTGCGTTTCGAGCCCGCGCTTTTTGCCATTCACATGGCCCATTAACTTTTATTTTGCCAAATTTGCATTTCAATGCCCCAAAGTGGGGGAGAGCAAAAAGCAAAAAGCAAAAAGCAAAAACATGCAACATGCAACAGAGCAGAGCAGGGAAGAGCACTGGAGATGGCGATGGCGATGGCGATGAAAAGGTCAACCAAATGTTTGTTGTTCTACCGAACGAGGCGCAGAGTCGGCGGAGTCGGCGGAGTCGTGTCGTGTGTTGCAAGTGCATGTTAATCTAACATCTATGTAGGGGACTTTTCGTTTGTGATGCTGCTGCTCTGGTAATTGCTGGGAACAGCTGCATAGAAGCGGATAATAAAATAAGTACAAGCAGTACGAGATACCAAATACATATAAAACATTCCATAAATTAAGAGGCCGCAGCGTTGCAGCCACAAGTAGGAAGCCCAGGCCGAGCCTCGTTGGGCCATCAGCATCGGCTGCATCAGTGGCAGTGGCAGTGGCAGCAACTTTTTGTGGGCGTTGCAGAATGTGTGGCAGTTGGTTGTCTAAGGTGCCGCCGCTCCAAAATGATGTAACAAAGCAAAAATTCATTTATGTACATGCAGGTCTCTGCACCCTCTGCTGATGGCTTAATAACGTGCCCCCCAAATAATATCCAGCATTCCCAACCGAACTTAGCTCTCGCTTGCCACCAATTAAATTAATTCAAATAAATGCAACAATCTTTATGAAGACATTTTGGCGTTAACATTTTTTATTGCCACCATAAAGTGTCTGCCCGATCCGATCCGATCCGATCCGATGCGATGCGATCCGCTTGAGCATATTAAATGCTAAGCGTTCATAAATCAACAGTCAGGCGGCAGATCGAGACATCTCGGATTTGCCATTTAGACTGCATTCAAAATGCAATCAGACACTTTTATAAACTGGGTCGTGAGTGAACTGCTGCTGCTATTGGCTGTTTCCGTTCTCAACTTCTTTTCGACTCCAAGTCCAATCCATATTCCTATTCATCTGACATTGCTATGGCAACATTTATTTGTTCTATTTTGCTGTGTGGCCTTCAACTTGACTGGCTTGACATGTGGCTGTACTGTGGCGAGTCTCATCTTAGCTGGGACACACACTTGAAACATTTTCATGATTTTTCTGATTAATTATGGTAAGGAAATGCTGAGACAAAACTTGTTGATTAAATTCAATTATTTGTGTAAAGCTCATAATAATGTGCCGCACAAAGCAAACAATTGTTCATTTATTAGATTATGCGCGATTAGTGATGCTTCAATGCAATGTCCCCCACTGCCCCTTACAGCTGCCAATGAGTATTCCGGGGGCCAGACTGCGTGCCACAGAGAATAATCATGTTTATTCGAGTGTTTGTGGCTCTATTTTTAAATCGTTGGCAAGTCCAATGTCTACCAAAGGTGGCCACCAAACACGGCAGTTGGAAGGAAACCAAAGTACAACCTTCAATCTTGAGAGCCATTACAATGAGAACGACCCACACTTGGTGCTGGAAATAGCAACAGAAATTGATATGGAAACATGTAATTAGTGGAAGAAGCAAAGCCGCAAATAAATCAAGTTACGGTTCATAAACTTTGCAGACACTTACGAGTGTGTATAATCCATTTCAATCAACTTTAAACCCACTGTACCTGCCTCAATCTTCGCTCTCAATCTTTATCTCTGGCTCTTGTGCTCCATTGTTGCTGCAATCGGCAATTGTGTGCCAGCTCCTCTGTCTGTCTGTAATTTAATTTACACGCAAATCGCTTGCAGTTATTTTATTGAAGCTAATGCTGTTGCCAGGCTGGCGGTAATTGCATTTGTTTAACACAGAAAATGACCGTTGACATGCTCATTGGATCTCTCCTTTGCTCGCGCATTTTCCATGCCACATTCGTACTCTGTACTTGAAGATCTTGAAGGTTAGGACCCCCCTGGTAGGGTAATTGCGGACATTTTCGGTAAAGTAGATTCAATTCAATTTAGCAGATAATTTACTGTAGATATATAAGTAGTTGGCGATGGAGATGCAGCTAAACATCTACCTGGGGTAGTTGATGTATGTGAAAACTGGATAAATTTATGAATTTCGAATTTGAATAGCGATAACAATTTCACATTGATTTCCATCCATAAAAAAAAACAACAAACAGGTATGTTTGTCTGGCAAAAATGCCGCTTTCCTTGACCCAATCGTGGCTAAAATTACACGATCGGCCAACACATCGTATGTGTAATTAAGCGAGGCAGCCACCGCAGCTAAACAGCAAACAATGTAAAGCAGTTCCCACTGGACACCGCTCATTGAAATCATCAGTCGTCATGGAACACAGGTAGAATATATTCAAGCTCCAAGTGATTTCCGCAAAACAGAAAGATTCAAAAGAGACATTAGATGACAGGCAGCAGCAGCAAGCAGCCCAGAGGCAAGTGGCTTTTGGTCAGTGGCTGTCCAACGCTTGATGGATGGATGGACGGGATGGATGACTGCAATGTGACTGATGCTGCTGCATGTGTCAATTAGTCGTGTTTAAAGAGCGGCCACTGGCACAGCTTGCGGCATAACCTCCGCCATTTGCTGCCCTTTTGCAGACGCCTCTGGGGCACGTTCTAAATAAATTGCAGCCCAGTGCAGTCGTTGAGCTGGCGGTGCACCTGCTCTGACTGTGGCCCCGGCTGAATGTCAGCCGCGATCTTATCGCAGCTTCTATTTCCATTTGCCACCGCTCACTTTTTTGTGGTTTGCTCTTCATTTAACCTTTAAGTCGTCGTCAACGCAAGAATGTTGCACTAAATGCACTCCGCCTCTTTTGTCTTTCAGAGCTTATCCCTCGCTGCCATCAGTGGCTATGTCTACGCCCAGATAGCCCCAGGCTCGAATGCGTACCTGCCGCCCACGAAGAATGGCTACGACTACCCCGAGCCGCCCAATTCCCTTGTGAGTATAAATATAAGCAAGAGTACATTGTCTGGCAAACCACTGCAGAATTGAATCCAAGTCAACAGGCTAATTACAGCCATCAGTCTGGTCTGGCTCTTGGGCCACAGGAGGCCCTTTCACTCCCATTGGCCTGCCTCTCTGCTTGGCTTGTCGCCACATTTATCACTCCAGATGCGGTTGGCAATCCGCAAAAGACAAAATGCTGCAGCAGGCACTAGTAAAAGCTGCCACCTCATCCACCGGCATTTAGCTTTTGATGGGTCGACTTGAATGTCGACCCAAAATGATGTTGCACTTGTCGGCTGTGCAACATTTTCGAATGGTGAAGGGCCTGCGATGAGTTGCCGTTAACCTTTCCTGATCGTTGAACCACAAAGATCCATCACAAACATCGTACACTTTTGGCATTATTTCTTTTCTGCACTAATCCATAATTATTTGTTCAACCGCTTCACAGAAACCCGGTCCACCTGGCAGACCCGCTGGTCCCGGCCCACGTCCACCAGCACCACCCGGCCAGCCACGCAACATTCCCGGCCAGCCAGGCGATGTGAGTAGCATTTACTGAGCAAATACTGAATACTGAATCCATTTTTGATGCAGGATCATGTGCATATGCCGGGCATGCCCTACGAATTCGAGTACGCCGTGCAGGATCCGGAGACAGCCAACGATTATGCGCACAAGGCGTCCAGCGATGGGGATGTGGTGACCGGGGAATACCGCGTGCAGATGCCTGATGGACGCACCCAAGTGGTGCGCTACACCGCCGACTGGAAGACCGGCTACCATGCGGACGTCAGCTACGAGGGGGAGGCCACCTTCCCCCAGGGACCGCAGGCGGGAGCGCGCGGTGGCGGTGGCGGCGGCGGTGCCGCTGGTTACAAGTACTAAGAGTGGAGTGGTGTGGATTTCATGAGAAACGTGTAAACTTTACGATATACGAGTACCGTACCAATAAAATTTATTGATAAACTAAGCCCGACCTCTGGCGTGTGTTTTTGCAAGCCTTGCCACGCCGCCTATCGCATTTGTTGTGCGTCAATCCAAAGCTCTCTGGCCAAGAGCTTTTGCTGTCAAAGTATCAGCATCTGTCAGCGGCAGCAACAGATGTTCCGCCAGATGTCAGGGCTCGGGTGTCAACAAAGCTTCTGCGCAGTCGCCGCGGAGGGTAAACAGACACCTGTGGGACGCCCGAGGAGGTAAACAAAGCCACCGCGCAGAAGCGTCAACTGTCAGGGCAGGCGCAGTGGAGGCCCAGAGCAGTGCGGCTAGAGCTTGGGGCTGCCACCTGGCTGTGGTCTCGCTCTGACTGGTGGGCAGCAGGCGATGAACTCATCGCTGACACAGAAACGTCAAAGGAAACGTCAGAGGAACGGGCTCAGGCAGAACGGGCACGACAGTGTAGAGAGAAAAGTTTTCGCTGCCAAACAACACGAAATTTTCACGCACACACACAGCAGCCCAGTGCAGGCACGTTGAGAAAATTCGGGAAAAACCGTCTGCAGATCGTTGTCGGGAAATCGTTTGATGGAAAATGTTTTCTGCTTGAGTTAGGGACTCCGAATCGAAGTGGTTGTACGTGAACAGTGTGCAGGATATGTGTGTGGATGGCCAGGACAGGTGGCCTGAGCCAAGCTAACGGGCTAACGGGGTATGAGTGGTACATGTGCGGTGCCTGTGTGAGCGTGTGCGTGAGCGTGAGCGGTGCCCGTGTGTGAGTGCTGAAAAGTAGGCTACAAAATAAGTTCTGGCTCGTATTTATGTCGCGCTTCCGACCGATTTTCAAGCACCACCGCCAGCAGGAGCAGGAGCCGAAGCAGCATCAGCAGCAGTCAGTACAAGTGGAGCAGCGGGAAGAGCAATGGCCTGGTCCTGGACATGGCCCTGCTGGCGCCTCTGCCTGAGCCTCATTTCCATGCTCATCTGGCATGCCCCCTGCGCCAATCTCCAGCCTGCCGAGAACATCAACTACAATCTGTGAGTGGCAAAGATCTAGAAATCAGTGATAGAAAATCTCACATCCCTCCCATGCACAGCGTTCACTCCTGGGCCGACAAACTGGGCATGGAACTGTTTCATCTGGGCGATTTTATTACCAGGCGCAAGGAGGTGCAGGAGGTGAGTGCCAGCGAGAATTTTATTGATTTTTCCCACTCGTCCGCCCGTCCTCCGGTCCGCCGTCTCTTGCTTTTTACGCTCCGTTTACCACTTGCTCTATGCTCTGCTCTCTGTTTTTTTGTTCTTTGTTGCTGTACTTCTTGTTGTTGACGTTTCTCAGCCTCTGCCGAGACGGCGACGCCAACTTCGGCTTCTTATTTGGGTTAAAGGCTGCCCCCGAACACACCAATTATAAAGTAATACTTTGAGAAAGAAAAACAATATGGGCAGAGTGTGAAACAGTAGCAGACATTACGTTAAAATGCTATTAGAAATAGCAGATTGTATTTAAAATGGAATAATTTAACTAAAAATAATCAAGTTCTCTGACTGATACTCAGACACTCTTTTCAAGTGGAATTAAGACACGAATGTTTATTTAGAAGTATCAACTGGCTACAAAGCCTTTCGACGTGTCTGAATCATCATCATAAATGCATAAATTGGAATCTATAAAGTAACCACCAGACAGTACAGTAAACCCCTTTGGGTAGTGTATTCCATTTCAAGAGAATATTTGTACGCCTACGTCAGAGCATATGCGGTCAGTGTCTGACGCTGGTAATTTATTTTTAGGCTAAAGAAATTGTGTTGCACGTGAGTTCCAGGCTTATTTGAGTCGCCAACTATTTATCTATGTGTGTCTAATGAACGAGTATGTAGCACATACTCATGTTTGGGTAAATAAGTACTTAAGCTCGGACAGATGGCCCGCTTCTGGGGCCTTGTAATGGACTTGACAACGAAAATGTTCCGGGTGGGCACATTCCGATGGTAGATTCTTTCACATTTGACTTTCCCACAGAGTTTCAAGGAGGCCAAAGTGGTTCAGCGCACTGGAGCCTCGATAGTCGATTCGATGGCCAAGGAAATAGAAATGATGATGGATCTGAAGGTCAGCGCTGTGCGGGTAAGTGGTGTCCTGTTCTGTCCAAGGAATATTAATATATATGTGGATGCATCACTTCACAGCGCATTATGGACACGGCTGAGAACACGGCTCTGTCCCATCAGAACGATATGGCGGATAAGATGTTCTCCTATTACAATGCCAAGGAGATGCTAGAGCCGGGCGATCCCGTGCCACCGATTCCAACGCCAGCGCCCGACATGGATAAGGACATTGGGGAGCCATTGATCTATGTGCAGCCCAAGGTGGTGGTGCTGGAGCCGCGGCCAGAGTTCCACAACACGCCGGTCAACTTCAATGTTAGCTCGGTGCACGTGCCCGTGAATGTGTTCGATCGAGGTTTGGAACTCATTGCTTATGACGCTATAATCTGTGTATCTCTTCTCTTTCCACCTCTCTATCTCTCTATACATATGTCTCCCCTTACCGCTCTGTAACTGTAACTTGCTGTTGCGAGCACACTGCCTGAGCCTATTGTCTTGTGTAAAGCTTTCAAACCCGAAACACGCGCATGAAAAGCAAAGCTTATCCAACACTCTATGCGCGTCTGTCTAGCTTTCGCTCTCGCGCAAGCTCCCGCTCCCGCTCCCGCTCTCTCTCTGTCTTTCGCTCTCTCTTTGCTCTACGCTTGCTTGCCCGTTTAACCGTTTAACCGTTGATCCGTTCGTGCGGCTACTTTTTCCTTTTCAATATACAAATCGCTTAAGTCAATGCGACCATACGCGTGCGCGCAGCAAGCACCGCATTGCGCCCGCCCGGCAAGCACAAGCAAGTACCTAATGCAACCTCGACAAATAACTGTAACTGTAACTGTAAACGATCGCCGTTGGTGGCGCATTGCGTACGTTGCCGTCTCGCACGCGTTGGACGCAGAGAATGCTCGATGCTCGATACGCGAAACTTACTAACAACAACAATAACAATAATAATTAATTAATAATGCCAGAAACCGTATAACACCCAACCCAAAGCCATATAACACGGAGAGTACAAGCACACCAAAAACCACACTCACTGTCCTGTGCCTGTGCCTGTGCCTGCGCTTTCCTGTGCTATGTCCTGCCCGAAGAGACAACACAACGTGCAGCTGGGACAAAGGATTACTAATGTGTGTTTCTGTACAAATTCTTTCCGTTTCTCTTGTGCCATAAACAAACTTGCCCACTAATAACATGGTCACTAAACACAGCACCGGATGTGATAAAGGCGATACAATGGTCGGAGAATTTGGATCAGATATTCCGCGATAATTACAAAAATGATCCCACATTGTCGTGGCAGTTTTTTGGCAGCTCGACCGGCTTTATGCGTCAATTCCCTGCATCCAAGTGGAGGAAGGACGTGCCGGTCGATCTATACGATTGCCGGCTACGCTCCTGGTATATGGAGGCGGCGACAAGTCCAAAAGATATTGTCATCCTGATGGATGGATCCGGTTCAATGTTGGGACAGAGGCTAGATATCGCAAAGCATGTTGTCAATACGATACTCGATACATTAGGTACAAATGACTTTGTGAACATCTTCACCTTTGATAAGGAAGTGAACCCAGTTGTCGGATGTTTCGAGGATACACTGATTCAAGTATATATCATTCAAATACTTTCATATACATATACGCACATACAACAACCATAGATATCTTTTGATTTTCGCTTGATTTTGAGATTACGATTCAATTTGACATTCATTTCAATTCAATTCGTATTCATTTTGTCGTTTAAAAACAATTCAAACCACACAATCATGCATGCAATCGATTTACAAATTCGATCGATCTACACCACTCTTTCGAAATCCATCCAGGCAACTTTGGGCAACATTCGTGAACTGAAAGAAGGGATTGAAAACTTTGGACCCAAATCGATCGCCAATTATACCGCCGCATTGACAAGAGCATTCGAGATATTGGAAGAGGCGAAGTCGTCGTCGCGCGGTGCACAATGCAATCAGGCGATCATGATCATTGGGGATGGGGCGCCGGAGAACAATCGCGAGGTCTTCGAGTTGCACAACTGGCGGGATCCGCCGTACAAGCCGGTGCGGATCTTTACCTATCTGATTGGCAAAGAGGTGGCTAATTGGGATGATATACGGTGGATGGCATGCGAGAATCAGGGCTATTATGTGCATCTCAGCGACACCGCTGAGGTGCGCGAGATGGTCCTTAACTATATACCAGTTATGGCCAGGCCCCTTGTTTTGGGTAGGCACGATCATCCGGTCATTTGGTCCCAGGTCTATGCGGACATTGAGGTGGGTAAATCCAACAATTTGTGTGTTTGATTGTGTGTGTGAAGGGGGATAACCGTGAACGACAATATCCAAAACACTCGTTTGATCTATGCCTCTAGGATACGAAACTCTCCGACCATCTGTGGGAGATCAAGCAGTGCGAGGAGCAGAAGGCGGACGTACTCGAATATTGGCAGGTGCACGACCGAATGCTGGAGCCCAGCGAGATGCACAGACGCGAGTATCGGCGCATAAAGGAAGTGAGTGGTCAATCAAGCTAGCAAATCTCCAGCACCACTGAGCACTATGTTTTATTCCAGACGTGGAACCAGCCCGTGGACTCGAATGTCTATCAATTCATGACCACCGTGTCGATGCCCATTTACGATCGACGCGAGAATGCGGTAAGTGTATCCCAGACAACAGACAACAGCCAATACCCAGACTCTATTCAATCAATGCGAAATCAGCGACAAATCAGCACTGCCAAAATTGTTCTTAAAAATAAAATCGAAATGGCAGTATCCCCCACTCAGCAGGCTGCAGCTGCAGGGCCGCCATTCATTTTGCCCTCGACTCATTTACAATTTACAACCGAAGCAAGCAATCGAATAGCCACAGAAATGCCATGAAATCGAAATCTATCTATGTAACAAGTCACCCAAACTCTGCCTACTACCTACTACTACTACTACTACTACTATATTAATATTTTATGCGTTATATATATAACACACAACTACTACCTACCTACTACTACTACTACCAACTACTACCAAACTATACACAACTATACCACAGAATATCACCGAAGAAGTTTTAATAAATGAAGCACTCTGGGAATTGCAAACACGTGAGGTACAAACTATAATGCCAAATTCTAACAACAACAACAACAAAAATAAAATAAAATAAAAGATTACCCCCCAATCGAATTCCAAATGCGTAAATTGATTGCGTAACTCGTATATACTGCTCTTGAGAAAAGTTTTATAGTACTCCAATTACGCCAATTAATTGCATACCGTATTGAGCTCTAGCCACATACCTACTTTATATATATATATATATATATATATATATCTTCTTATAAATATATATACTACCAATAAAGTAAACAATTTGTTATACTTTGCGCTACATACATGCATACCTATCCATATTTAACCAACAAAAATATATCCAATAACTATTACTATGTATAGTACTAAAAATATATACACCTGGTCTAGGACCATGGCCATTCTTTAGCAACATTTTGACATTATAGTTGACCCAGCAGTAATGGGTACAAATCAATTAAAATCAAATCAAATCCAACCAAGCAAACTCCAAAAGCCAAACCCAATCCGAAAAAAGTTCATGCAATACGAGTAAATATTTCATTCATTCGTATGAGTACATACATAATATTTATGTACTTTATACAGATACTGTACTGTACTGTAAATGTAACAACAAATTCAAGTCGAATTGGCCCAAGTATTTGCTATTTAACGATGCGTATAATTAGATATTGATTTTCTTTATAGTATAACCGTACTCGTACCCATTATAACAATTATCCAATTATCAAATTAATTATCAACATACTTAGCTATGCCTAGTAATTACTCAACGTATAAATAGTACTATCCTTTTATCTAGCATTTTGAGTAGTAGATTTTAACATTTGTTGTTTTCACTAAGAAAGATTTATACGGGTAAGGTAACGCTCGCTCGCGATCGACTAGTTCTGTATACTCCGTACAATAGTGCCAATTGGTAACCAACCAACCAACCAACCAACCAACCAACCCTCTTCCCACCACCTCCAATTAATAAATGTTAGCGTACAACGTACATCCCATACACACAATTGATGTTTAGTAAGTGAAATCATTGACAAGAGAAACGAAAACGAAATCCGATCTAGGCTACTGCTGAGGACCTACATATGATAGAGCACACCCAGAACAAACCCACCACAAAAATATCTTCCCAAAATAACAACACACCAACTAAGCGCCTTCAGCCCCGATGGAATGGAAGTGGGAGGCATCGATTCTCGAATTCAGTGATGTAGTTTTTATACCCTTCCTCGATTGAACAGCAGTCGGGACGGGACTAGGGACTCCATCCTTTTCTTCTGCGACACCAGCGACACCGAAACACCCACTGCCAACCGCCACAGCCTTTACCCAACAGTCTCCCCAAAGCCCATCCCCCCTCTAGAATACACCCTATTTAAGTTGCTTCCGTTCCCTAGAGAATTGATTTATTAAATATGTACTACAAATACAAATTCACAGCTCATTAATCTAACGACCGATATAAATCCGGCTGCGAAAATAAACCTTCAAGTTGTGAGTAAATTGTTTCTAAATCAAATCCAACAACAGCAACAAACAAAAACTCTTTTGTTTTTTAATTCAAAAATTAAAAAGAAAAAGCAAATCCCAATTAAATATTTTGACACTTTCTTTCTCATTTCGCATGTGAACAAAAATCGTTTGATTCTCATTTGATTTTGATTTAATTTTTATCAAATTCAAGCACTGCCGATTGAAGATTCCGTTTTCAATTTCCACATGGTTTTTGTTTTGGTTTGTTTTTATTTCTGTTCTGCCTCTATCCATGCCCTCCATGCACTCCCCTCCACCGCCCCTGAGCCATGCCTCTTATGATTTCGTAGCCCCACCGTAAATGCTTTGATTTCTTTTTGCAATCCTAGACTAAGTTCTCTCTCACTATTGCTCTTGCTCTCTCTCTCTCTCTCTATCTGTCTCTCTATTTCTCTGTGTCTGTGTAATGCTTCTGTCCAATGGGCTTCCAGATCAGTGAAATAAATATTGATCCGTGATCGGATCTATTTTTTTGGGGGCAATGGCATATCTCTGCTAAAACTAACTGTCTGTCTCACTCTCTATCGCCGCACTCGCTGTGGCAAAATGCTGTCTACACCCTGTACAATTTTTTATAAGATCTGTGTTCACCACACAACAATCCCTCATGTGTGTGTGTGTGTGTGTGAAGGGTATAAAAACTGTTAAAATATACACCAAAACGCCAAGCAACACCAACACAAACAGCCAAATACCAAATGCCAACATAAACAACACAAACAGACACGCACAACGGTACTTTCTGCGTTGCGGAAGGAAGCCAACCCCTCCCCCCATTCATACCCCCTTCCATCCACACTCTGTAAACAGCTTCTTTCCAACAATTCTTCTGTTGATTTCTACACTACTATCTTCTTTCCTTACACTGCCCTCTCGCTATCGCTCTCTCTCTCTCTCTCTCTCTCTCTCTCTCTGTTCATCATTTCGGTTCACACCACCATGCCAACACTCAACAAAAACAACAACGCTCTCTCTCTCACGCTCTCTCATACGCTCTTCGTACTACTCCGCCTAGCCATGTAATTAGCCACTAAAATACCGTCCAGAAACGCTTTACGAAATTCCAAAAAACAAACAAACAAATCTTTGTAAACATCAATACAAAAAAAATACAAAAAAAAAAAAAAAACAAAAAAATCCATACAAATCCTTTTGAAAAGAACTCTCTTTTGATCTTGACTGTACTCGTACTTGTACTAGTAAGTTCTTGCGTAGTAGACGATGCTTCTATCATAATCGTACTCGTATTTGCATTCAACATTGTTTCCGTTTTGTTTCTACATCTTTGTATTTTTCCTTTGAGATGCCTTAACATAAAATGCGTAAGCCGAATCGAGTTTCGTTTTGTAATAGCAATGCCATTTATCAAGCTCAAATTTCAAATTCATTTTTCAGTATTTGATTAACATGCAAAAACCAAAAAACCAAAAAAACAAAAAAAATAAACTAAACCATTCTCTGTACTCGGTAAACATTTGAAAGTAAAAACTTGTGTATATGTTTTCTGACCACTCTCTCTCTCTCTCTCTCTCGATCGGATCGACACTCTGCTATAACTTATCCAAAAACCCTTCTTCCCCCCCCCTTCACCACTCCCTGACGCGCTCATCCACAACAGACAAAGATTGCAAACATTCTGGGCGTGGCTGGCACCGATGTGCCCATCAATGAAATCAAAAAACTGCTGTCGCCATTTATGGTAGGTCCTCTTTAATACACCTTGTAGAGTATCATCAAGGAAATACATAATTCACTCTCTCTCACCACACAGCTTGGCGTGAATGGCTATGCGTTTATAGTAACCAACAATGGTTACGTACTATTCCATCCAGACTTTCGTCCAATTGTGAGTATATTCCGCTGTCTCAAGGTCTCTCAGTTACCATTCTGACTTTTGTTTCAGTTCCAAGGTTATATATTGAAACCCGCATACAATAGCGTGGACATGATTGAGGTTGAGCTATTGGATGACGATCGACCCGCCAGAGACTTCAATCCAGTGCTGATGACGGTAATTTGTCTTACAAAGAACTGGGAGTAAAACCTGCATAAATATATTTCGATTTCTGCACAGATACGCGATTCTATAATCAATCAATCGACCAACAGCAAATGGATGCTGGTCAAGAATCATTTCGATGAAATGGTAAGCAATTTCCACATCGTAAACAGCATAAATTGTAATTGTTTTTCTCATTGAATAGAAACGGGTGAATCGCATCAAGCGCCAGTATTACTGGACAGCCATCAAGAACACACCATTCACGCTGGTCATCTCCTATCCGGAGCAGTACGGCGTCAGCCGCATAGATATACGGTCCGAACAGGACATCCATCGCGTCAATATTAAGGGCACAAATATACGCAGCTTCTTCGATGGCAAGCGATGGAAAATTCATCCAGATTGGTACGTAAAACCTTCTAAAAATAAATCAAAACTAATTTCCTGTTTGCTTTTAGGCTGTTTTGTAAGCAAAGCAACACAACATTCAGAACGCCAGAGATAGAACTTTTGTACTTTCTCGAGCGTATGAGTGAGCCTGGCTGGCGATGGCCAGCGAGTCGAAGCGCTATGCCCCCGGAGCATACAGCTGCCATGTTCTGTAAGTATAGCCCCCAGGCCCCACCGTTATTCGAGGCTCTCAAAATCAAAACCACTTCGCAACAAGCCGCTCCGCTAGCCTTATCCAACATCTGTGTTATGCCCCTCTTTTTGTGTGTGTGTTTTAATGTTCTGTTACTATGGCCTAGACATGCGAAAATTACGATTGCAATCTCAATATTCATGCAAATTCACAGCTAACAACTCATCAACTGGCCGCTATCCATCAATCAATGAAAAAGAAGGCTACTATTGTGAGTAACGAATGCCAAAATAGTTGCACAGTTGCAGCCACAGCCACAGTCACAGTCACAGTAATAGTCTGTTGTTATGCAAAACCAAAGAAACACCCACACGCACCCAAGTAGCACCAATCAATCACTCATTCACTCTCACTTATCTGCACTTAATCCACTTGCTGCGATTATGTCCAACCCTCGTAGATGTTTTCTCTGTGAAGCGACAAGAAAATTCTATCAAAAATCCGCATCATATTTATGTAAGTTTCAATGCTGTAAGACACGCGTGTGTAAAGTCTTATGGTTTTGAAACTCACTGTAGTTAGCTGAGGAATTTGCACTCTACTCAATCGTTGCATGTCACATGAGGGTTCTGCTCCCATTTACTCGTAATTAATGCCGACACCAAGCCAATGTTTTAGTGTAATCTATGGAGAATAATTGGACAGCCGCAACTCTTCATCGTTTGACTCTCGTTTGGTTTTGTGCTTGCAGGCGATAGGCAGCTGATGCAAGCCCTTGTGTTCGATGCCCGCGTCACCGAGTGGTTCTCCAAGAACACCAGCTTCAACTCCAAGGACGACAAGGGGTAAGTGGTATGCGGTAGTGCTAGGCTTGACACCTTGACCAAAAGTACAGTCAACGCCCCGCCAGCACAGATCGACGAAGGCAACGCACATACAATACTCGTATTAACCATATTTTAATTATGTTTATTTCTGTATACGCCCTTTCTTTTTCTCACATTTATTTGCACTTTATTATACGAATACTTTCTTGTCGTCTTTGTCTTTGTCTTTGTCTTTGTCGATGTCTCTCTCATAATGAATTTTTCGCACCCACAATATTGAATATATATCTGCCGATCTTGATATACCCCCACAAACAACATAATGCCTCTTCATATTGAATACCACAAAAAAAAAAAAACATTCACAAATCTAGCACAAGCGCATCAAGCCCAATAGCCGTTCTAATGGGTTTGCTGCCAAGGTAAACGAATACAGTATACATTATGTACTACTTCTTCAATACTTTTCTTATAGTTATGCATAGTTAAGTAGCATATAGCGTACATGGCTCTAACATTTATCCTCTGTCTGTTCGCCTAGAAACGAGTTCAAGCAGCGCTTTGGCGTCACCGTCGCCTTCCTGGCCACCCACAGCGGCCTCACACGCTGGCACGAGTTCAACATGGCCGAGGAGCCAGGAGTCGGGTAAGCTTTAACATAGTGGCAAGCTACCAATTACTACAGATACTTCGCTTTGCAGTGAGACCTTCAGCCAGAACAATAAACGCGCCATCGATGAGATCTGGTACAAGCGCGCCGTGGACCAACATTTTGTACGGGAGGAAAGCTTTGTCTACTCGGTGCCCTTTGATGCTGGTGGTATGTTTCGACTTTGAACTTCCCATTTACTCAGTAATCCATTTGTTTGTCATTTAGAAAGCAACTCTGAGATCCTTGTTACTGCCAGTCATGCCATCTTCCATAATGAGGGCGGCAGATCCGCGCCGGCGGCCGTTGTGGGCTTCCAGTTTCAGCATTCGGCGCTCTACAAGCTCTTCCACAATATCACCGGCAATGTGAGCCCTAGGATCCGTCCATCTGCATGCATTTTCACTCTATTCCTCTCTTTTGTCAGGCCTGTGCCGTGGATGACAAAGACTGCTATATACTGGACAACAATGGCTATGTGATCATCTCGACGCGTGTACACGAAACGGGCCGGTTCTTCGGGGAGGTCAATGGGGCGATTATGAAGCGTCTGCTGGAGGAGAACGTGTACAAGCGCGTCGTCGTCTATGACTACCAGGCGGTTTGCTTTGAGTCCAGGGGCGACAACAATGCCTCCAGCATGCTGCTATCGGTAGGAGCACACTCTGGATATCTGTCGTTGTTGAGACTCACTTTCTGACACTTTCAGCCTCTCTATCATGTTCTTCGAATGAGCAAATGGCTGCTGCATACGGCGCTGTGGTATATTGTGCAACTAATGCAACTGGCGACCGGGGTGTCCGCCCACTATGCCGAGATGTACAGCGACATAAACGGCACTGAGCCGGAGCCGGAGCACCATCACAATGGCCACGGCAAGAAGTCGGATAGCGAGGAGCACTGGCTCCGCTATCTGACGCTGCACCGGACACGCCTCAAGTCCTGCGACATGCAGCGAGAGCTCTACACGCTCTACAACGAGAAGGACAACGTTGTCTACAATATGACAGCGCACGCATGCGAGCGGCCATTTGTCGTCCTGCCCATACCGTTCAGCAACCTCATTCTGCTGGTCGTCGACCAGCTGTGTCCGCGGGACGCTGCCCTCGTCCTCACGGTCAATCCGCAGACCATCGACTACCATCTGTCGGTGAACGATTCGCTGGCCTGCTACAAGCACGCCCGCGAGTTCAATCGCATGCGGCCCCAGAGCTGCATCAGTCGGCATGCGAATGTGAGTCGATTACAATAGATTAGCTTTGAATATTAATTGTATGCCTTTTTTATGCAGGAGAGCAACATCAAGCTGTGCGGCAAGGCGTGCTCCCTCTATGCGAGCCTCAGCCTCTTACTGCTCTGCCACATCCTGAGTCGCTGGCTGTAACGGCAAACGACCAGATAAGCTTAAATCTAGGCATTACGTTTTTTGTATTATATTGTACGAGTATAGGACCCCCCCCCCCACGACCCCAAAGCAATCCCTGAACAATGGACATTTTTGTACTCTCAACGCTTGAGCGCAGTTCGATAATTAACAAATATTTTTGGTCACCTAGAGAAACTTTTCCAAATTAGTTCATAAGTAGCTAAATACGAGTAAAGTATCTGTTTTTCGATGGCTGACAGGACGAGAAGGATTACCAGGATTACCAGGATTACCAGGAATACCGGGACAGTGCGTGCCGACTGAGCTGACGTCAGGCTTAAGCTTACACATATTGTGGACCTTCCAATAGACAAAACTTAATTAGACAAAAATATTACATATAGTAATAATGTATGCGAGAGACTACACACAAATCCAACAACGGCCTTAAACGACTTGCAAAACAAATATTCGCTGAATGCCATCGAGCGCGGTTCATGTAATACGCAATAGAACTTATGGCACGCACTGTACCAATGCCGACTACTGCCCAATGGTTATGTGAGTGAATGAGAGTGCTTTGAATGAGTTTCGTTTGAATGCCAGTGAATGTTTGTTATTAATCTTAATTTAAGACGGCCACCAAAATGTATGTTTAATGAGCGGATCAAGAACACTATCGATAAAGCGAATAATGGAACCATTAATTATATATAAATGAGAAATGTATTATGTATGTACACACCCAAGACACTTATGCGATATACTGTACTCTACCTATATACTACATACATAAATACATACATACATACATACATACTACATCTAAGTAGCTTTTGTATATTTGCTTAGCTTAGCCCGCATTTGGGGGAGGAGAAACAGACCGAAATTTCTGCCTTGTAACCAAAACTTCTAAACCAAAAGAAGACCTACGTAAATGCAATGTTTTTATATATAAACCTACACAATTAAAGCGAATTACGATGATGATGATGATGATGATACCTAGCATAACCCACAAGTACCTACATATACGGATATATGGAGACGGAAGAAAGATTCAACCTTTTTATTACTAACTACTTGATACTTGAGCCACAGAACTGAGCCGCCGACAGCGCTGATTGGTGTTAGCAAACAGCATCTATGCTTGGACTCGTACTAATATTAAATTTGAACATTGACTAGTTGAAATTTACGAAAAAACAAAACGAAAACTTGTGCTCTTAAGAAGCGTCTAGGCCATAATCCTCAACAGAGCGGATCTCACCTCAGATCGGATTGGAACCTACTAAGCTTTAGCCACCCACTTGTTCCCCCCTTTGGTAGTGTAATCGACTTGTGCCATTTGAACTGCCTAGAATTTGTTATTAACTATTTACTAATCGAATGATGTCATTTCCATTATCTTAGCAAATATCCCCAAGAATTGTTTTCTCCTCTCACAGGTTGTTTGTTACACACCCAAATCATTTGTAAATTCCAATAGAAAATCTTTACACATTTCCCAATCTCGAATACTAAGATGGAACCCATTGCCCATTCTCACTCTCCGATATTAATTAGAACACCTTTTCACTCACACTCACACACTCAACTCTCGCTATTGACAGCCACAATTGTATTACATTAAATAAACTACAAATAATTACAAAACAAAACAACAACAAAAAAAAACATTTGTCTACTGTGCTAAAAGAAGAAAATGATAATAAAATCGAAATAACTTCACAATTATTACGGGAATTGAACTAGAAATGGAGCCTGGAAATAAAAGATAAAAGTGGATAAGACAGTGGGATTATAATTTTCGTTATGCTTAACAATTTATTTTAACACAAGTTTTATAGTATTTTACAGAACTTTCATTGCATTACAAAAAATGACTTACGCTAGTAATTAAAATCTAATTTAGCTAGATGACGAGTCTTGTTATGTGCAAGATTTCATTCAGCTGATTCAATATGTAATCGTTTATCGCTTTATCCTTTAGCTCGTTCATATGTGGGATAAACTCTACTCTCACTTTCTTATGTTTAAATACATATTTTATATAGCAGTAGATCATATGTATTTATATCAGGGACTTCTGTGCAATTATGCCTATATGGTGAATGCAAACACAATGCTAAACGTATTTTACAAGACATGTGTAAAAACAAATTAATCGAATACAGTAAATTATATGTAATAGCATAATTACTCTTAAGAAGTCTCTCTCTGTTTGGAAATCTCAATTAACGAAAATGAAACGTCAGGGGAATCAACGATTAATATGACGAAAAAATCATAAAGTGCGCGTGACCCTTTACAGAAGGGCCTGCTGTCGCTTAGGTCGAGTAGTCCACGGCACCGCCTCCGTTCTGCTGCATGCGCACGGACCGACGTCGCGTCAATATGCGAGCAGGTGACGGCACAACTCCCGCTTCAGTAGGCTCAGGGCATACCGATCCAGATTCCACAACGTTCGCTAATGTTGGCGGTACAACCGCTGACACAACAGATGCTGCTGACGCCTCCTCGGTGGCGGCTATTACAGCAACAGCATTATTCTCCAAGATCACCGGCGTTGGCACCGTAATTGCTAACGTTGCTACCGTACCTACTGCTCCTGCTGCTTGTATCTCTTCCTCCAACTGGGAGCTGCGTCGCGTCGGCATGCCTCGCAGCTTGGACTTCTTGGGCGGCAGTGTTCTCGGAGCACTCACTTCTCTCACAGTGATCATTTCCTCTACATTGTAGCTCACAGGGATCGGTGTTACCACGGTTTTGGTCGTCTCCTCTTCGTAGTTCCTCTTGCGGGCCAACCGCGCCGCATTGCCATTACCGTTGCTGTTGCTATTGCTATTGCTCACATCATCGGGTAAAATATGCTCTACGGAAATAGGCAATATTTGTTCGTTGCTATTAACTCCTTTGGTCTCCCCGTTCAGATAGTCGGGATTTGTGACTTTGCTTTCCAGGGTGGCGTTCTCGTCGATCGTCTCTAGTTTACCCATCGTTGAGGGATTCGGCGTCTGTGGCGGCGACATGTTGTTGGACCCGTTTGTTGTGGGCGGTGGCAACGCAACAGTCTCGTCCTTCGTGTGGGCCTGCTTCAGCTGAGCATTGTCCTTCTCAAGCGTTTGTATGCGATCGCGTGTAGTCTTAAGTTCCTGCTGCAGAAACAATATGGTGCTCTGCATGCCCTCCACATCCTCGTCGAGCTCCTGCAGAAAGTCATCCAGCTCTGAGAGGAATGTAATAAACAAATGTCAGACGAAAACAATACCGAAAAGGGTTTCTCAACTTACCCGATTGCGATTTCTTCACCTCCTCGCTGAAGCTTTTCTGCATGGCCAATTCAGTCTCTAGCTTCGCCAGCCTTCCGTTCGATGTCATCTTGCCCAGCTCCTCGTTCTCCTGGTAGAGCAGTCGGCACTTGGCCATCAGCCTCTTGCCTGTGTTGGAGTCCGGTGTGAACTTCCAGGCCGACAACTCGTTCTGGGTCTCCTCCAGCTTGGTCTTGGTGGCCTTTAGCTCCTTTTTGAGTCGCTCAAAGAGCAGATTAACGGCCGGATCCAGCAGCGCGGTGCGCAGCGCAAGGGCTGTCGGTGCCTGCTGTGCCTTATATTCGGCAATTTGGCTCTGTATGGGGGGAGTCAGAATCAGATGCGTTTACAACAGAGCTTTGTGCCAACCTACCACATAGTCCTGAAACTCCTGCTCCTTGTTGGCCAGCCGCCGCATAAGGATCTTCTCGCGACGCTGGGCATCGGCACAGATCTGCCCCATGCGCACCTGCTCCACCTTGAGGGTCTCGATCTCATCTGCAGGACGGAAAACAAAGTTTAGGGTCTGTGTTAGCCAGAGCTTTTCGGAGTTATTCGTGGAAGCCATTCGCCTCAAAGGTCTGGCAGCCAAGACAGTTCTTATACACCTAAGCCATAGGTATTGCCATTGCTTTTTTTTAACAATTATACATGGTATTTTACAAGTTCTTGGGACAGAGTGTGTGTGTTTTTGTTTAAAGGGAACTTAATGCGAGATCATACCAATGCGTTGCAATCATTCGTGTAAGTTCGTGACATTGTTGGTGGAAAAGGCCGCCGCCGCAGACGCCGTCCTTCGCCAGGCTCTTGTTGGGCGCGGAGGGGGTTGTCACGAGTCACGGTTTTTGGGGAAACTTGAACACGATTCATTCTTTATCTTGCACTTATTCGTATCATATCAGATCAGATCATATATTGCTTTCTTGCTTGCTTGGGCTCTTGCTTTTACTTGCATTATTTCTCGATTTCGATTCGATTCGATTGGCTTTTCTTTTTGCAAAAACACTGAGGGGAAACAGCAACAAACGGTTGAACAGATTTTATTGTGGCAGAACGGAAAATGATTTTGAAAAACACTTGCAAAAAACTCGACGCACACACATTTAGCTCAGAAAGCTCTCGGAGAAAGCTTTCCCACACTCTTCATTCATTCAGCATTGCTTTTGCTTTACGGCATTTTCGAACACTCTTTTGTGATATACAAAAAGTTTATTGACTTTGATTATTGTGTTGTATTTGACTTTTTCTTGTTGTGCAAAAACACACTTTGTATTATTTATTTATACAATTAATTAATTTATGCAAACAATTGCGTTTTAGAACCCGCAGCTGTAGAACTTGCATGTATACGTGTATCGTGTGTGCATGAGTATAATTGCGCCCTGAATTACAGTTAATTTACTGCTTAAATGCTCTCTCTCTACCGCCAGGCAAAATTATTGCTGCTATTATTTAATGACACTATTTGATTGCTTATCTTTTCGAAAGAGAAACAAAACCAAGTCATGCACACCGAACCACACACACATACACAGGCAGAGCTCTTTGCCGCCTTTTTCAATTATTTATTTATACAACTTTGTGAGTTCTTTGGCCATGATTTAATATATATATATATATATAGATATATGGATTATATTTTCTCTTTCACTGTATACCGAGATAACACAAAACTTGAACAGAAAAATAATTGCGAATTATTTGTGCGCTCTCTTGTGCGCTTTTTAATATGTTATACACTCGCCTTTCATTGACGCTTTATTCATTTATAATTTCTTTTAGTTTCATGGACTCGATGGATTCGAATGGGAGAGTATGGCAGAGAGACGAGAGTGGGAGATTGAGAGAGAGACAGAGATAGATTGATGGTGGGGGAGCCAGAGACACGTTGGCGGCTCTGCTCTGGCACGTAGGCAAACGAAAAGGTGGTCGAAACAAAAACGCAAAACTAACTGTACACAGCGTCGGAGGCCGAACGAGAGAACGCGAGAGATTTTCGAGATTATTATATTGTGGTTTACATTTTGTTATGATTTGTATCAAATTTATCTTTGATTGTTCTTTTGCACAACACTTTTATAACACTTTTGATTTATTTTATTCATGTAGTTCATTACATTTTTGTATTTTTAATGAATACTTTTAATGATTTATGCATTTTTGGCTTTTTCTCGGTTACAAACTCGTTTAGCGTTCATTGCTCTGGCACTTTCACAATTTCAGATGATTTATTTGAAAATAAAAATAACAAAAGGTTACTCCTAAACGCTGCTGGAAAGTGTTCTTCCGCAAAGAGTGTTCGCTTCAAGGATTATATGCTGGCACGCACGTGGAGTTCTTTTTCGAGTGTTTTTCATAAACAATTTCTCCTGCGCACAAACCAAAAGAGAGTGCAGGTGGTGGATCGATAGGGAATACTTACAGGGAATTTAGACAGAGAGAGATAGAGAGAGTTTAAATCAAGAGTGGGAACTAGGCAAATCATGAAATAATAATAGAATCAATGTACACGAATTTTTACACTTTCGTTTCTGTTCTTCCCGCTCTTTTGTTGTATATAAAGATAGAGTATATAGGAGCTTTGATTACTGTTATGTATAATACCTTCGAGCAGACGCTGGCGCTGTTCGGCGGCTGCAACAGCCTCGGCAACAGCGGCATGCTGTTGTTCTTGCTGCTGCAGTTGTTGGCGCTGTTGCTCCTGGTTGGGGGTGTGGTGCTGGTGGTGGTGCGAGTGGTGCGGATGATGCGGATGGTGGTGCGACTCCTCGGACCCGGAGGGTGTCGGCGAGGCCGGGCCAGAGGGCGGCACGCCCCCTCCACCAACACCTCCCGCGCTGATGCCACTGCTGGCGCCACTGCTAATAAGGTTTATGTTTTGCTCGTATTTGGCTGTCGACATTTTGTCGTAACTGTTCATCAGGGGTCTCTGATCGTCCATAGTCATTGCAGCGACACTCATAACTCGGTTTCAAACGCCTCTTGCTGTTCGTGTTGGGGGTCCTTTGCCAGCGTTGTTTTGCATATGGGCAGAAAAAATTACACACGGATATGCACCCACACACTGCCAATGCGCACACACCAATACACCAATGGCGACGCGGAGGCAAAGAGCGAAAGAATTTCGTTGCCCACTTGCAGATGCCAAAAACACGTACTTTTCACGTACTTGCAACGTTGAATTATTGATTACGTGGTGGATTGTTCATTAATTATCACTTTTATTATATTTTTATGTGGTTATTTGCACTTTACTGGCGATATTTTACAATTTTTCACGCAACGACGCAGTCAAGCTGAAATTTGTGTAGAATCAACATGGCGGCCGAACAGTGTGACCGCGGGTTATTCGATAAGACATACCGCCTGACTGGGAAATATACCGAAATAATCAAATCGAATTTAACCCTCCGAACCCTGTTTTTTTTAACAACTTGAACTGAGCCACTGAATATAAGAACCATACATCAATTACTTTTAATCGACCCATCCTCTTTATAGCATGTAAGACAATATATCCTCATCGACAATGATCGACTAGCTAGATCCCTCCACGCTGAATAAAAAATGTCATCCGAATATCGAATCAACTCTGCAAAAAGAGCGAAAATTCATTACTATTTTTCAAAAGAATCTTGAAAAAATGGATTTTTAATAATTTATGTGAATAGGGTATACAAAGGAACATAACATGCCATTTTACCGGTTGACATGCAACAGGTTGTCAAAACGTCACATTCCATGCCCACTCACGAAAAGTTGTATGTTATTTTAGTTGAGTTTTGAGCCTAATTTGTTAACATTCCAATAAACGAAAGTCATGAAAACTAGCTGATCTTGTATATAATTGAATGATGATTCAAGTAAAATTACATTCTTAGAGCTGAGTGTCCTAACTTGCTAATTAAACTGAACAGAAGATCAAAGTCGAAGAATATTACTTAAGATTCACTGTATATTTGGAAAATGACTTGGGTTATTTTGGTATATCTCCGTGGGTCTACCGCGATACTTTATCGATAATTCCGCTGTCAAACTGGCCAGGGCTCCCGTTTTCGGTATATTGTCAATAACTTTACATTATTTTATATTCGGACATGGAATCGATTCTACAGGTGAAATTGGAGCAACCTAATATCAAGGAACGGTTGAATTTGCATGTCAAGAGGCGTCTGCAACAGGATACAGAAAGCGCCGTCGACGGCATCGAGCTATACCCTGGGGATTTGTCTGCTAGCGCTGGGAAGCGTGGCAAGGCAAAGGAATCTCTGAAACGCAAACCGTATCAAAAGCGGACGGAAAAGAGTAAAACGGAGACCACAAAGTGCAAGAAAGGTAGATTAACGTAGACTCCAGCAAGACAAAGATAATACGTTCCAATTTCAGCTACGCAAATCGCCAGCCCAGCGCTGGAAGCGGAGCCACTGGAGGAGCAGGACGAGCCAGGAGGTTCCCCAGAGGCTGCAGAGCACAAGCCGACTAGCCGGGATCGTTATAAGAATGCCGACATACTGAATATGGTGTTGAGCTCCAAGAAGCGTGCCCTAATGCAAGATCCCGAGGTTCAGGCATTCTGGACTCGCATCATGGCAGTCATCAAGAGCTAAGAGGCGGCCGCTCGACTGTTAGGCAACAGAGCACTGTTATGGGTCGAAACGGCTTTTCGAAATGTATGTTAATGGGAATGCTCTGTTAACTGAGTGGATGGAATGGGCATGTTGTTTTTTGCAATACTTGTTAAGTTAAATAATTGTTGAACTGGAATTGAATGTTCCTTGTGTCAGTGCGCAGTCTCCGCTCTCACATCTTGCCGGCCGATGCGGTGGCCTGCGGACAGCTGCAGACTTTCCGCTCAGAAGGAATTTCACCGTGTCTGGGGTTGCATCGCGTCGCGTGACCGCACATCAAAAGCCAAACCAAATCTAATAACACTGCAAAATATCAAAAGACATAAAATCGTGTGTTTTGTTTTACCCAAATAATATAAAAGGTAGCTGCAACGACATCAAGTGCACTTTCCAAGCCACAGCTGCCTGCTGACAATTCCGCAATCCAGGGCCTCAGTTTTTGGCCACTAAGCCAGCCGTATTAGATAATCCCGCTTGGGGAACGGGCTCCGGCGCGGTTCGCTATCGATTTAACTTTTTCGCTTGGTTTCTTTTAGGGCGCTCATTCTCAGGCTCTCTCTCTCTCTCTCTCTCACTCTCTCGTCGTTCGGTCGGTCGGTCTGCCAAAGCTCAGGGAGACAGCAGGGTGTACAGTTATAAGGTGACGTATTTCCTTACTGCTCACACGCAAAGGTAGCTGGGACACATAAGAGAAGAGACTCTCTCTGGCTCTCTGGGAACGACTCACCCTGTACAAATACACTTTGGGTGCTCTCGCTCTCTCTCGCTGTCCACGCTTTGACTTTATGCTTCGTCCTTGCGAGAGAATTTGCACTGAAATCACACTCACTCCACCCACACCAGGCCGGACCACCCACAAAGCCCTTCTTTTCGTTTTCAAGAGTTTCTGGCCTTTCATTTCCATTCTGGTCGGACGTCAGCTTGAAATAGTTCGAAAGCAACTCAGCCAAGGAAATTAATTCCGCATTCCCACATCATCTTCCGCTCTTATGTAAACGAACAGCCACGAACAAAAACCCACATATAGAACCCACATATCGTTATGTTATGTGAGAATTATCTGAAGAAAAAATTATATAACAACAGTGAGAGTAAGAGTGAAAAGTGACTTCAAAACAAAGCAGTGAAAAGTGAAAAGTGATTACAAAACAGTTTGGAAAAAAGAAAAATCCATATACATGCATATATGTACATCCCTGTGTACTTGTATAAATGGAGGATTACAAATCCTAATTGAATTGTATAACCAAACCGAATCCCAAATTTAGATTACTTAATCCTTATATTATTTTGATGAATATTCCTAACCAAACAGGCAAAAGTACTTTAAATAGGAAAAAATAAACCTAAACCTAAACCTGAAACCCTTTTCGCCCATATGTATATATATTTCTATATATTATACAACCGAGTGCTGCAGAGATACCCGTCCCAGCGAACCACCTGAGCCACCCACCTGAGTAACTATTTCGTTCCACTTATTCTGCCTAGTTCTGTGGGGCTTGCCTTCTGCCTCGTTCGTGTTCTTTTTTAATGGCTAAATCGATAGGAACGCCTTTATGCCAATTGTCTGACTATTATATAACAAAAGAAGAAAAAGCCAACCAAGAAAACAGAATGAAACAGACCCTGACGTACCGCAAGGCAGTAAATAACTGAAGGCAAAACATTTCCCGCAGGAAATGCCAAAAGACGGAGACACTTGACAACATGCAGCACAATGAGAAGGGGGAGATGCCACTGAGGGACAGTCATGGTATGCATTGGTGGGTGGGTGGTGCTAACTGCACCCGAACTAGGTCATTCATTGAATTTTCTATAGCCACAGTGGGGAGGAGGGAGGCAGGCTGGCGCGTAGGTTAGGAGATGAGATTGATATGAAGACGGGTATGGAGATGGAGTGTTGCATGCCACAGAGAATGCAATCAAATCGAAAAGGCACATCCAATATTAAAAAAGGGAAATGGCCACATGCACACGCACACGCACACTCTGCTGGGGGTTCTCTACTCTTCCGCCCGACAACAGTATTTTGTTGTGATTGACATGAGGTTCGACATGACAACAGCCCCTTGACTACCATATTGATTGGCTTTTCATTCGTTTAGTTGTCCATTTTTTTCATTTTCCTTCTCCACACGCTTTGTCTGTGTGTGTGTGTTTGTGTGCCAGAAACCCGAATTCAAAACGTATGCGTAATATTTCCAACTCTGATCATATTCTGCTCTTCCGCTTCCTCAGCTGCTAAGCACTTGGAGTGGTGCTCTAGAATTAGGGCTGTACTAGGGCTTCAGTGCATTGCACTTTTCTTGATTACGTAGCTGACTTGGTGCTTGTCAAAGTTAATGGATGAGAAGGGTTTGGCTGACCACCAGGAGTGGACACAACGGGAGCGCAAGAGAAGTAAAGGCTGGCCCCCAAATGAAGTCATACAAAATGAAACACTAACAGGAGCCATTGAGTACTTTTTTAATTACTTTTTGGCCACAATAAGTCCCTAGAGGCGGTATGTTTAGTAATTCTACATTTAATTCCAAAAATAAACCCCTTGAGCTTTGGTTTACGGTAGCAAAGCATTGACTGCTCGACAAATTAACTGTAAATTGCTTCTACCCCTCACCACCCTTACAATTGTGCCGTAAATTGCTTCTGTAGAATAAGTCACTCGAGGCGGTAACCGAGGCCAACTCGGCCAGGCCTAAAGGGAATGAAATGGCAACGGTAAAGCGCTTGCGATGACAAAACTATTAAAAGATTACCCCTTACTCGGTGCTCGTTGCTCAGTGGTCGTTGTGGATGAGTGGGCGGTGCACGGGTTACCTAGGTTGCAGGGCCGCGTAAGCAATAGGTTTCCCCATCCATAACACCCACGCCACACGAAGGGAAAATCAATGTTTCAATCAATTGCCTGCCTGACAGAGTGATTAGTGACTTGTGGAGGGTCAGAGGGGAAGATGAATTCTACATAATTAATAATAAATGTTCATTTTATAATCATTTTACATGCACTTTGAGTTAGTGCAGTGATCAGAGCATTGAATTGGCTTCCACAGGCCCACTAATTGGGTCGTCCGAATGGGTTCCACACAGAGCGCGTCATTACAGTTTCGTTCCACTACTCTTACCCTCAGAGAGTGGAGTGCAAGCGACAGAGAGACAGAGAGAGAGAGAGAGAGAGCGCATTTGATGCATTGCGCCGTCGCTTTTATTACCTCACACTTTGCTCCCTCACCCCCCCCGAGACGCTGCTGTCGAACTGCACTTCATTCGTACTTCGCTGTTTCTTTCCTATTTGCGGCTGTCCCACTTTGCTCTGCCATTATTTCCATTCCTCTTTGGCCTTTCCGCATGGCACTCGGAATAGATTTTCACTTTTCATCGTCGTCGCAAAGAGATGAGAGCGAGTGGCAGGGGAAAACTGTTTACACAGAATTACCAAATGCATTCTCATTTTCCAGGCTAACATGATAAACTAACAGCAAAGCCAAAAAGCAAACCGCAAATTGAGAAAGAGAAGCGTTGTCAAAGAGACTAAAGCCATAAGAAAAATATAAAACGAAAAGCAAAAAGTGCAGATAAAATGTCGCCGTTCATGGAGAAAATGTTGCTGCTGTTAGGCGTGCTCTGCTGCATACAAGGTAAGCGCCACAGTTTATGCAATGCAACAAAGTGAGGCAACACTGCACAGACCGACACACACACACGCACACACACAAACACAATCGCAGACAGTTGACAGCCCTGACATTTGGAAAACTGTACCTGCAAATGTGCGTATATATATAACGGTTTAACTCACTGTTGCATTTACCCATCCACAGTGTCCACTGCCCTGATGTGTTACGACTGCAATAGCGAATTTGATCCTCGTTGCGGCGATCCCTTCGAGCCGTACTCCATTGGCGAGGTGAACTGCAGCAAACAGGAGCCCCTGGAGCACCTGAAGGACAAGTACCAGCCCACCTTGTGCCGCAAAACTGTGCAGAAGAGTGAGTCATGGCGCACAAACACCAATGCAATCCAAATGCAATCCAAATTACATATGTTAATCCTTCACAGTCTATGGCAAGACCCGCATAGTGCGCGGCTGCGGCTACATTCACGATGAGCGCACCGATGTAGAGTGCGTGCGGCGTTCCGGCACCCACGATGTGGCCGCCACCTACTGCTCCTGCACCAAGGACCTGTGCAATGGCGGCAACTCGCTGACAGCCCCATGGATGATACTGCCCCTAGCCCTGGCCGCCGGCTGTGCGCTCCTGCTGACCTCAGGGCACACAATAAAGTTCCAGAGCTCATAAATTTAGCTGGGACTTAGCGCTTTCACACCTTCAATTTGTATCCCTACTTATTTTCGCCTTTCTTTCGATGGTTTTCCTTGGCCTGGTTCAGGTCCGGAGTTGATGCTCATTTAGTTGCATAATTTACTATAATTTAATTGAATGTGTTCGTAAGTGTAAAAGATCTAAAATAAAGTGAAGTATATCTTATGGTCACGCATACGAAAAATACAGCAGTTGCAGCAGCAGGGGGCAGTAATACAAGAATCCACATTTTACCTTAACATTTTGTTCGAAATTGAAAACAAAATACAGAGAAACTGCCAGTAAATGTCTCCGCCTGAAAAATTTCAAGAAAACTTTAATCCAGAATAAAACTTGACAAAGCAAAACCTAAAATTAATCGCAATGATTTCCAAGTTTTTTTCACAAATTTTGTTGCGGCGAAACATCTCAAGAGCCCAACACTAAAAAAGAAAAAACAAAACCAAAAGCGAAAAATGTATAATTTAACACCACGGAAGAGTAAGGAAACCCTTTCCCTTCGTAAAACCTACGCAAAAGAAAAGAAATAAAGCAAAAACGAAAGCAAACTAATTGAGAACATCTATAGAGCAGAGTTTTTGCAATAATTTGGATTCCGAAACTCATAAGAAACCACAAAAATGATTTATATGTAACTCAAGAAAACTTAAGAAAAAATGGAAAATTAATAAATAAATACATACATACATACATGTGTGTGTGTATACATATGCATCCATACAATACATACATTAAATAAAATGAATGGGAAAACTATTTACAAACCAACCAGAGAATACATAAAGTTAGCCACTAAATTATGAAATCATATTTTGTCCATTTTAAGCTTCATACAAAACCGAATACCAAAATAGAAAACTAACAAATAAATCTTCCTAAAATTGTCAGAAGACAAAACTCGTAAAGCATATTATGTCCTATAATTTCGATAATCATCATCATTGATCCGATCCGGCAAGCCAGAGAACACAAACCCTCAAAGCGACACACATACAGACACAGAGAAAACACCAACAGCAAACGGTACAGTCAACACAAAAGCGTTAGCAAGAAAGTGAACAAAATGAAAGGAAAAAAAAGCACTAGCCAACACACATGAGAGCCGATGAGAAGACATAATTTGGTGTAGGAAAAGGAAAGCAAACAAGCAAATTAAATTATATTTATATATCATCGTATACATACAAGAAATTGCATAAAATATATAACATTATATTTATTTAGTTAAATATTATTAAGAATTATATGGAAAGCTAATAAAACTAAAAAACAAAAGAAAATTAATGAGAAAGCGTGAGCATATGTAGATAAACTTAACTAATTTTAATTTATAAAGAAAAACAAAAACCAAAGACAAATAACAAAACACTAGCCGTTGTACCGTAATTAAAGAAAAAGACAGGAAAATAAGGAGGAAAGGAAAGCAGAGATTAAACAGAAAACAAAATACAATTCTCCAACAAGATAAGTAATCTCAGATACGAATATAATTTAGATTCCACATTCTCAGAACTCCATTTTATTCGTTACTCACTGCAATCCACGACACGAGATAAACCAAATAAAAATGAGAGCAAATAAAATGTTTACAAAAACTCCAAAACGCATTTGAGCACATTCATAAGGAAACCAAAAACAAGCAAAACAAACACGCTGAAAATTGATAATACTCGTAAAAAAATAAAGATTATAAAATAATACGAATTGGCGGCGTGAATCATATCATTGAGCTTTGCTTTACCAGACACGGAGGCGGAAAGAGATTCTAAACTAACATTTAAACTAAATGGAATATATGGAAGAACACAAAAGATACTTCAAATTATTATATGCAATTGAGATGTAATAATAACACCACAAAACGTTTGCGAAACAAGTTACAGCAACTTAAGGAAACAAAAAACAAAATATATCTACATACATAAATGCCCCAAAATGAAAGTTTCGACAAGTCCAACACACACCAACAACAAAATTATGCTTTTTGCTGCGTTTCCTTGATTTCGATTTTCTAATTCTTAATAGCAGAAAAATAGAAATGATTGATTTTCCACAGCAGCGCACCACTAAAACGGAAATACATAAAAAACATATTATGCAAAGGGAAATATAACAGATAATAATACAAATAAACAAAATCGAACAACATCCACACACACTCGTATGAGAAAGAATAGAGAAAGCAAACCCAAAATTATGTGAACTTGTTAATTTTTAGCATTTAAGTCTGTAAAGCTCCGCTTGTAGATGAAAAATCAATAAATAAACTAAATACAAATGGGAAATCGAATAAAGCAATGGACTTTGCAAATCAAATGTTGCAAACATTCACAGACACGACTGCGATTAGCTTTGGTTCTTAAATTAACTTTTATTTCGTTGTTCAAGTCACAAGTTAGGAGTTGGGGAAAATTGCCTTCTTGGCGATTGGCTGACTGGCGCTGCGCACGATCCTGATGTATCCCTGCTCGCCCCATCCCGGGCCGAAAGAGTTGAGGCACCGCCAGTAGTTGAGATTGGTGGCGGCATCGAAGCCGTAGCCCACCACCACCAGGAACTGAGAGCTGGTGGCCTGGCCAGCTCTGGTGGCCGGCTGATAGACACCACTGGAGTACTGCATGAAGCCGAAGGTCGCCGGATTGTACTCCACCACAACGGGTATGTCATTGGACACATAACGAATGAGGGCGGTGTCATCGTTCTCAGCTATTACCGAGTAGCTGGTCTGCTTGACGCCCACGGCCACCGCTGGGGGTGGCAGGCACATGCCCTGCTGCTTGAGCTGTATGTTGTTTGGATAGTCATCGGTTGGATACAGCTCCGAGTACTGCGTGAGATAGTCGAAGGCCGACTGCGGTGCCTGTGTGCTGCAGCCAGCGCCCATGCCGGCGCAGTCGATCAGCTGCTGAGCGGACAGCGATTGCGGCGCCTGATTGCCCGTGCCAACGGCATTCATGATCTCCACAGCCTTGGCCGCGGCATAGGCCCAGCTGCTGCTGCAGTTCACGCCCTGGTCCTCCACCGTAACAGTAATGCCCAGATCCGTGACGATGTCGTACTCGACAGCCGGCGCCTGCGTGGCCACAGGAGTCACGGCATTCGAGACAGTCGGATAGACGGCCTTGGGCAGCAGCGCAGCAAACTGAACCAGGCGTATGTCCGAGAATTGATTCACCGCCTCGCGGTATGTGGTTTGATTCCTGTCCGCCTGGGCATTGTGCTGATTCACTTGGTTGCGATTGTAAATGAAGTAATAGTTGGCAAAGGACCTAGCCGATGCAGTCGGATAATCCTTTGCGTATTGAGCCTAGGAAGACGAATTTTCGAGTACTTTCAAGTGGGGGCAATCGTTAGTTAATCGTTAGAACCTACCACATAGGCCTCGAAATCGGCTAAATCCTGGCCATGATTGAAGGCCCAGCCACCGCCGGCGGAGGCGAGCAGAACGAAACAGAGCACCAACTTGAGCATGACCGAGAATTCCGCGTTACTGATGCCCAAAAGAACCACTCGACGGGTCTTATATACGGACGAACGATGAACTCTCCTTCTGATTGCAAAAGCAAATACAATAGAAGACACTTTCGCAAGAAAAGTGCAAATAGCACTAGATTTCTATGCCCCATTCCCGTAGCCTCGAATTCGCACTTGCCCCACAGAGCAGATAAGCCCCGTTAGACGCATCCAGGGTGCGGCGGCGCACTATTTGTCCAATAAACTTGTCAAATAAGGCTCGTTCTGTTCCGTTTCGATTCGCCAGGTTCTCGTATCTTTGTTAATTTGAAAACCCCACTGGCCTGGTTCCAGCCCCAGCCCTAGCCCCAGCCCCAGCATCGTAAAAGCAGCTCTAATCACGCCACGCCCCATTTGGGGGCTCCTCTCTCTTTATGGCAGCAGCAGGCATGAATAATCATATTCATATTCATGGGCCTCATAAATATTGCAACATTTATACGAGTGCCTTGTGGTTTCTGTTGTTAAAGTGCTAAATTATGCAATTCACAAATATTAGAAGACAAACTGCTCAGCTCGGGATGGGAAGTATGCCAATAAAATATAACTAGGGTCTGACTAGTTATGTCTTATGTCTCCCACATAAGTCAATGAACTGTTCACGCATCTCTTCTTGATAAATGGAACACAAAACCTGTTGATGAATGAATGAATCAAACTGAATTCGCGTGTATTGCTGTGCCATTAATCCAACTCTCGATTAGCACTCATTCCATTCCGATTTACTTATCAAATTTCTGTTTACTTACTTTAGATAAGCCTTCAACAACATCATCAAGCAATGGCACCCACCACAGCATACACTTTTACATCATGCTGATGATGATGCTGTTCATGTTCATGTTCGAAAAGTTTTCCTATTTGTAAACACACACACACACATCTGGTTTCTGGCCCAATCCCAGCCAAGGGGGAAACCCCTGCTCCAACTATATAAAACCTAAGCCCCATCGCCGAGCGCCGCTTATAACCTGAGCAGTGTCCGAGTCGGCAGCATCTTCGACCCGAGACGAGTAGATCTGTGAACGCGGAAGAGACCCGAATAACGTCAGCTCTCAAATACGTTGTAAAAGGTGATTAAGCTAGGTCTTCAGTGAGTGAAGCACAATTGTGAAACAAATCAAAAGTGGACAAGAGAATTGCATTTGCAATTAGGGCTAGCATGTGGTCAGAGATCGAATATGCCTTTCACCCAGCATCGATCCCAGCATGCGATGCGTGCAAAAGTTTATGGAATATTTCTTTACAGCATCGAAAGTGAAATTTTCGTTTGGAAACCAAAAGAAACCAAAGAGCCGATCCGTAAAAAACACCAAAAACAAAAACAGACACCAACCAACCAACCAGCATATGTAAATCATGCCCAAATGGGATTATTCAACCTTTAATGATATGTCATCCATCAAGAAATTGGCCAATCGCGTGTCCAGCACAAAGCAAACCACGAACACCGAATGCTCTCCAATTAAGATCGATAGTGGAGAGGACGTTACGGCATGTTAATGTCATTCATTAATTACTTTTTGGGGCGACAGTTGGCCAGCAGCATGGAAGATGATCTGCAGATTGTATAATCGTTTGTTACCCCAATCATCAGCCAAAGGGTACAACTTTTAGAATGTGTACAAAATGTTTGTGAAACGAACAAGATCGTGGTATCTTTTTAGGATCTTCTTAATCTAACGAGTTGGAGCAGAGGGTTTCCAAAATGAGCAAAAATTATATTAAATATTCGTCAGGTCTTAAGCCAAATGGGTCTCGATCCGTATGAATATTCGCGGGTGACAAATGGCCATCGCACGTGGAGTTTCGATGGTAGAAGAGCCATTAACTGCTGCCTAACACTTTCCATTTTTTCTTCTTTTTGGTTTTCCATGCTTTACAGATGCTGAAGTATCCATCCATGTGGCTGCAGCTGGTCTTGGGCTGGGTCTGTCTGGGTGCCGTGTCATTGCAGTCACTCCAGTCGTTTCCCAAGCTCTGCGACGTTCACAACTTTGATGAATACTTGAGGCAAACGGGCAAGAATTACGCGGACGATGGCGAGCGAGCGTACCGCGAGAGTATCTTTGCGGCCAAGAAGTCCCTCATCGATCTGAGCAATCGGAATGCGGACAGTGGATTTTCCGGTTACCGCTTGAGTCTCAATCCGCTGGCTGACATGACCAAAAAGGAGATTGCCACGCTGCTGGGATCGAAGGTCTCCGAAAGTGGCGAGTAAGTAGAACAACACGCACACTTAATGACGCAATAGAAACACATAAAGGGGGAGTCCAATCTTTTGAATAATTAACACCCATTTCACACATTTGGAACTGGTTTGGTTTGCTCTGCATAATATAAGTCCACATAGGCCTACATAGAGAGGAGTAGCATATCTGAACTAGTTCAGTGATCTCTTGAATGAATTCTCTCTTGGTATTTCCAACTGATTTTATGCATTGTTTATTCATCGCTTATCAACAGCTTATTCCAGGAAGGGACGATAATCGGAATGTACTAAATAATTAATTTTATTCAGGAAATACACGAATGGCCACATCAACTTTGTGACAGCCCCAAATCCGGCCAGTGCCAATCTGCCCGAGTCCTTTGACTGGCGGGAAAAGGGAGGCGTGACGCCGCCAGGATTCCAGGGCGTGGGCTGCGGTGCCTGCTGGTCGTTCGCCACCACGGGCGCCCTCGAGGGCCATCTGTTCCGGCGCACGGGTGTGCTCGCCTCGCTGTCCCAGCAGAATCTGGTGGACTGTGCCGACGACTACGGCAACATGGGCTGCGACGGTGGCTTCCAGGAGTATGGCTTCGAGTACATACGCGACCACGGCATCACGCTGGCCAACAGGTATCCGTACACGCAGTTCGAGATGCAGTGCAGGCAGAACGAGACGGCGGGCCAACCGCCCAGGGAGAGCCTCGTGAAGATTCGCGACTATGCCACCATCACACCGGGCGATGAGCAGAAAATGAAGGAGGTGGTGGCCACACTGGGCCCCTTGGCCTGCTCCATGAACGCTGCTCCCATCTCGTTCGAGCAGTATCAGGGCGGCATCTACGCGGACGAGGAGTGCAACCAGGACGAGGTGAATCACTCTGTTGTCGTGGTGGGCTATGGGTCCGAGGGCGGGCGCGACTACTGGATCATCAAGAACTCGTACTCCCAGAACTGGGGCGAGGGCGGCTTCATGCGAATCTTGCGCAACGCCGGCGGCTTCTGTGGCATTGCCAGCGAGTGCAGTTACCCCATTCTATAATAGGATGGCAAACCCCTTTAGTCTGTACCCCTCTAGATAGTCAATTAAGCAATGAATAAATTTACTAAACTTAAATTTTTACCGATGCACCGATGAGCTCATGGTTCCCCTTCCATCCGAGATAATTCAATTACTTTCTTATCGCTGGACTTATTTGTGTTTGCACTCTCCAAAGCACCCCATTCGATACGCGTTCGCTGTTAGCTCATATTTTGGATATTCCAAGATGATTTGTGGTCCTATCTGCCACCAAAATTCTAATCTGTTCACGGTTATAACTGAACTCATCTGTACCCCAGTAATCAACGCTGCTCGGCTGCTCAGACTCAGTGCAATTTCTCGGAAATCATGACTATGTTTTCCACTCAATGGCAACGAAAAAAGTGCCTTATATATCGCATCCACAGTGAGCGCAGCTCAGTGCGCGAAAAGCAAGCGAAATGAACCCAGTTGCGCTGCTCTGTGTCTGCCTCATGGCTGTGGCATGGGCTCTGCCCACCCCGAACCCATCTCCTGGCGCACCCAACATAGAAGTGGAGCTGCCAGTGCCGGGTGTGCTGTCGCTTGAGACCACAGCCACCGAGATTGACTTGTTCGAGGCAACTTCTGAGAGTAGCTCCACATCGCAGGGGGATATTCTCACTACGGAGATGGCACCTGAGATTGTCACGTCGGAGGATGACAGCTCTACGGCTTTGCCATTGGAGGAGTTCACAACGGAAGGGACAATCTCGGAAGAAAATCCACAATCCTCGAACGCACCAACAAACACTGAGGAGAGCACAACAGAGCTCTCGGCAGAGGCCAAAGATCAGCTGCATTGTCTGGCTGACTGGGACAAATTCTTGGTCAGTTCTGATAAGGATTCTCAGAATTTTGATTAAATTGCGTTCCATTTTTTCAAAGGTTGACTTTGAGCGCCTCTATGCCAGTGAGATTGAGGCGGAGCAGCGTCGTGATGCCTTCTGCGACAACTGGCGAACGATCAGGAAGCACAATAAACTATTCGATCAGGGACTGGTGTCCTACCAGCTGGGCATCAATCAGTTCAGCGATCGGACGTTCGAGGAATGGCGCCAGAAGCAACTGCCACATCCCATTTTCATGGAGGCGAATGATGCTTGATAATTAAATAATTGCACATGTGCACGAATAGTTTTTACAAATATTTATATTTATTTTGGATGGGGGGTTGGTTGGGTTTTCTTTCAAGATTTACTCTGGTACAATATTGTTCACAAGTGTCGGGGATTTTGGATTAGTTCCTCTGGCGGTTTTTGTGTCTTTTGTTTTTGTTTTTGTTTTTGTTTTTGTTTTTGTTTTAAATACGAATATGAGTAATACGATAATTTTTGTTGTATTTCTATCATTTGAACGCACACGAAAACTACATGAATAATTTATAGTATATGTTTGTGTTTATGTATATAATATGTATAAGGTATGTATACATATTTACTGAGATTTCCTTTTGCTTGTGTCTTGCATTAACTGGTAATTAAATGTTTCGATTTACAAATACAATACAATATGTTTTAGTTATAGTTTAACAAATACTTGCAGTAGTTTACTTGCAATTTGCATTAACTGAACAGCTATGTAATCAATATGCCACATATCGTATGCGTTACATCATTTATTTGCATTAATGTTTAGGCTACAAATACAAATCGTTGGCTAACAATTTGTTGCTCTCTGGTGCAGCTCTCCCCTCACACACATAACACCTCTAAATTGTGTTTTAGTTTAGAATTTACATTTGTTTTTTGGCTGCTAATTAATTAGGTATTGCGTTTTTCTAACCAAGCGACGGCCCCTCTGCCTGTGCCTCTGCCCACGGCCCTGGCCTGGCCTTAAGACTACAATAAGAGTATGTAGAGTACTTTTGTTGTTGGCTATTGGATATGTGATTTGAGCAGTTCTCTCTCTCCTCTCTCTCTCTCTCTCTCTTCTTCATCATCGTCTTCTTCTCGTTTATTGGCCTCTCTTTGCTGTGAATGCGCGGAGTGTGTGTGTGTGTGTGTGTGTGTGTGTGTGTAAATTTATCTAAAACTGCGCCTGTGGTAGCTGTGGGAACTGTGACTGTGGCAGGACCAGGGCCTGGGCACAACTGAAAATCGTTATAGATACGTTTCGATTACATGTAAACACTAAATAACTAACAACGTTGAAAGCATATCCGAGTGTTCCTATCGGGACATACATATGTATATGTAATTATTTGCATTTGTATATCTGTATATAGCAACAAATTCGCACTACAAAAAACTGCACACTCAACTTAGGGGGCTAGCTTATAAGTTATCATCCTCATCTTCATCTCCAGCTATCTCTTATTATTCAGATACATACGAATATATATTTATACATATTCTCTTCTTTCTTTTCTTGTGGCTAAAGCATTTGCTTGCTGCTGCTGTTGCGACTGCTGCAATTTGTAGTATTACTTTGTATCGTTATTGTTTCTGTTACTGGTTTATATGTTCGTCATCGGTGTATATGGTAAAAGCCAAACGCTTTGTGTGTTTTGCTAGTAGTCGTGTAAACCATTTGCCATTCGCACTACAAACAAAAACCGAAGTAAGAGCAGTAGGAGGAGGAGGCAGGAGAATGCAGGAGTAGGAGCTGCTGTGGAAATTCCCTTAATAGGTGGGCTGCTGGTACTCCATGCCAGCCTGTTGCTGTGGCTCCATGCCGCCTGTAGATGTAGATGCACCCACAATGTGTCAATTAATCTCGTATTTTATCTCATTCAGGACTCACCCTGCTGCTGGCCCTGGCCGAAGGGCGAGGCGCTGTATTGATCGTTGTCATTGTCCATGGCATACCCGTAGGCCTGCTGGTGCACCACATTGGCGGGGTCTGTCTCGAAGGCCGAGGTAAACTCATCTCCGGCGCCAATCAGGAAACGTTTGTAGGCCATCAAAGCACACAGGGCCTACAAAATGAAGAGAAAGGATTATTACATAACACCGCCGGCATATAGTACGCATGCAGACTGCTTGCAGGCACCCACCCATGTGGCAATCGAGAAGAGGCAGAACCAAATGGCCGTCTTCATGCTGCCTTCGCCAATGCCGAGAGGTGCTGGCGGCGACGAGCTCCACTGTGACCACAAATACAAGAACGCCACAAAGTACATGAAGGTCCACAAAGCTGCAGAAGATAAGCAAATGAAAATGTCACAGGATATGGCATATGAAGGATCCCTTCTTACCGGAGAAGCCCAAATCGGCCATGACATAGCGCTTTCTGCTCTTCACCGACGACATCCGCTCGAAGAGAAACTCGCCGCCCATGAAGCCCATGGAGGCCAAAAAACCGAATACGCCCACCATGTTGCCATACTTGCAGGCCATGCCATCGCCATTGTAGAGGCAGTACTCCTTGCCCTCCTTCTCCGCCCAACCTTCGGAGGAAATGCAGCCAAAGACCACCACTGAAAAGAGCTGCAGAATGGAAGAATCCAAGAGGTTTCAGTTTTAGAGTTACACAGCACTACCACATTCGCGCATTATCCCACACCATCATATGTGGGTCACTCCCAACATCCATCTCCCTCTCACGCACTCTTTGCATTGATTTCCTTAAGCAGGTGCATTAAACGAAAAGTTCAAGTACACAAAAAATATGTTAAAGCGTATGTATACAGACTGGGACAGACTTATGTTTGTGACCCAATTCGCGCTGAAGGCCAAGTTTAGTTTGTTTGGCCAGGAGGCAGGCCTTGGGGAATGGGGACATTCCTATGATGGGTTGGGGGACGATGGTCCGTGCAAATATTACGTACACTCTCGTGAAAAGCAAACTATCAGTGGCCTCCTCCCCAACCTCCGCTAACCATCAAGCCAGTGCTATAAAAAAGATAAGCCTTGACGGTGCCCGTTATTGCATTTAATTATAAACTTTTTATGGACGTGAGAGTTTTTATGACCATCCTGCAGCTGATCCAATAAGCCACCCCCCAGACAGGACTATAAACAAATCGGAACATCCCCACAATCGGTGAGGAATTCATGTATCTGTGTGTGTGTGTGTCCCGCAATCCCAACCATTCACAGCAATTCCCAGCACCGCTTGACACTTACCCAGCAGAGCGCCCTGATGACTACTTGGGGCTTCATGGCGAACGTGAGTGGATCGAAGGCGCCGCCCGCCTTGCCGCCCCCATAGGCGCCGCCATTATTAATGCTGAGTATCTGGTTGAGCATGTCCATGCTTGCAGCCTTTGATATTCCCTTGTCACACTGATGATGGTGATGATGATGGTGACAGTGACGCTGACGCTGACGGTTAGGGCTCTTCAGTGACGAGGCGAGCTCTTTGGTCGCTTTTCACGGCCTGTTGTGAAAAATCGAATGAAGCCAAGGGCAAAGCGCGGGCGTCTCGGCCGTTTGTGTGTATACACCGAGCACCAAGATGTCTGTCTGTCTGTGTGTGTGTCGTACAATATCTCTCACTATAGTGGATTACAGCACATCCGATTCGGACCACAATAAAGATACTTGAAAAATGTCCTTTGCTCTTTCACGCACTTCACTTAAAATCTCTTCACACACGGCCTGTTCTCTGGGGGCGCGCACAAAATATTCCGTTTATTTGTATTGTATTACTGCATAATTAATGAACAAATTTCAAGGGCCAGATTTTCACTTTTACTTTTTTTGCTAGCTTGCTTTCTCTCTCATCTCTCAACGGTAGAGCCTCAGTACTCAGATGCGCCAAGTTTTCTGTCTACCGAAACCAGGGATGATATTCGAATGGAAACGATAAGAAATCATTCCTTTTTTGTTGTTCGACATATTATCTAGCAGGCAGCTTTTGGCAGTTGAATACTCAGTGCTTAGAAAAAATCGATTTAAACATCGATATAGTCGATTATTAAGTTCCAGATTTAAAAAATCAAATAAATTCTTAATTACTTTTAGCAACTTTGATGTGTCATCAGCACATAGCGATAAGGCTCATCTATTTAACATATTTTTTATCAAAATTTGTATTAGAAATTGTATTATTAGGGCTTTTAGGAAGCAAGAAGCATTCCCGCTGCAAAAATGGTTCGAAAAAATACCCAGAAATATACCAAAAAATATACCCAAGCATACTTGGCCCCACTCTTTTTAGTGCGTATGTACGTCAATGTCCGTATATCATATTCCTCGATTTTGATATTCTGTTTAATATTACTGTCAAGCTAAGACTTTCTGGCCTGGACATATAATTTTATCGGATCAATTAACCAATTCAATGTCAAAATATCTATCTTTTAAATACATTTTTGCACTAAATTGTTTGTGGAAAGAAAGCTTCTTGCTAAAATGGATCGCTTTAAAAAGAAACGGGAACTGCCCGTTCCCATGCTGCTGGACAGACACTGTCTGCGCCAAGTTATTGCCACCTACATGGACAAACTGTCGCAGAATCATCCACAGGCAACAATGGGACATAGCACACCCTCCCCTTGCTTTCAGAGGGAGTTTTCTATGCTGTGGTACTTGGACAACTTCTTTGACGAAGTAAAGCACTGCTTCGTTGAGTGTAAAGCTAAGATTAGTCCCGAAGCAGAGGCCTACGCAGCGTGCTGCAAGAGCAGACAACAAATGGAACCTCAAATCAAAGCACAGAGTGACGCCAAAGTGAACATAGAAGAGGCTTCGAGAGGCCGCGGTCGTCGTCCATTACGTGACAAACCAAAGTGGAGCCTTGAACACAAAAAAAGACTTAAAGATGAGCAGAGAGACATAGAGGGACTTCGGCCAAGGCAGAAACTGACGAGTCAAGCCGGGAAAGGTGTCCATGCTTCTGGTCCTTATCGTGATCCAACGCCCGATCCGCCGCCAATGCAGGAGCCGGAAGAGAACCAAGAGAGGAACGAATTATATGAAAAGAACTTGATGAATATGTTTCCCCATAACAAATCGACTGCCTCGATACATACGCCCTTTGGAAAATACACGGAAAGCGATAAAGGCAAAGAGGAGTCGCATCAAGCCCACGATATATTCGATAAGATGATTAAAAGTGCGGCTGCTTTGGTGTCAGAGCACCATCCGTTGCTCAAGAGCACCCACGCTTTGATCACCGCCAAGGATGTGGCGAAACTCAAGGAGCGTCGACAGCCACATGTGCCACAAAAGGAACACAAAGCACACGCGATGAAGCCGAAGGGGAGGAGCTGGTACACAAAACCCTTAAAGGAAATGCTGCAAGGCAAAACCTTTTCAGAGAAGATTCCTTTGCTTAAGAGCTCGCACCGAATGCAGTTGGGCAAGGAAGGGGATTCCAAGAGCAAGACAAGAAGAGACTTAAGACTTAAGAAAAGAGCTTCAGGTAGCTCCAAGAATGAGGATAGCTCCGATCAGGCAGGGTCAGGACTGAAGAAAAGATCGGAGGGTAGCCCCAAACATGAACGTGACTCCAATCGGAAGCGAACGACGGGGAGTCAGCGAGAAGGGAGGAACAGTGTCGACAGCTTTGCCAGCGTCAATCTGGAGACCTTCATCCAGGAAAGAGAGAATGCCAACGCCGACAGTGAGATGTCCCTCAAGCATCGGGAGAAAAAAATCAACATAACAGAGCCAAAGTTTTCGAAAACCTTTGGTAAAATGCTTCAGGGCAAGGCAGCCGCCATACCAGAGCTCCACCCGGCTCTGAAGAGCTTCCACCACATGCCCACAGCCACTGATGAGGCATCGACTCCACCCACGCGATCACACGGATCAAAACACGGAAAAATCATTTCAGGGATACCCGCACACATTCAGGCAGCCATGCACATGCCCGCACACGCACCCAAGAGTGGCCGGAGACCCATGGAGGACAGTGCGGATGTGAGCTCGATTGCCTCGATCCTAAAACTGCCATCTGAATTTGAGGATAAACCCCATCAAATCAGAGGGCTGCCCGACAACAAAACCTGGTACAAGCCCATCAGAACGAAATTCAAATCTTCGAGAAATATACCTCGTCTGGGCAGGCAAAGGTTCGCTGACTACGTGCCGGAAAAACTCATACCCTACGCCTCCCACATTGACTCTGATGTCTTTCATAATTTGTATGTGGATGGGAAGGGTTCACATCCGACTGAGAAAAACACAAAAATAAAAAACTTTTCTTTTTACATCAAGAACTCCAAGCCGGATCGTAAAATAATGAGAAGAGAAGGCTCGAAGCACTCCATTGGCTACCTGTCGCCCACGAGAAGTCTCCTCAGCCGTGCCAGTTGGCTGAGCAGGAAAAGCTCTCACAGTTACACAGAAAAAGGATCAGTGATCAGCCTAATGGATATGGCCAAGGCTGTGCTGCCCGAGCAGAAAAAAGAAGTGAAGGAAGATGAAGTGTTCGATGAATTAGACTTTGTGTTCGGAAACATGCCAGACCCTGTCCTTAACGAGGTGAACACACCCTCGCCCATGCTATCAGTGACCACATCCAGGCGACAAAGTAAAGTTGTGCAACGAACGGAAAATACCAGCGAGGAGAGGGCCATGCTGGAGACGAAAATCAAGAAGCTCATGGAACACTGTGCCATTCGGCAGATCCATCAACCCAAGGCGAAGCGTAATTTTGTGGCCGAGGCCATTCACCGCACCTATGTACCCCCGCCACACAAACACAAGAAACCTGATCCCAGCAAAGCGAAGCAGCGGCCCAGAGACAAGTTCCCCACCACTGTGGAGCTGCTGAGAATGCCTAGGACCATCAAGGGGCCAACTGTCTACGAGAGGAGCCTCCAAAAATACCCGTCCGAAAAGTCAACAGAGTGGGACTATCCGCTGTTGGAGCCGATAAAGCCTCTAAGGATACGTCGCTATTCAAATCGCAGCCCTGCTTACATTTGCATGGACAAACAGCTGGAGCAGAAGAAAACTCTCGAAGAACTGCCAAAGGTGGATGAGCGGGAAGCTGGAGATAGCCAAGCCATAGATGGAGATCATTGTGATTGCAGCATTTGCAATCGGCTCGGAAAGCGTACGCATTATACATATTTTAATTCATTTTATTTCGGATCCTTCATTCTTATATCGTTTAGATAAACGGGAGCCGGACTCCCCACTGATCAAGCGGTTAAAGGCCCAGTCGCGACGTCTCGAACTTCGTGCTTATTACCGTCAAATGAGGCGTCGAGAGCTGCAGAAAGGCCTGCAAGCGACTCCTGTAGCTACCTGCCCAGCGCAGACAGCGAACTGCTGCTGAGTGCGAACAAAAGAAGCACCTTGGGGGCACCTTTCATCATACAAAGCATGGGTTTGGGTGGCCAAAAGGCAGCCCGGAACTCTGGCTGCCAGGTGGGAGCATATTAAGTGCCTCACCTGGCAGCCAGATGGCCAGACTGCCTCCGCCATCCTTCGAGTGTGCTACAGGTTTAAACGTTTTTATTTGCGTACAAATAATACAAGTGATATAAATGCAGTGCTGGCTGGGAAGACTTCAGAAAAGTTGAGTTTATTCGTTGGTGAAGTTGGCTGGGCGCTTCTCCGCAAAGGCAGTCATGCCCTCCTTGCGATCGGCCTGCGGAAAACAAAAAGAAACGATAAGATTACAAAATAGATACGGGCACACGAGATGTCCCCTTACCGTGGAGAACGTGGCGTGGAAGGTGCGACGCTCGAACTTCAGACCCTCCTGGAGGGTTGTCTCGTAGGCCGTGTTCACGGACTCCTTGCACAGCTGGACAATCAGGCTCGAGTGTGTGCCAATTTTCTCGGCCAGTTTGATGGCTTCGGCGAGCAGCTGATCGGCTGGAACGACTTTGCTGGCCAGACCCAACTTCTCGGCCTCCTGGGCGCTGATCATGTTGCCAGTGAGGCACATCTCCATCGCCTTGGACTTGCCCACAACGCGAGTGAGTCGCTGGGTGCCGCCAGCTCCGGGAATGGTGCCGAGAGCGATCTCAGGCTGTCCAAACTTGGCCTTGTCGCCGGCATAGATGATGTCACACATCATGGCCAGCTCGCAGCCACCACCGAGGGCGTAGCCGTTCACAGCGGCAATGATGGGCTTCTGGGTGCGGGCCACCTCAACCCAGTCATTGAGGAAGTTGCCCTGAATGCACTGCGAGTAGGTGTTGGGCAACATCTCCTTGATGTCGGCGCCAGCGGCGAAGGCTTTCTCACTGCCAGTCAGCACAATGGCGGCGATGTTCTTGTCCTTGCCAAACTGCTTCAGGGCGATGGAGATTTCCTTCATGAGGCCATTGCAAAGTGCATTCAGAGCCTTGGGACGGTTCAATGTGATCACAGCCACATTTTTCTTCTCTCCCGTAATATCGGTCTTAATGAACTCCCAGTTGCTGGCCGCTGCGGAGTGAAAGAGATGGCCTTATGAGGTGATCTGATTACGCAACAAAAGAATGTTTGTGAACGGTGGTGATGGAAAAAACCACGAAAAGTCGAAAGTGCCGGCAAAAGTGGAACTGGAATGATCTCTTACAGCTGTTCGTTGCAGTTGTGGACTTTGCTCCCCATCCACTTGATACTTACTGGAAGCGCTGCGACTGAATCTGGTGGCCACCTGTGGCTGTCTGGCGGCAGCCTGGAGCATGCTCTGGGTGCGGGAAGCGAAGATCTTTGCAATGTTGGCCATGTTGAACGAAACTGTTACCGGCTGCAAATGCAATTCGTTATCTAATGATGCTGGAATTAACTTTGGAGGCTGGTGCTTACGCTTGGGGCACTGGAACAATAATGTGGAGCTGGGGGCGCGAGATAAACATGATTCTAGTAGCAAAATAAACGACGTCTCACAACACTAGTGCCACGCCCGCTTCGCAGCACTAAACTGTTGCTGTTTAAATTTGGTTGGAGCTTCAGTACTTTACTTTAGTTTTAATAGTTTACAATTGAAGAACGAGATTCTTTTAGACCTTGGCTATGTCCGACTGCTTTGGAGGCCTGTTGCCTGTTGTGTCTACAAGCCAAATTTGCTCTTCATGCGGCCTATGGCGGTCATCTCTGAGCACTTTGTAGATGAGAATCAGCAGGCCGGCGACGATCAGTAAGGAGACAATTGCTATGACCAGGCCAAAATCGAATGATGTGGGAGCTGCAAGTAAGTGATTATTATAATATGCATTAGCTGTGGTTCAACCTTTTACTTACTTTCGCAGTATGGAAACAGATGCAGCCACATGGGTGCATTGCAGATATTCTCTTGCGCTCCTTTGACCGAATGATCTGCTGGGCAATCATAGTGAATCCTCGTGTCGTTGGGTACTTTCGTGCCCGCATGAAGGACTGCATTGCTGGAATGCTTTATTATTAGATTGGTTATCTGTGGCACGACGCACTCGTCAGGCAGGTTTCGCATTGACGTTGTCGATGTCCCCAGTAACATGTCGTTGTCTGTGGATGCTGTTGGGTTTATTGTGGAGCTGACTATGGTGACGCCCTCGCATAAGGTGGCCAACTCATCATCCCCATCCGGACAATCGTTCTTTCCATCACAAAGTCTCGAATACGGTACGCACTGGCCGGACTGGCAGTACATCTCCCAGTTGTCGCAGTTGGCCTGTTGCATCTGGGCCCGGCACAGCCATCTTTCCTCATCGGATCCATCCACACAGTCGTGCTGGCCATCACAGACGGCCGTGCTGGCAATACAAGCGCCATAACTGCAGCGGAAGCTGTAGCCAGGACACCAGACTTTGCCGCACAACTCGACGGTCTCATCGGAGGCATCCAAGCATTGGGCCCTGCCATCGCACAGCTGATCCAGTTGAATGCAATCGCCGCTACCACAGCGATGCGAGCACTTAGTGGTGGTGTTGTGCGCTCCAGAGCTGGCCACACAGATGAGAAGCAGCAGCAAAATGGAATGGTTCTGATGCGCGCTGTTCATTCTGGCTGGCTTTCGGTATAGAGACTGCCGATTCCATTTGATATTTCAAGGCTATTATGGCGGAATCCCCACTAGCATGCTAAAAACCCGTTTGATATGACGATCTCATGGGCTTTTCAAAGCGCCTTTAACGATTACCTTCCGTGTTTGTGTGTGTTACAGCGCATATTATTAAATTTGCTTGTTTATGTAGTATCAATCTCGGGTTATCTGTTCCAACTCTGACGTTTGCAAATGCACATGAATTTCAGCCCGAAACGGGTTCATTTTGACTAGAACTCGGAACTCGGGTGGTGCCCACACAATCGAAAGCGCTTCTGGGGGGAGTTCGATGACTTTTTCTGATGAGTAATTATACTTTATTTCTCATTTTGAGTAAGTATACTTATGCTATTGTTAATAGAGTCTTCTATTTTATAATTGAAATGGTTAATTATAAAGAAAAACCTTCTCTAGACAGTGTTAGTTGGATGCACATACATATACATAACTACAGCTCGTTGTGTATGGCTGCTGGCCGGAAACAAAAACTGAAATACTTTTAGTAAACTTAAGTAACGTGTCAATGGGGCTTTCGGCGAGGAAAGGGACCTAAGTTTATTTCTTGTGGGCAGATGCAGTCGGCGTTCCGTATAACTTGCGCTTCTTCATGGTGCCCTTGAAGGGAGTCGCTGCAATAAATGCGCTGTCAACATTGCAGTGGCTTAAGTTCAGCGATCTACTCACCATATATTGATAGCAAGTCCTTGTTGCTGCTGGGTACTCGCTTCACAACGGTGGCTGGCGCTCGGGGCGAGTCTATAACAATATATTGCTCCCAGAATGCGATTGGCAGCTCGAGCAATGCTTTCATCACCTGCTTCTGCGTAAAGACCTCTGTGTAGATGGCATGTTGATCGGGATCCGGCGAAGAGTATCCCACAATGGTGGGTCCAAAGATAAGCGAGAGGTTGTCGATCGGCATTTGCACCACTGGGCATTGCGCGATGCGCTGGAAATGCAGAATTAGGAAGGCCAACGTATCCCGATTGGCCTGGGGCATCTGCTTTACAGACTTGTACAGCATTTCCTGGGTCATGGAAATATCTGGATTTTGAACAGCATTGGCAAAATCTTTCCACTGGCCGGTGGGGATGAGCGGCTCGATGAGAGACCTCAGGAAATCTTTCACACAACAGCATAGCACATAGATATCCGTGTTGCCCAAATGTGGCGTCGCCTTTCCACGCAAAAACTGCTCTTTGAGGGCTTTGTACTCCCGCTCCGAGGAGGACAAGCGATAGAGCCCCACTTCGTTGAGGCCGCGTGCCTCAATCTCATTCACACAGTGCACAATCAGTGCCGGAATCATGGGAGTGATGGACGGTGCAAAGTCACTGAGGTAGCCCGTCATTGTCTTGGTCGTGGGTGTACCCGATTGGGGCACGCAGCTGACTGTGAGCAGATACTTGCAGTCAATGTGACAGCGCACTGTGCAATCCCGACAACGCAAGCCGGCAGCTCCGAACCGAATCCTGCAAGAAGAGTGTTTAATACATAAATTTGTGGGGGGTAAAATGGTTAGTTTATATTTATCCTACCGCTTTTGGCACTGCACACAGGTGTCACCGCGCAAGAACGTCTTCTGGGTGAAGGTGTGATTTCTCATCAAGGGACGGTGCTGACCGGGAGTACACGATTCGGCTAGCACATGCGAAGCCATGGCATTCAGGGGAGTTAGGGGTGGAGCTGTGGCCTCCTTATGGGCGGAGCGTCGAGGCGTGTATACCGAGCCATCAGCAATCCTTTCAGGGCCACCCTTCACTGGCAGCGACTCAATGGTAGACTCTGCACGGATCACTCCCTGCCCATCCTGGGGTATGGTGACCTTGGTGGTAGCACAAAAGCGCTCAGCGCCCTGACCCACATTCACTGTATGCTGCTCCACGCCTATGCCAGCACCAGAGCGCCGCATCTTTGTTGTAGTTGGCGTGTGCGCCGACATGCTGCCATTCAATCCGGTACTTATCCGCGACCTCTTGTTGCCCACACTGGGGATCGGATTCTTGGGTAACGAGGGTCGATGCTCGCGCCACGACTTGGACCGGCGCACGTCTAGAAAGTCGTCTTCCGAATGCGTGATGGACATATCGGACAGCATCGAGCCTGTGGAATTGATGTCTCCATAGGATCTGTCCTCCCTAACAGCGTTCAGCGACTTACGCTTCCGGGATGACGGCAGTGTGTGAATAAATGCCAGCTTATCGCGTGTCTCGTTGTTCAGATTGCGCTCGTGCCGCAACAGATCAGCCACAGCCATTATCTTGTTTTCCATGGCATCCCTGTCGTGCTCGGCCAGGCGGCGAGCCTTAATCTCCATATCGATGATGCGGCGAGCGTGGAATAGTTTGCCCTCCAAATCACCCATCTTGACTAGGGATTTATCAAGCTCATTTTGTATCCGCGCCGTTTCCGCCGCATAACCAGCGCACTTTTCATGGAACTGCTCAAACATCCGCAGGAACCGTAGAAACTCTGCAATATCAACCTATAGCTAACGTTCGTTCCACACACACACTCAGATTTGAGTAAATAACTCACCCTCCTCGGCGGTGCCGTCGGTCAGCACTTGCATGCAACGCCGCAGATCATCAAACGACGCCAGAGTCGAGAGCGTCATTTTCACTGTGATCCTTTTAACTGTAGATAGATATATCCGAACAGGTGATACTCACGCGCTGATTCAGCCTGATTTGATACAAATTAGTATTCGTATTTGTGAGTTACTTTAATACAAGTGACAGGCACGCTGCAAGGGACGCTATAATTTTTTTCCAAGTGCCGTTGTTTTCAATTTAACCCAGCTGCTATCGATAACACGCGGCCTCAGGGTTGCATGCTGCTCATTGACAGGGCTGCACTACACAATTTTGCGTATTCGCAGCGGCCTACAGCACTAGTACATTTGTTTTTTTTTTCCTGTTTTCGAGATTTTGATTTGAAGCAGCACGAAAATGACGGTTCCTTCGCCCAATCCCGCCCTCGGGTTGCACAGCAAGCGCTGGAATGGTCTGCGCCACATACTGGAGCGCGAGGGCCCATTCTGCAAGGATGACTTCACAGCCTCGGCCGACAACTTGGATTTCTTGCAAACGAAATCCAAAGTTTTAATCATCGGCGCCGGCGGTCTGGGCTGTGAGCTGCTGAAGGACTTGGCACTAATGGGCTTCGGAAACTTGCACGTGATTGACATGGACACCATAGAACTGTCTAATCTGAACAGACAGTTCCTGTTCCGACGCACGGACATTGGAGCATCGAAGGCGGAATGCGCTGCGCGTTTCATCAACGGAAGAGTTCCCACATGCCGGGTCACGCCGCATTTCAAGAAAATCCAGGACTTTGACGAGTCCTTCTACCAGCAGTTTCACCTGATAGTTTGTGGACTGGACTCGATTGTGGCACGGAGATGGATCAACGGCATGCTGCTATCGATGCTGCGCTATGAGGATGATGGCACCATAGATGCCAGCTCAATTGTGCCCATGATTGATGGCGGCACGGAGGGCTTCAAGGGCAATGCTCGTGTCATTCTGCCAGGCTTCACAGCCTGCATCGAGTGCACTCTCGACCTGTTTCCACCCCAAGTGAACTATCCGCTGTGTACCATTGCAAATACTCCCCGATTGCCGGAGCATTGTGTGGAGTACGTGAAGCTGATACAGTGGGATAAGGAGAGCCCCTTCGGTGTGCCCCTGGATGGAGATGATCCCCAACACATTGGCTGGATCTACGAGAGAGCACTGGAGAGGGCAAACGAATTCAACATAAGCGGCATCACCTATCGCCTCGTCCAGGGCGTCATCAAGCACATAATTCCTGCCGTGGCCAGCACCAATGCGGTCATTGCTGCTGCCTGTGCTCTGGAGGTCTTCAAAATGGCCACCAGCTGCTACGACAGCATGTCCAACTACCTGAATTTCAACGATCTGGATGGCATTTACACCTACACCTATGAGGCGGAAAAGTCAGAGGGCTGCCTGGCATGTAGCAACAAGCCACAGCTGCTGCCCATCGGGGATGCCAATACCACCACCCTGGAGGATGTCATCAAGTTACTCTGCGAGTCGCCTCGTTTCCAGCTCAAGAGCCCCGCTCTGACCACAGTGATGAAGGACGGCAAGCAGCGCACTCTGTACATGTCCACAGTGAAGAGTATTGAGGAAGCCACCAGGAAGAATCTAACACAATCCCTGGGCGAATTGGGACTCCAAGATGGACAGCAGCTGACCGTGACCGATCCCACCTCTCCCACAGCCATGACTCTGCAGCTCAAATATCATGCAAACGAGGTGGAGATGAGCTGAATCATATTCAATCACAAGAGAAAACATAATGTGTTTTGCATACGGCCATGTGTATACAATAAAGCCAAAGGCTAAGCCTCAATTAATCTAATTAGTTGCACATGTCCAAGATGAACTTCTTGCCCGTGAAACCCTTGAAGCTGAGAGCAGCTGCTGCTGCTGCCTTAAACTTCTCCAGCGGCACCATCTCATGGGTGGGAGCCACAAATTTCTTCTGTTCCATTAGCTCGAACAGTTCCTTGAACATTTGTTTGCGTTCGGGCGTATCGTAGTTTTCCTTGGACCAGCGCGTCATCCAGAAGCCTCTAAATGCAATATCTTTGAAAATGAGTGGTCCAGTAGCTACCGTGACTGGCTCCCGGGACATGCCACCGTAGGTGACCATAACGCCGCGATCATCCAGATGGCGCGACACTTCCGTGGCACTTTTGCCGCCCACACAATTGAACGCCAGCTTGGGGCGCTTAAATTTGCCCGTTTTGAATATGTCGCTGGTGCGAACCTCTGCCTCTGTGAGCACCGCCGTGGCACCCAGGCACTCCAGCAGCTGCTTCAGCTCGGATATCTCCGGTCGGTCGCGGACAATGCCAATGCTATTGATGCCCCAGGAACGGCACAGTTGGTGGACAGCCTGTCCCACAGCGCTGTTGGCTCCATTCTGTATGACCGTGTCCCCCGGCGACAGTTTGACAAAGTCCTTCAGCATGCGATAGGCAGTGCACGGATTGACAGTGACGGTGGCCGCCTCTGCCAAGCCAACATTTTTGGGCACGCTCATAAGCTGATCCTGATTGTAGATGGCATGTGTTGCCCAGGTCCCCAGCCCGGTGGTCAGCGAGATGACGCGTTCTCCCGCTTTTAAGCACTTGACATTCTCACCGACACAGATGACCTCGCCGACAAGTTCATTGCCGGCAACGGCTGGAAATTTTGGCTTGACCGGATATTTTCCTAGCGATTAGAATACAGGAGTTATAATCTGTGTGGCCACCAGCGTATATATTTGCTCACCTTGAATGGTATTAATGTCCGCTGGGTTGATGGGAGCCGCCAATATCCTCAGCAGCACTTGCTTATCCTTGGGGTCGGGCAGCGTGTCCTCGACCAGCTGCAAAACATCTTGTGGCTCTCCGTGTTGGGTGTATTTTAAGGACTTGGCCACAACAGACATTTGCCGACACCAATGGGCGACGGGCCCTGGACAAAGCGTTTGACGCAACATTATTTATAAAATAAAAATTTAATTTGCCTTAGAATTTCAGAGCAGTGTTGTATAATGCTTGCTGAGAACATACGATACGATGCGGCGCCTGTTGCACACTAGAGCTCTGTTTTGGCGCTTGAACATTTTATTTTTAAATTAATTCGATCCATTACCTAAGGGTAGAGCGGTAACTTAAAACCTCAAAAAAAAAAAAAATAAAATAATTCGATCGACTTGTGGGGGAGAATCACGCAACTTCCGGCATCTACTTCCTGCTGCCCTTCACTGCAGGTGCTTGATTCTCAAGTAGAAAGCAACCACCACAAAGATTGACTGCTGTCCATAATATCAGCTCCACACTCCCCCCTACCAATAGCACGAACGCGAAAACGTTTTAATTTTTTAGCCAGCTGCCATAATTTCCATAATAATTGCCTTGCGTTTGCCATTGAAATGGACTAATCTAATCAATAACTCTCCATGCAGTGGAACGAGCTGCTCCCACCCTCCCAATCCCCACTCCACAGGAGGAAGCCACTGTACCCACACTGTGGTCATAATTATACACGTCGCCTGCCGTCGGGCGATGTTGTTGTTTTTGTTTGCAGTAAAAGACGTTGCCGGGGGCTCTCATAAAGCCGTCAAACATGGCAGGCAGGCGGACACACGGGGACCTCTCCGCACGGAAACGAAAAATCCAATAAAAATCCAAATGTATGTGTGAATAATTTTTGAGGCTTGCGTGCCGTCGTCGCCGTCGTCTTGGCTAACTTTAGTTTACTTTCGACCCTCGTTAATGGCAGTAGCCCTTAAGCAATGTCCAATTCCAGTACGAAACAGCAGTTGAATCCCCGCGCCAATGTATTTATTTTGGTCAACCTGGGCTGCGAGATGCTCTATGTGATAGATCAGCGTCTGAAGGCGCAACAAATCGCCAAGGACAAGTCGGTTCAAGGTGAGTTCAGGGAGCCACTGGCACACCACACCTTCAAGACTACAGTGTCCGCTTCTGTTAGTTATCCACGATGTGACTGCAGTACTGCTGGATCCCAAGTTCATAGACTCCCTGCTGAATGGCTCCAAGCACAACAACGCCCAGCTCCTGACCGCCGAACACTGCAAATTCATGCTGAACGATATAGCCACCTGCTCCGTGATGCGCATCGACGAACAGTCCATGGGCAAGCTGTGGAACCTGATGACCATGCTGTACAAGTGGCAGCTATTTGTGTCCCGGCACCAGCACCATTTGCTCGAGATAACCTTCAGACACCTGGACGCCATTAACAAGCTGTATCCCGATGCCAAGCGCCACATGCTGATTGACTTTACCAAGAACACTCTGCTGGACTTTTGGAATGCCAGCGGGGAGGAGGCGCAGCTGTCCATTTACAGCACCAACAAGGCCTGGCTGGAGTGCTTCAATACGAAAATATCACTGCTGATTCGTCTGGGTTTCCAGGGCATGGACGGCAGCTTCTTCAAGGACGTGGATCAGGAATACTTTGGAGATTATGTCCAGACCATGGGCGACAACATGTACGTGAAGAGCGAGGAGCCGCATCAGCAGGCAGGGCGGGAGCCCAACCGTATAGACCAACTGGCTGCCCAGCTGAACATCAATCCACTGCCTGAAGGCGAGGATCTGCAGCCGATTAATGCCCGCCAATTCCAGGAGCAGTTTGAGCAGACATTCGGCAATGTTCTCTTCGATGAGGGCCAATCAGCGACAGGTTGCGAGTTTGTCCAGCTGCAGCCGGCTGGGTCAAGCACGGAAGCCCACAGCCGTGCTGGCGACTCCATACTCAATCAGAATCTCATCGACTTGTACAGCAAAATGGCTTAGAAATTACTTGGAAGAGATATTTACAATTAAAAAATATTGTATTTTATCATTTAGTGGGTGTTTTTGCTTTGTTTTGTTTTTTGTTTTGTAAATTAATTATATAAACTTGTTGCGGTTTTATGGATTCTGTTTTTTTTTTATCTCTTTTAGCAGGCTTTGAGTGAATGTTTTCATTTTGAGTCATAGACAAAAATAAAGAACAACATTTAAAATTTTGAGCTTGCGACTTGCAACGATGTGGTGTGCGGTGTGTGTTGTGTTGTGCTGGTGTTGCGTTTAGTAGAACCAAGGATTTATATCGGTCGAAATGTACAATTACAAATTACAAGAAAAATTGAAGTGTGGTGTGATCCTGGTTGCTGGAGTCTACAGTCTAGACTTATGGCAACAAAATGTATCGTAATTAATTACTTGTTTGCTTTTGTGTTTTTTAATACGATTCTCTCAATCAGCTCCGAAAGAGTTTGTCCGTTTGTGGTGTGGGAGATGCAGCATGCAGGATACAGGTCAAAGGTGAAAGAGGGTGTTAAGTTAGGTTGAAGTCAGATTACATTTTCGCCTTGAGCGGTACTGCATCCACCATGATATGCAGCGCCATTTTGAGGCACTCCTCGGCCGAGCTGATCTGCTCGCAGGGATAGGCAGCGCCGTATTGCGTAAGGAATTCGCAGTACTTTGTGTAATTGCTTGTCGCAAAGTCATAGTTGTAGGCACCCAGCGACTTCATGTCCGTGTCGTCGGTGACCGAAGGAACTGTCGCCTTGTGCGGCATTCGACCAAAGGTCGGGTAGTCCAGCTCGCAGCCCTCGCACTTGCAATCGAATCTGTACTGCATAGAGAGAGTGTCCAGCCGTTGCTGCTTGCTGAAGACGGCAAAATGGGCGCTGCAATTGGAAACGAAGGTTTAGTCGAGCCAATGAGGGATTCATGATTAATTACTTACCCGTAATTGTCGTATAGAACATTCCCCGCCTTGATGGGCCTAAGCACAAAGAGGTATGCCTTGGTGCCTTCATAGATTCGGAGGGTGTTGGGCGCGCAAGAGTGATTCAGCAGCGAAAGAAAGGCATATGCGCCCGATGAGTGCGTTTGATCGTCCTTCGTTTCGTTCACCTGTTCGACAAGATCGATGCCATGCATATTCGAGGATGATGTCTGCAGATGCCTGAAGAGGAGGTCCGTAAAGAAGTTCCTGCCATCCTCGCCGCCCAGAAAGTCCTTCAGCGGCGTGTACTCGATGATGAAGTGCTTCAGCACGGCACAGACAACCGAGCGCTGGAAGAGATCGGAGACGGATCGCAGATGCTGGTTGGTCACCAGTCCGTGGATAGCCCGGTAATGCTCCTGGGCAGACAGCTGGCTGTAGTCCAAGTCGAAGGCGCACTTGTGCTGGTTCTGCGGCTGCTCACAGAAGGCCATCAGCTCTTCGATGCTGGGATACAGGTCCAGGGCAGCCATGGTGGTCCGCAGGGCGATGCCGTGGATCTTGTTGAACATGCGGTGCAAGAAGTCTATGATGGGACACTCGAAACGATGAAAACTGGATGTGGCCCGCTGCTTACACTCCTCGGAGCAGAACATTACGGAGCAACAACTATCGCAGGGAATGAGGGTAAGGTAGTTCTCCCGCTTGCAGGTGGCACACCGAATGTACCGCATCGGGGGTAGCAGAGTCGAGCAGAACGGCTGCTCGACAGCGACCAGATCGCCCACCACCAGATCCCGGTTGGTCACAATGAACCGACCCTCGTCGGGGGATTCCCTCAGCTCCAGGCAGTCGGCAATGTACGGCACCTGGGCATGGGAATCGAAGCTCAGCTTGAACTCGTGAGGAACAACATCGGGTGGTTGCTGCTCTAAAAGCTGCTGGCAGTCACGTTCTCGCTTGTCCAATTTGTGGCTTAGTCTCGCCGGGTAATTCGCCTTGCGGGCCAGCTCAATGTTGGCCAGACAGTCCCTGTATCGCTTCCATTCGAAGAGAACAGCCGACCGATTGGCATAGCCGATGGACAGATGCTCCGAGTTGGGTTCGGCGTAGCAAATGCTTTTGTTGTACAGCTCCAAGGCCTGGAATGCAAGGCGCAAGAGGTTAGTTCAGCCTGGATGTGACCAGAGCATTGACTCACCTGAAAGTATTTCCTGTTCTTTAGGGAGAATTGCTCGTTTCCTAGCATGCGGAATTCGACACTCCTCTTGTTGCACTTGTCCTCTCGCAGGGTCACGTTCAGGAAGATCTTCTCCATGTACTTGAAGTCGATCAGAGCGTGCTCGACAAAGTTCACCTTGGAGTAGTTCTCCTTCAGCTCGTTGAACTTTCCCGAAATAATGCCAATCAGCTTCCAGTCGTTGAGCTTTTTCACCAGATCGTCGCTCACGTCGTACACGTCCATTGCTCTTTAATATTTATCCCCAGACGTTATGCACATATACCTGCTCCCGGCTCCTTCCTTCCTTCCTTCCGCGTGTTTACGCCGCCGCCTGTTTTTTCAGCCAGAAAATCGGTTTATTCTCTCCTCTCCAGATGCCACGCAATTGTTGGGTGGCGCACGTGTGGAGCGTTAAATTACTATTTCACAGATACTTTTTCAAATATTGCAAAGGCAAATGCGAAGCAAATGTTTTATTTTTTTTTGGCCAATCTCCGCTAGAGTTGGGTACATTTGTACCATGGTACACTTTAGAGGTGGGAATACTTCGACGGAACTATCGAGACCAGCTCTGGTACATCGATAGTTCGATTGATAATTACACTTTGCATCGATTTACTTTATTAGAGAAGTTCCACCACCGTGAATTTTCTATCGCGGTGAGTCCATTTACGGTATATACTTTTGGGGATATTTAAACTACGAAAATGAGTCAATGCATATTTACGGTTTATAATTGTAAATTTAATGAATATTGCAACGTTTAGAACACTCAGAGGTATGGATATCGTCGAATTGAGGAAATTGTGCAATTCTCTGGCTCTATTTTGGTATTTCCGAGGGTCTGTTGGTATAATTGATCGATAATTCCGCGGTCACACCATTGCCATCTCAATTGCGGAATAATTGAATTGAATTTAATAATGAAAAAATGTTGGTGAGTTGTGTGAATATATACAAAAGCTCTTTAACGTATTTTAGGTCTTGCTCTGGGGCTTAATTTTAGTCTCAGATTAATTTTTGGATAATTTATTTTCGGTTTTAGCCGATAACAAAAATGGACAACATAATATGAGAGGTAAAAAGAGGTAAATCAAATGTTCTTTATGCACAACCAATTGCAACTATGTATGTTCATGGCTACGCACTGCACTGCTGGCTTCACTTCTCCTCGCACCATTCGTTTTCCTTACGCACCTGCTCCTCCTCAGCTGGCGAGAAGTCGTTCATAATGGCAAAAGTGTCCCGGATCTCTTGGGGCGACTTCCCCTTGATCATATTGGCCACAGTCTTGCATGTGACGTCCAACAATCCCTGAATGTTTAGATAATTGGCAGCCAAAATGAGTTCGAACAATGTGCCCTGGTCCACTTTCAAGAAATCGGCATCCCATGACGAAATGTCATCGGTGCGCTTCTCCTTGTTTTCGTCCTCTTCAGCCAGCTCGGGATCGTCCTTGTGGTAGGTGGCCCAATGGAGCACCTTCTTCAAAATTAGCGAGTTGACGTTTGGCAAGGGCAGCACGCTATTGTCGGCTTCATCGCCCAGATCTTCGAGAGCAGTCTTGATGGTCTCCGAGCACTTGGCGATCTCCGTGTCCGTGTCAAATATTTCCTTATCCGACGATTCCAGCCGAATTATGGTCATTGTAATAGCTGCAATAGGTAAAATATTATTAATATTAAGCTCAAAGGGCTTTTATCCGCTGCTCTTACATATGTGTGTTATATTTGGCCGCCAAAAATATATGAAAGAGCACCAGACAGACGCCGCGGACACCTTAGCTATGGCCTACTAGCTAAAAATAAGATTTGGTCGCCTTCAACTTGAACCGCAGAGGTGCTGCAAGGGGTCGTCTTTTGCTAGATGGTGAAAGTATAAATTTTACGTTATACTCATCACATTTATATCAAAAATCTCAGAAAATTCACATGGAAAATGTTTCAGTTTATGTCACGCCTTGCAGATGTGGTTGCCGTCTGTGTTGGCGTATTGTTGAGCACAGTCTCGGATGAAATGGCGGGCACTTATGGCCTCAAGTATTGGGAATATGAATTCTGTTGAATTTATTCTTTCTTCTGCTGGTATAACATTTATTTCAGCCGGTTGCAGTTAGCAGTTAAATCTAATATCTAATATCTAGCGCGCCCACTAATTTCGATATACATAATTTACCGATAGAAACTCGATCGATAGAATATTTACTCTGACAACTATATGGTGTTTACAAAATAATGAACAAAATTTATCTACTAAACCGTCCGACCCTCAGAAATATACCTTCTCATTTTTTCTTGCGATTATAAATTAGTTCGGTTGCAATTTACACATTACCAATGGACTTCATTCTATTTAAAATGTGTTTTTTCAGTGGTTGTTTCCTGCTTGTCCAAAACTGAAATGGCAATTGAACTTTTTCGGTACCTCAAAACACAATTGCCAGCATTAAAATATCTTTTATATGCATCGATATTTTATTCGAATACAATTAATGTACAAAATCAGTATTTTATTTAATTTTTGTTTCCGTGAAGTACTGTAGAATGTGGAAGTTACATTTATTTGTAATTTTATTTAATTTAAAAAACTTAAGCCAAACTCCAAGACTCTGGCCCCGACCGAAAATAACATATCGGACACCAGTACTACGGCCTGGAAGAACATGTCTACCAAATCTACGGCTTCGAATGTGGCTAGGAAGCGGATGATGAGCACAGCAAGGACCACCATGACCACCGGCCAGATCAACGAGAACATGAAACGCAGCGCCCACAGAAGCACATACCACGTGATTATGAAGAATAATATGTAGCCGATGAGCGTACCCAGTTCCGACGGAAGCGACATGTTCTTCACGAAGTATTCATAGAT